TTATGTTATATCACATTCTCTTATTCTCCTCTTTCTCTCCGTGCAGTTGTGGTTTATCATGAAATAGCACATCTGCAGCCACAGCCAAGTTGGACCAGTTGCAAAAGATGCGTTCGGATATCATAAACATGACAAAAGATAGATTACATTGAGCCTTTCTCCATGTTTAACCATTTTAATATGTTTCCTATGCAGAAGAGGCTCTAAATTTACTTAATATATGTTAGCACTTAGGCACATGGTTAGGAACATGACTCGGGTCTTAACCTATTCGTAAATAAATGAGGAGCTTCCTGTCTGAGTACAAGAAAGAGGGAGAATTTATGTCAAACAATCAGGAATTTAATACATGGTGCTCTATTAGGATGTCCACTTTGTGTACATACTCTTAAAGGCATGATTACGAATAACTTCACTTCTTATAAACAATGTGACTGAAGAAATTACTCACAGATACAACAAAAAGGGAAAGAAAGGTAGGACATTTTGAGCCGCAGCCAATAAGGGAATTACTTTCCCTGAAAAGGTTAAAAATCACCGCATTTATTTTGCGTGCCATAATATTTGTCTTTGAAGGTTTAGTTTTCTTCAGAAACCAAGGGGAAGATGTTGCACTGGGTAAGATTTTAGTGACCTAGGTCCAAAGTTATATCATAGATCCAACACTTTTCCCCAACAGCTTTGGTTTTAATGTCAGACAAAATCTCCGTGGTGAGTATATATTTACAACATTGTAAAAAGAGCTTTCCATTCTTTGATGGAGTGAGGAGGCTAATTCTACCACTTGTTCAACCCATTCAATTTCCACCGTAATTAGCAGAAACAAAGAGTACTTAGTATTAGAGAAACTAGGCAAATCACAGAATTTGATTCTAGAACTTTAAAAAAAAAATCAAAAGTCAGGCAAAGACCTTTTTTTTACCTTTTCACTTTTAAGAGAAAAGATTTGTGTCACATCAATTTAGGATTATGCACCTAATGAGTGAGGAAGTCGAGCATTTATGGATATTTACTGCAATACATCCTGCAACTTATGGCTGCTTGTTAAAGAACTGCTAAATATATGTGTTATACCAACAGCCTGCAAATAATGAGTTATAAAATTAAATTTGATTCCATTTTTCAGATAGTGATTTATAGCAAAGTGCTATTGGCCAACACACTAACACAGTCAGGCATTAATACAAGTTAGGCATAACTGAACAGGCCTTTATGGGAATGAAGTGCTGTTATTTTAAAAAATATTACCAATACAAAGGCATTCTGATATTATTAGTATCATAATATTTTAAAACTGTGTATTACAAAGTTGAAAAATGAAACTTTTTTTGAAAACGAAATAGTAGCTTATGCAGTTCTTTATGTTCATTCTTGTGAAATATCTGGTGTTGGTCAGTACCTAAATCATAGTAATGAATTACAGAGACATTGGAGTTTCCATCTGATAAAAATTTGATCTAATATGTGAAGTTGCTCCCACACTATGGATTCTCTACAGGAGAGTCAGTTCCATGTAGGAAGTCGTATGCATTCTGTGTGGCAAGTTTGTGTTTCATTGTGGATAGGTGCACACTTCTTAAGTAACCCATTGTACCTCATTGTAACGGCCAGGCTATATTGTACCAAGCAGCCTTGGATGCTCTCCAAGTGGCAGGATTATAGTGAACAAACAAGACTTTGCAGAGACAAAGACGGAGGAATGTGTAGATTTAAAACAAGATAATTAAAAAGGTTTCTCATAATGAGGAGCACTTGTGGGTCCTGAAAGCCTTGGGTCACCAGGTTGCCAGAGGTGACAGATAATGCAACATAAGAAGTAGAGGGGGAATTGTCTCTATTTGAAGAGTTTGTCATAAACAAATATCAGAGCCATTGGGAATCTCGGAACTGCTGCAAAATGAATTAGAAGGTTTATTTGGATAGGTAATAATTATTTCATTAGAGGGAAAAGAACCGTATTCACTTTCAGCTGTGCTGAAGTGTGTGTAAGATTCACCTCGTAAATGCTATACACACTTACGGAAAGCTAAAGTGATTACTTTTATGTTTTTATGTTTTACTGTTTTTGTATATTTTATAATATTTTGCATTTTAATGTTTTGCAAGACACTTTGAGACGCTTCTTTGTAAAACACTACAAATAAATTTAAAATAAATTATAAAATTAAATGGGACTTACTCCCATATAGCATTCTACTTCCAACTCTCAGTTGTTACACAAATGTCCAAACATCTGCCCTCAGGGTTGTGTTTCTCTTGTTTTCTGTGTCCTTGAACGGCAATTTTTGTACTTCTGAAATGTGCATTATGAGGTACGTAAGCAAATGGCCCAGGCTGGCCCTCTGACTATAACATCATTGTTGTAGTCACTCAGAATGCCTGGGCTTCAACATCACTCTTGATCCTTTCTCACTTGATCCTTTCTCACTATCAGAAAACATTTGCCTGTTGTTTAAAAGCAGCATTGGATAGTGCAATTCAGTTTAGTGTGAGAACACAAATTAGTTAGAGTAAGGGAGTAGGCAGTTTCTAAGGGATGCTGAGACTCGAGTCCACCTAAAAGTCCTGCTCCCTAATTCAGATATCCAAAACCAAGCTTTGTTTACTGAATAGTGAGAAAAATGCACTCTTGTCATGCTGATTGTTATTCCATCATTTATTACTAGATTAAACACTGCTATGAAAATCAGTCATCCAACAGCAGTCCATGCCCTCACTCCCCGGTAATGAACCCATTCTTTTTCTTCCCCCTGATAATCTCACCCTGAAAATCTCAATGTAAGTACTTGGCTGTACGAACTCACTATCATTTATTTGTCTTGTACCCCCAGATTAATTTAGCACCATTTTTAACAAGCCAAAGGCCAAGGTTGCAGAACTTTGTTTTACACACTTGCCATGGAGACTGTTCCTACTTTCTCTACCCTTCCTCCTGAGCTTAGTGTTGTCAGCAGGGAATGTCCCTAGATGTGTGCTGTTCTTCTGAGGGGCTCCAACTCCCTCAGCATTTCAACATGACAAAACCAGGCCTGCACATTATCCATAGTGGATGTGAGGGATACTCTGGCTGCTTCTTCACCAAGTGAAGCTTTCTTCTGCCCAACAAATGTCTGAACTGGGACATTGGATAGTTCTTAGAGTGGAATTGAAGCCTTCCTCACAAACTGGGCACAAACTAGAAAAAATTAGTTGCCATAACCCATCAGGACTTCAGTTAATTGTAATTATTCCAGTCTTATGATTCAGTAAGAAGCACTTACAACTGACTTTTGCTGAATATTGCTCCAGTTGTCTCTAGCTATGCACCTACTATGCTGCAGAATAGCGATGCAGAAATGAGTCTTTCTTTCTTTCTTTCTTTCTTTCTTTCTTTCTTTCTTTCTTTCTTTCTTCAGGATTATTTCCCCCCAAATTGCCTTTCCATAAAACAGCTGCTTACATTTAATTTCCACCTGCAGAGGTTCTGTTTTCAATGGCAGAAAATGTCATTTATGCAAGGAAAATGCCCCAAGGTGTTGTTCTTTTGGAGGGTAAGTTTTATGTGTGTACATTTTTCCTACTGACTGGTGAGCAGTCTTCTGAGTGTAACTTTACCCCTCAATAAATAATGAAGCAGGGTGGTACAACTGCTTGATGCTTGGTAGATATTGATTAGTTTCTGCCAACATGAAAATCTCGTCTGGGTTCTGTAATTTCAGAGGACAACCTGTTGAAAGCAAATTAATTATGCTGTTGCAGTTGCTTTGCACAACTGGCAAAAGAGGCTTCAGGGCACAGGTTGTCACTAATGTCTTCTCATAGCCACAAAGGTACTACTTGACTACCATTTGCCTGATAGTACTGGTCAGTGGAGCACATTGGAGTGGGGATAGGGAGAAGATTGAGTATGAAAGAAGGGGATGGATTACAGAGCAAAACCATAGGGTGGACAATCCAGAGCCACTGTCCATCACAGGGCAGATTCTGAGAAACAAAATCCATCTGAAGGGGCTGAATGAGGACACAGGCAGACAAAGAAATCAGTGGATTGGGAGGAAGGCAAGGAGATGAGCAGGAAGAGGCAAGCTCAAAAGCAGAGTAATATGGAACAAGACTAGGGAGTCATTCAAGCAAAGTTTAGCCCATGTCCAGGCAAAGATCCAGACCTAACCATAGACAAGCTACATTAGGAGGAAGCAGTTGGATACTTAGGGGATGTCAGGATGGGATGCTGGAACCTGGGAGGACCATACTGCTAATTCTTCAGCCAGTGGACAAATTAATGAGTCTCCAGTTCAGGTTCTTCCTAGTGCTAACACCTTTGATCCCATGAGCAAACATCTTCATGCCTCCATTGCTCTGAGAATCAGTTTTAATTTTCTCTTGGAAGCAACCTGGTGGAATTGTGATGACATCCTTTTTTCACAACTCTGTAAAGAAATACAAGAGCCCTCCATCAAATGCTAGGCTTGAATGAGCTGTGAGAAAGAACAAAACAGGAATGTCAGATACTTGTAATATTGAAAAGCAACTGATAAGAACATTTCACAAGAACGTCTAATCTTGCGATATTTACTTTAATTTTAAACCTGTGCCAAGCCATCTGTTCACTCTGGCAGTGCCATGAGAATCCTTCAGGTTCAGCCCCACCTCTGTTTGCATTTATCTAAATATTATATCTTCCTTGTGTTCCTTTTCCAGCTTACAAATGCTTCGCCTCCACAGGTGAATGAAGACAACAGAAAACACTGATTTATCTTTCCATTTCTAATTATGGTTAGCAGTTGCACACAGCTGAGCTAAATTTCCATTTCATCCTTTCCAATTGGTCTTCCTTCTGCTGTTCCTACTGCTGCAGGGTCTTCCTTAAGTATATTTTCTTCTGCATTTTGGACTTAAAATGTTTAATATAGGAAACTAGAAAGCTGCCTTATACCATTGGTGCATCCAGCTGAGTATTACATACACCAACAGGCAGCAGTTTACCACTCTTTCAGACAAGAATCTTTCCCAGCCCTACCTGGAGGTGCCAGGAATTAAACCTGGAATATTTGCATGCAAAGCATGTGTTCTACCATTGAGCTATAGCTCTTTATCACTTTTTGGCTGTTGCCCATTCAATAAAACCAGATGAATAGCACAACATACTTTTTCAGACTTTGTCATAGGATCCACATGACCAAAAAATTGTGTGGTGGTCATTTGGGAAACCTGAATATACAGACTTCCAGACAATGACAAGCTAGTCTCATATACCTGCTGCCAAGTACACTGTTTTTCATTCAACATTTTTGACTGGGAAAACCACACTTGCCGGCATTTATAAAAACTGAATAATTGTGTGGCATACATAACTGGCTTCTTGCCACAGGCTGGAAGCCACCACATTCAGGCTTTATAAGTGGCCATATTCTCAGAGCTACTGAGAATACTGAGACGACAGTGGCAGCGAGAGCAATGTGCTTGCTTTTCAGCAATTTCTGATATTAAAAGTCACTCACCAGGTTGGAATAATGTAATATGCTTTGCGTGGTGCTATCCTTGAAACTTCAGCTGATGCAAAATACAGAGCATAAGTTCTGGAAGGCACCAGGAGATTGGTCTGTATTACTAGTAATATTACTATTACTAGTAATATTACTATTACTATTACTATTAATTACTAGGAATATTACTATTACTAGTTACCAGGATTCTCTAAGATTCTTTGGGAAAATCCATGACATTAAGTCTTACCAGTTATATCTTCACTAAACATAATATCCTGCAATATTAAAATTGTTATATTACGTAGCAGGAACCTTCAGGGGAACAAAAAAGTAGCCTTTAATTTTTGCCTTGTTTCAAAGTGCCTATTCATTCTTTCTCTCAATCAGGAATGTATAGGCTTTGGATTTGTGTAGGACAGTTAACCTGTTTCACGATCAGTGCCAAATAGACTTAGTCACAATAATTGCAAATTTGAGAGATGTTGGCATGCACTAACTTGTAAAGGATTTATAAATGGCTTGTACAAGTATTTTTCCAAATGGAAACAGCATCAGAGTTCTACATTGCAAGTGGCTTATATAGGAAATAGAGGTATACAATTGCCTTTCCTTCTAAGCAGGCATATTGTAGATGCTAGACAGTGGAAATCAGTGAAGGGAGACAACTATTGAAAGCAAACACAGGCTAAGAAAAAGCTGCTTTAGGTTCTTTAAGTTTGTGTATGTAAGTGGTTTGATTTTTTAAAATAATAATAATAAATGCATCTTTCCCTACTGCCACCAATGACATCTTTGGTTTGGTACATTACTGGCAGAACTTAAGCAAAAACAAAACAAAATAGCCAAATTTTATCTGGCAGAACTATTTATCTGGCAGAACTATAAATGAATTAATGAGAGTAATTTCTTGTTGAGCACCCTTATCTACACCTATGCTATGGTCTCAGTTTATGCCACTCTTATGAATTGGCAACCCAGTGTTTTTAATTCTGTTTACTAGCGCTTTGATGATCAACACCTAAGGGGCAATCCTCAATGCAATGACGACAGGGACTAAAGTTTTATGGGGTTAAACTTATTCAACAGTTATCGCCCTTTCCCAGGAATTTCTAGGAATTGTAGTTTGGGTGATAAGTCTTCTAACATAGAATTGTACACACATCACTTAATTGCAATTCCCAGGATTCCTTGGAAGAAACCATTACAGTTAAGGTGATGTAAAAAACAGTATGAGATTGGGCCAAATGTTGGACATGAACCAGAAGGGCCCGGGTTCATATCCCTTCTACGCTTTAAAACTCTTTGAGTCACTTAAGTCAGTTATGCTCATTCAGCCTAAACTACAAGGATTGTTGTGACTATACAGTCAGCTAAATCTCAGTGTAAACTACCCTGAACTCCTTGGAGAAAGGATGGGATACAAATTTGATAAATATATCCCTGTCCCACTTTCTTACACTTTCCCAGCTCTTTATCCTTATTATTCGTCCCATTTGTCTTTACTCCTGGAGAGATGAATCCTGTGAAATTACTTTTGCCTGCCTGTTCTTTTTCCAATTCTTTTTAATGCACATACCTATATTAAATTCTCAATTTCTTTGTCAGACTCTTTGAAATTTGGGGTAAACCCTGTCTAGCCTCAGTAACTTAAGAATCTTTGGGAAGTTTTATTTTCTATCATTATTTTGGAATAACCTTGATTTTTCCTTTCTAGGGAGATTTCTGTTCCTTTCATCAAGTCTCTTCTCATTTCTGAGAATGAAAACAAGGGGAAGGGAGGGAAAACCTATACAATTCCCCGTCCTCTGTCATGGAATGTGCACTCTCTTTTCTAACGCTGCAGCCCCATGATGCTTACCTGAGAGCAAACTCCACTGACCACAGTGGAAGTTACTTGAAGTGCTGGCATAGATCAGATCAAGCTGTAATGCAGGAACTTCCATTGTGAGACCATGTGCTAGTCTATGATTCATACAGCTAAGGAGAATTCATAAATATTCTATGTGTATAGGCTAGCCAGTCTTTCAGTATTCTTCTGAACCATTAAGCAAAACAGTATTCAGATGTGAGAAGCCATGGCTTTCTATCCTGACTCCATCCCAGCCAGCTAGGTTCTCTAGTCTCCTCCCACTGGCCCTGGTTTTGTCTGCACTGGTGCAATCTGCTGATCTGGTCACATTTCAGCTCAAATGTCAACAGTCCTATATATTCAAAGTGTAGACACTTGTGTTTACGCAGCATCCAATGCGCTCCAACTGCTTTGGGAAGCAGTGTAGAGACATTAACTACAATCCATATTTAGCTATCCTGTTGTTTCTTATGAAATACTGTGTTTTGATTCATTCCCTTCCCAAACCATCTTTAATCCAAACCGGGGTGGGGTGGGGGGACAGCCCAGATGCATTTTTAAGCTGGTAATGTGTACATATGAAAAAGTTTGCCTTTGAATGTTCCCAGTGAATATTTTGAAGTAGTTCTATGGTGAGCATTAGGTTCATTTAAAAACCTTGCATTCATTATATAGTTAATTCTGTGGTTTTCAACCAGTATGCTGGTTGAAAGACACCCTAGGGTGTCTTGAAGGATGGTTAGGGGTGCTGCGGGCAACCCTGGCCTCTGCCCCTGTTGCCTTCCCTCCTTCTTCTGATGCCCTCTCACATCTCTGCCTCCCAAAGGCTTGCACAGCTATTTGTTGCAGCAGCCCTGGCCACAAGCTCCCCGCGTGAATGGTGCCTCTGGGGCTGGCCAGGGGGTGCTTCCCAGGCTCCTTTGAGGCAGTGTGAGGAGGCACCTCTCTTTGGGATGGGGAGCAGCTCAGAGACCAGGAGCGGCTGCTGCGGCTGCCCAGAGTCAGGAGAGGAGAGGAGGCTGAGGGAACCCTCCACAAGAGAGGAGTTAAAACCTCTGAGTTAATCAATTGCATTTACATCCTGCCCTTCCCCCAGTGTTGATTAGCATACATGGTTGTCCCCTCCCATTTTATTCTCACAGCAAGTCTGTGAGGTAGGCTAGGCCAGGTGAGGTCACTACCTAGCTTCATAGCTGAGTGGGGTTTGAGCTTCAGGTCCAAAACTCTAGCCACTGCGCCACACCGGCACTCTCACTAGTAATATAGCCAGGGCTTTTTTCAGCTGGAACTCCCCAGAACTCAGTTCCAGCACCTCTCAGGTGGGCGCCATTGCCATTCTAAGACAGCGAGGGTGAATATAGCCCACACTCCACTTCCAAGTAGGGTCAATATTTTCAAACTGCTCTGTGGGAAGTATTAGGCACAGGACCTATGCGTTCAAATAAAGACCTTACAGCTGTAAAATAGACCTGCCCTAAGGGTGCTGTGGTTTCATGCGAGTGTTTCACACAGCTCTGTGGAGGACATTACCCACAAAACTCCAGTGTCAGCATAAAGACTTTGTGATATATCTCCCCAGAGATTTCAGTGCAGCTATTAAACTGGTGAATAGCCTTTTCCTCAAGTATGACTTCATGGAGCTAGCAGCGAGATACCATCTTGTCCTTTGTGTTTGTGCTAGATGACATTTTAGTCTTTCTCATGAAACAGGCAATGCTGCTCTGGTTCCAGACTAGAATAGAACACCGGGTTCACTCTGTCTGCCTCTGCCCCCGCTCTAGTCTGTTTACTGAGATAAACATCTGATAAGACAGAGGAAGCTGGACCAATGAAGGGAAGCCAGCAGCTACTTCAACTTCTCCTAGCCTTGTTCACACTGGTAGAATATTGCTGGAGAGGGAATTGTTTCTGTACTTCTTATGGAAGGACACTTGACATTTACTTTTTCCTCCATCGGTGATAAGAGATAGAAGGAAATTTATGTCATTGCTCTTTCTTATTTGTGACAACCACTAGTAGGTCAAAGCAAATACTGGATATAGTAATATAGATTAATATATGTAAATATACGTGTAGTGCATGTACTCTGAAATATTTGCAGAAAACAAGGAGATTGATTGGATTGATTCATGCCATGCAAACATAATGTACACTATAAAATATAAGGAAATGTTCTCATATTATTTAGAGGATCAAGATGACCACTTCACCACAAGCACATTCAATATAGTTTTACACATTAATATTTCTTTAAAATAAAAATGCCTCCCTCATGTTTGTGAGAATCTGTTCTAAATGGCATATTCAAAAACAAACTGCTGTAGAGAACATCTGTTTGTTTTGTTTTATCACATTCAGGGCAACCTTGGACTAGAGCAGTATTTAAGGCCAATATGTAGGGAGAAAAACAGAGTGGACTTCAGTAGCTTAAAGGCAATGCTGAAAATAATGTAATATAAATCTGCAAAAAAAGGACAAATGCTTTCTCTCTCTCAAAGCACATTGTATTTGGCAGCCTTTGGAAAACTTCAATGTAAACATTAAAAAAAAAGAACCAAACATATTACTGCAATTTCTGCCTCAGGCACCAATCAACAAAGTTATTATTGCATTTAGAAAGAAACAAGAAAGAACATATGGTTATTAGCCTGACTCTCATGCTTCCTTTTTCTTTACATTCTTGAAAGGCCATAAAACAGGGAAATAAAAAAGTCATGGATGTGTAGTTTTTTTAACTTTATCTTCTGAACATTAAACATCATGTTTCAAATTTCGTATGGTACATAAAACTGTTTGGTCTTGCTGTATCATGTATACAGGACTTCAAAAAGTAAACGAGACAGTTTAGTAGATGTAATAGGTGTGTAACAACCACTCTTTAGATCTCTTGTATTTTGTACAACATCCTCTGGTTCCCAAAGGTGCTTTTAACATGATATCTATATGGCTATTTCTGAAGTCATTTATTTCTTTGCACGGCGAAAGAAAACTGGGACTAATTAGAAAGTATAGTCTATCTTGCTTGACAGTTGTTGGTGTTCGTTACTTTTCTCTGTTTCAGGTATCCTTCTACCTTCATAAACATCTTGCTTGAGATGTGACTGGAATAGTGGTGCAGTATGGATATCACAGAAAACCCCTACAACTATAGTCTCTGCTCATGGAAATTTAGTATGGGCAAGGACTGTGGTTTAGAGTTCCTTTCTGAGGATGGATTCATCTGACCTTATTAGTTTTATGGTGATTGCAGTAAATCACATACTGACGGTCAGTACATCAGTGCTGGCCACCCTTTGCAAATGTGGAGGAACAATTACAAACAGTACCCATCAGTGAAGGAGGAGCAGATAAATATGCCTTGTATTAAGTCTGACCCATCTAGCTCATTGTTGTGTACTCTGACTAGTAGCAGCTCTCCAGGGTTTCAAAACAAGGTATTCCCAGTCCTACCTAGAGATGCCAGGGCTTGAACCTGGAATCTTCCATGTGCAGAACTCTGCTGTAGAGTTATATCCCATACCTAAGAGCAGGCATCCCCAAGCTCAGCCCTCCAGATGTTTTGGGACTACAACTCCCATCATCCCTAGCTAACAGGACCAGTGGTCAGGGATGATGGGAATTGTAGTCCCAAAACAGCTGGAGGTCCAAGTTTGGGGGTGCCTGCCTAAGAGGAAGGACAAAGTTAGTATGTGTGATTCTTTTGTTATTTGTTATTTTTGTATTCATCTAACTATTCTTCCAATGAGTTTAAGGTATCATTTATTGAGGTCCTACAACCAGGTGTGTGAGAGGCCTCATTCTCCTTAATTTTGGTGGTGTAACTATAGCAGGTGCCTGCAAATCATTCGCCGTGTAAATGGAGTTTAGAGGGACATTTGAATCAACTCCAACATGATCTTAAGCAAGCGTTCTTACTGGCAGAGATCTCGAGGAGGATTGGGGCTAATCTTTTATTAACATATTATTTTTATTAAATGGTTCTGTCCAGGAATAACTTCAGATGGAGAACTTCATAACTGAATCTTCTTCTTCTTCTTCTTCTTCTTCTTCTTCTTCTTCTTCTTCTTCTTCTTCTTCGTGTATATGTGTGTGTGTAGATCTCAGGATGATTCACAGCATAAAAATACAAGATAAAAACATGAAATACATAATACAAACAAGAACAAACCAAACCACTAATCCCCCACCACCTCCAACAAAAGCAGCTAAAAGGAGATGGGATGTTAATCAGCCAAAGGCCTGGTTGAAGAGGAACACACACATGGGGGAGGGAGAGATAAAAATTATTTGTAGATAGGAAACTAGATGTCAGGAAGAAGTGTTTCAGCCTAGTCACCTTGCTGATATGTTAGTTTTACATATTTGGGAACTACTGCTATTTGTTCATGGATAATCATTCAGCCCCCATGGAATCTCCTGCAGTCTTCAAAACAGAGTAGCACAGTTCTGGAATAATTTTACTACCAAATTTATTGCTTATATGAATTGGATTCCAAATACTTTAAACACAACAAATGCATTTCATTTTTAAAGTAATGAGCAGTTGATTTCTGAAGCTTTTGGCAATGTTGCTGTCACAATCCCATAAACAGAGAACTTTGGGACACAGAAAATGGATTCCAGGTTTTCCTCCCATATTGCGATTAATAGCTAATTAACTAAAATTCCAACTCCCAAACCATACCATATTAAGTCCTATTGTTAGGTGGTATGCCAATGCAGCTCATAAACTTTAGATGTTACTATTACAGTGAGAACTAGCTTGGTAAAATATTATGATATTCCAAAGAAGTAGGAGTTCTTCCAGATACCAGGCCATTAGAGCCTAATTATAATCTTAGGTCCCTCTTTGACGTCAGCAGTACTTGGGTGTAAATAAGTGCCTTTGACTTGCTAAAGGCAAATATTTGGCAAAGAAAATAAAGATAATAATTGAGAACCACGAGAGAAAGAGAGAGAGATCACGTTAGATTTGAAGTGCCTGAGTAAGTTCTGGCCAGCATTCAAGGTGGTAGGAAAGGTTTGATAAATAAACTGTTATGAGAGGCTGTAGAGTGCTGTGCAGATATGAATCAAAATTATAAAATCAATACATATTGATCTTTATATATCATGTGAATAACAGTGGCTGAGATGCTCCAATTTAACTTGTCTATTGCTCAAGAGTTAGTGGAAATAACCACAAGTGGGACAGGAAATATTGCTGCTCATTGGTGAGATTACTTAGCAGGCCAGAGATTAAAGAACTTGTCTTGTTGCACTAGGGGGGAAAAGAGGTTGTGAGTAGTTATGAATGTATTCTATGAATAAAGAACTGAAAGGACACAGAAATGGAGAAGAGAAATGTAATTTAGATTAGCAAGACTGTGAGGGTTAAGTATGAAAAGCTATGTTTGGGAGATCGTTATATATAGGACGCTAAGAACTGCAGGCTAAGGACTACGTAATAAATTTAAACCACATAATCAACTACATAATAAAACTGTAGTGGAATCCAAATGATTAGACTTATAAGAAGCATTATGGGAGCAAATACTATCACCTCTTTCAAGACTGCAGGTGATTTCAAACTATTTACTGTGCTACAGCAACCTGAAAACTGAACAAAGAGAGTTGTTTATAATTTGGTGAGCTGGGCTATTGTAGAATGTAATAGCACAGTGTGTATATCTTTGCTAGAGAACTAAAATGGTTTAACAGATATTCCCTTTTGCAAAGGAACTCTGGGAACTGTAGTTATGTGAGTGGAGGCTCGAGATCTGAAAAAGAAAATTCTCAGCTCCCTCATCAAACTTCAGCTCCCAGGATATATGACTGTAGGGTGTGTTTGTGTGTATTCATGAACTGCAACAACTGAGAGACTGGAGCTTTCCTGAGTTTTCCTGATTATGGAAGTCAATGCCACAGTATTCCATCAGCTTCTATCTCACAAACAGACCACTCTCAAGAAATAAAAATACAGTGGTACCTCAGGTTAAGAACTTAATTAGTTCTGGAGGTGCATTCTTAACCTGAAACTGTTATTAACCTGAGGTAGCATTTTAGCTAATGGGGCCTCCTGCTGCCACCACGTGATTTCTGTTCTCATCCTGAAGCAAAGTTCTTAACCCGAGGTACTATTTCTGGGTTAGTGGAGTATGTAACCTAAGCGTCTGTAACCTGAAGCATCTGTAACCCGAGGTACCACTGTAGAACAAATAAGCAGTTGGTTGTAATGACAATTACCCAATGTAACTGTAATGTTAGGGCAATTCCCTGCTTCCGCATTTCCCTTATGTCACAGCTAGACAGGGTTTAGTCAGGAATTGTGTGTTTAGGAAGCAATGTGGCATAATGGCATAATGATGGGCAGAGAACTGGACTGTGTCACAGGAATAATGTTGTAGGTCAGTATAATCTCCCCCCCCCCCCAGTTGCATTTATGGCACAGACAATATACAAACCATGCATGTTTAATCAGAAGTAATCTCCTAGGATCAATGGGATTTACTCCCAAGTAAGCATACATAGACCTGAAAGCTTAAGACACTATGCTACAATTTAGCATTGATGTTGCCCAAGTTCCAAATCTCAAGGATTTGTACCGGTTATGAATACCTAGTTGCTAAGGTTTAGCCCATGTATAGTGGTCTAACAAACCTGTAACAAACAATTCCATATTTCATCGCCAAATATAAATGATATTTAGCACCATTGTCACAACTTGGCTCTGTGGTAATAATTCTGCAGACTGTGCTGATCTTTACTTTGCCTTTAGCAAGGTTTCTATCAAGTTTTAGGCCAGTGCCTTTCTGTAGAAGAATTAATCATTGTAATTAAATCTCTCTCAAGAACAATTGGATGACTCACACTTCTGAAATGTTCAGGTTGCTGAGATGATGAGTTGATTCATCAGGAACAATGTTAGTTCATCACTTTTTCTGTTCAGCTTGAAATTTTAATTCCAATAAAATGTAATATGAATTCTAATTGAATGCCTTTTTATGATCCATTTCAGTCAAATCAGATAAAAATCGCTGTGTTTCTTTACCAAGGAACTGGTGAAAATGTAGAAAAAATAAATTTTAAGTATAGTTTTTTCCTGTGTTTGCCTCATTCCAATGAGATTTTTTGGATTTACCTCTCTAAAAATCTGAATCAAACAAGTTTACAAGTTTCAGAAAGAACCTGCCTGCACCTGAAATGGTAAAATGAACACCTGAAAATTTTAAAACAAGTTTTTGACTTTTATTGGGTGATAAATTGGTTTTTTGCTATATAAAATCCACAGGTGCTCATGTCTGTTTATTGAACATATAGCTGAAAAGTGAACTATATTAAGAATTGTGTCAGAGTGGTCAGCCACCCGTAACAGTCGTTAGCACTGGATTTCTAATCATGCACTCATATAGCTATTTATTGTGAACAATTCTGCTAAGCAGAATTCTAATGTGCTGGAAAAGTCAGTGTTTACTTGCCGTGTTGTTGATGTACTCTGTTAAGTTTAGAATTGCTTTTATTTGCTAATTGACTATTACATAGAATTATAGAATCGTAGAATTATAGAGTTGGAAGGACCCTGAGGCTCATCTAGACCAACCCCCTGAAATGTAGGGATCGCAACTAAAGCATCCATGACAGGTGGCCATCCAGCCTCTGCTTAAAAACCTCCAAGGGAGTCCCGCACCTCCCGAGGGAGACCATTCCACTGTCGAACAGCTCTTACTGTCAGAAAGTTCTTCCTGATGTTTAGTCAGAATCTTCTTTCTTGTAACTTGAAACATCAGATGCATTTTCACAGCTGCTGGGGCCTGTTTGTGGGGTAAGAGCTGGGAATCCCAAGTTCAAATTCTCCTTGGGCATTAGCTCAATTCACAGACATATGCTTTAGATGGTTGTTATGTAATAATGCAACAAGGAGTTCACTATACTTCTTTGGTAGCAGCTACCCGCTAGGAGATTACGACTGAAAATTCGGAAAAACTTTCTGCCAATAAGAGCTGTTCGGCAGTGAAACAGACTCCCATGAGACGTGGTGGACTCTCCTTCTTTGGAGGTTTTTAAGCAGAGGTTTGATGGCCATCAGTCATGGATGCTTTAGCTGAGATTCCTGCATTGCAGAGGGTTGGACTAGATGACCCTTGGGTCCCTTCCAAGATTCTATGATTCTATGAATTTCAGCATCACTGAGAGAGACTACATTACTTATGTATGTAGTTATAGATGAACCCTTAGCTGTTGTTTTTTAAGGTAATAAAATAATTAAGAGCCTAGAAATTCAAAAATGGTGTTGCGGAGGTGTTGTAGAAAGTCAGGCCTCCATCTTGTGCCACATGTTAGGGAATCATCCAGTAGGTGCCACTTAGCCTTAGCCACTAAACGGGAAGTCTAATAATACTGCTTGTTGGGGACAGAAATCACTGGTAGCAGTTTAACAGCAATTTCCCATCTAAGGTAGAACTGGGTGGTTGAGCCCTGGTCCACTCAGTTCTTTGTTGCAACAGGATTGCATGGAAGAGCTAGGAATAAGCAAAACAATCTATTTCTGATCTGCATCATACTTGTTTAGCATTTAATCTGTTCTGCCATGTTTTTGCATTACTCTGTGATTAAAAGCAAACAAACATTTAAATAACCATTTAAATCTGTATTTTTTAAAAAAAATTCTCTCAGTATACGCAATTTAAACATATTCTGAGCCAACAAACTGCAGTGGAACTTGGGAAGTATAAGTGCCATTGAAATCCATGTTCCTGTCTGCACATTAATCTATGAGGTGTGGTTCAGGTCAGTTTGTGTTGGAATTTGCAAAGACTGAATCTCTCATGCATCCTTGTAAGTAGACCTCCACTTACTGTTTACCAGAATATTCTTTGTAAGGGGTGGGATCTGCACTTGCTTTGGGCATGCTAAAGTGTTTGGACATATCCTGTACCATGATTGCCTTTCCCCTCTTCTCACAGAGGACTGTTATTCTACATCTCAAACTGTTTTGGAAAGTTCTCAGAGTTTCAAAATAGATTTGCTAGGTCACATGGGGGATCTGCTGTTTGAAATGCAGAAACCCAAAGTGTTAGGTGCTACAACTAGTTGTGTGATTCTTTGGAACTTGGCCACAGTTTTCAGGTAAACATCATGTTTTGGAAGAGTCATTTTCATATAGAAAGGAATATTGATTGCAAGGAGTTACGGTACGTAATTTTTTAATAGCTGCCACTAATCTTCATAATTCAAGATTGGGTTCTCTCTCTCTCTCTCTCTCTCTCTCTCTCTCTCCCTCTCTCTCTTAATTGGGATGGTTGTTTAATGTTTCTTGAACTGGAACACATGCATCTGCAGCCATCAGAGTAACTCTGTTGGATGCCTGTCAAGAAAGAATACCATCATATAAATCCTATGTACACGCTTGTGTTTCTAGGATAACTATGGAAACAATATGTAGATTATTGGACTATCATACTCGGCCGATTAGTGTTTAAGCATTAAGAGTGTCACGCCCAGGAAAGAGCAAAAGAGAACAATGATTTTAAAGAAAGATTGAGTCCTTAATAGGATGGGTCCAAAGGAGCTGTTCAAAGATTACTGCTTTAAGAAGTCTGAAATAATGCCATTCAAAGTAATGCTCGGTGCCTGCCATCCACATGACACTCCAACTATGTTTTTAAGACAAACATGTACACACACAAACTCACACACCAGATAGATATTGCCAGCTATTGCCTGGATAGCTATTGTTTCACTTTGGTTTTTCAATAATGGCTTTTTGTGGCTGTCAGACTAATGTTGCCTACAGTCAAAAGCAAAGCAAAAATATTGCCATCTCCTAAATAAATATGTAAATAAAAAACAGTGATTTGCCTTTGGTCGTTGTGCAGGACCATACTCCAAATGTGCTGCCTAAAATGTAAACAGATAAAAATCTCAAATGAGTACCAAATCTTGCGGTTATTTCTGTTTCAAAGTTTAATTAAGTCAGGGGAACAAGCTGGTTGCTAACAGAGCATCGGGGACTATAGTGAGATCTGACCGTTTCTAGCATGTTGGATTCCTGGACAATAATGGGGTGCTAATTTTGAAAGCCTACACCACTGTCCCAAAAAAGATGTTGTAGAAAATCAGGCCTCCAGCGGTCCTGGCAGAGCCCAGACTGACCCTTGCAAATGAAAATAATCAAAAGTAATTAGAAGCGTGCTGGATTACTCCTCGGAGATCTGAGCGAGAGAATAAACATGCCGGAGCCCTTCGAGCCACTGCAAAGGGCCCATGTCTGAGCTGTTAGGTGCCCTGACCTTGTCCACATAAAGATGTGATTTATGAAGTGCAGGGCACAGCAGCAGGGGCTTCTGTCTTCTCCAGAAGAACCAAATTACTGAGGTGGAGATTAACATGCTTTCAGTTGGGCCCATTTCCAGACCAAGGGAGATTTTTTATTCAGAAAGAAAGAAAGAAAGAAAGAAAGAAAGAAAGAAAGACCCCTTTAATTTCCTCTCTTCTCTCTCTCTGTCTTTGGGGCTGTATGGAAAAAGAAGCCGCTAAGGTTTTGTTAGTTAGGAGGGAGTTCATTAAAAAGAATGGATGGGATATATAAATATGTCTAAATATGAATTGGACAAATGCAGGTTTTTGCACTCCTTATTGGCATCTTATTGGCAGGGGGTTGCCGCATCTAAAACTAGGTCTGCCTCTTTCTTAGTTAATATAAGGACAAGTTTGCTAAAATCTTATCTGGGCACTGGTTTCAGAAAGGGTCTGCTACTAACTTTTAAAGTGAAATAGTGCACAGTCAAAATAGTGAGCTGCCTTCCTTTCTTTCCAACTTGGAATCTAGCTTTACTGAAAAGATAGTGGTGAGATTTTAAGGTGAGCTTGTTATCCAACGACTATGGTATTTAAAGAAGAAATAACTCTGCTACCAGCTACTTGTCTGAATTCCAGCCCCCCTTCCCCTTTCAGCGCTGTCCGCTTGCAGAGCGGCTGTCCTCCCCAGGAAGCCTATTAAAAGTGGACAGTGCAGTTATTTCATCTGGCTTTGCCTGGGCTGCTTTTCTTTTTGCTTTAATGATGTGCTGGAATGCACCATACCCATAGGGTCTCCATTAGAGGAACTTTTACTTCGGGGACAGCCATGAAGTTTAAAGGCTTAAAAGAGGCATCAGTTTACATTCTGGTGGGAATAGCTAGCAGACTGCAGTACTTATGCCTTACTGCCACTACTATTACAGAGGCTTATTTAAAATAAACAATTGCTAAAAAAACAAAAAACTGGGATGTACAGCCAGTGGCTTTTCTGGGAAAATTTGGAACTCTGAACACATCACAGAGGTGTCTGATAAAGACAAATCCAAGGATGCATTTGGATCTTTTTCAAGCAGTGAGAAAACTGAGCAACATGGAACATACTCTGAAAAAATGAGCTCTTTTTTCTGGGAAGCATCCCATGCTTCAGGTTATTTGCAAATGTACCAGGACTTACCTGAAAATGAGGGAAGCTGTCTCCCAAGTGTTCCTTTTGACCACTAAGGAAAAGAAATTGCATTAGGAACAAGCTGCCCTCTCTTCACCTATAACCATGTATTGCAATTGTAATGCTACATAATAATAATAATTAATAATAATAATAAATTTTATTTATACCCTGCTGAGTTTCCCCAAATAAAGCTGCCTACAGTTTGTCTCCTGCCTCTGCCATGAACTTACCATGACTACTCAGCCTACAATACAGGAATAATAATACTGACCTATTTACTTAGGGGTTTAGTGTAAGAACAAGGCTTTGGCTCTGAAGGAGTGTCTCCACCCCCATCGTTCAGCCCAGACACTGAGGTTCAGTTCCAAGGGCCTTCAAGTGCCCTCACTGTGAGAAGTGAAGTTAGAGGGAATCAGGCAGAGGGCCTTTTCAGTAGTGGCACCCACCCTGTGGAATGCCCTCCCACCAGATGTCAAAGAGTTAGACAATTATATGATTTCCCGGAGATATCTGAAGGCAGCCCTGTATCAGGAAGCTTTTAAAACCTATTGTTTTGTTATATTCTTTTATACTCTGTTGGAAGCCACCCTGAGTGGCTGGGGCAACCCAGTCAGATGGGCAGGGTACAAGTAATAAATTGTTGTTGTTGATGTTATAACATGTATAGAGCATTTTGAGCTATCTGAATCATAATATAAATGTTAGATATCATGCAAACTATTAACTGTAGAGACTGATATGGGAGAGACATGTAGGTGGGGCAGATGAAGGTGTCCAGTTTTGCTGCTACAGGTGCATCATGACATTTATTCTCTCTGTGTTCCTCCCAGCAGTCATTCCTCCTCTGGGATACAATAATTGTATCCTCTGGGATATGGTTAAGGGAAAGACAGAGGAAAGGGAGAGATAATGATAACAAAGGATAAATGTGAGAAAATATAGTATTGCTGATAACATCTGAACAATGAATCTTTTATAGATCTTTAATAGCTATGTCACCAACACATCTTTGATGTAAAACATTTCATAGCGTGGAGAGCCAAGGTGATTTGTGAATTTCTTTCCTCTAAGGCAGACCAGTGTGAATACATACAGAAGAGGGCTTAGGTTACCTGGGAGTGGTTTGCCTATAGCACTCGATGGTTCATAGCTGAAGTGAGTTTTGCAGATTGAATTGCTTAGTTCAAACTGCTCATTCTCTTACCTGCTGTTAAGGAGTAATTCATACATTGCCAGGTGCTCATGCCTCATGGCTTCTGCCATGCCACTGCTGCTAACATTTGCATCCAGGAGTGAGGCCAAGTGCAGAATCCATTATCAACAAGCCTAATAATGGTGGAAACTTGCAATATGCAATAAGCCCTGAGGTTTGGAGTGGCATAGTTGGCATTGGAGGGGAGATGGTCTGTGTGAGCATGCTGAATCACATGTAAAGAATGAATGTTAAAGCTGCTACAAAGAGGGCAAGGGCTGCAGTGTTTGAATTAGTATGTATGCAACGCTTGTAAGCTGCCTTGAGCATGGTTTGAACTGTGGAAAGGCGACATACAAATACAATTATGTATCCACGTATGATTAAAAAGGATAAAACCTCCATGTTCCATCCAGTGATCTTTGGAGGAAGGCTGGGATCCACATGCAATTAATAATAAAGCAGTAGCAGTACCTTCTTTTGTGACAGTTGTAAAGTTCTTAACTATGTGCTAATGTGTATTAAGGCATAAATCCTATGGAAACATAGTTGGGAATAAGCCCCGCTGAACACAATGGGACTTCCTTCTGAGTGAACCTCCATAGAATTTATGCTGTTAGCATTGTAAGGCTCTTCCTGCAGCCTTCATTGCTAGTGGATTTAGCTAATTGCTGTGGAGGATGGTCATGTGCATTACATCACTTACTTAAAAATGTGTTAAGCGACACCTGCTGCATTTGAAGGTCCTCCTGATCGCTCTGCTGAGTGCGCTTCTGAACTTATGCCCCAAAGTCCTGCCCTGACAGCACCACTCATTATTGCCACCACTCTTGCACAGCAGGAAATGGAAAGGGGTGTGTGCTTTGGCAGGCCAATCCAGGGCTAACTCAATTCTGAGAACCGCAGGATGGTAACTACCACCCATTGTGATGGGCTTCTATTTGGTGTAAACTTCTCTGTTGTGCAGTTTTCTGTGCACTATCATGATGGATGTAACATGCTGGTTGTACACACCCATGCACTGGATGTCAAACTGGTATGTGCTTTTTTCTATCGGTGTAGCCACAGCCCAGCAAAAATAGAATAAGGTTCTACACACTAACCATTGATAGTGTTCAGACCAGTGCTCTTTTTTTAGGGGGTACTTTTTAGGGGGCACTTCTCTTTAGTTGTTGTTAAAAAGTGTGACACTTAACTGTAACAACTACATGGTGAGTACTGGCACCTATTTTTCTAGGGGGAAATCACTGGTTCACACCCTTCAAATTCTGATCCCTCTTCCAGCTGATTTAGAACACTTCTGCTAAACTCACTGTGTTCTTCTGTTGTTACAATCACATTGTAATTTACACTGCAATTTACACATAGACTTTACACTGGCTTCCTATTGCACTTTGAACCAACTTTAAGACTAAGGCTGATTTTTAGAGCTCTCTCCACCTCAGCCCAACTATATTTCTTCTACATGGCTCCCTTACTATGTGTTCTGCCCAAACTGGTCTGCTATTGAGCCCCTTTGGTCATCACTGTCTCTTTCTCCCTTTCCTGCCTGTGTTCCTTATGCCATGACACTCTAGAGTAGCCACCCCCTCTCTAGTCATCAAGCCACTTCCCTTTCAGCAACAGGGTGAGCTCCCATTGCTCTGTCCCAGCTTCTGCCAACTTAGCAGTTCAAAAGCACACCAGGGCAAGTACATAAGTAGGTACCACTACTGTGGGAAGGTAAACGGTGTTTCCGTGCGCTCTGGCTTCTGTCACGGTGTTCCGTTGCACCAGAAGCAGTTTAGTCATGCTGGCCACATGACCCAGAAAGCTGTCTCTGGACAAATGCCGGCTCTCTCGGCCTGAAGCAAGATGAATGCCGCAACCCATAGTCACCTCTGACTGGACTTAACCGTCCAGGGGTCCTTTACCTTTTACCTTTACCTTACATTCTTCTTATAAATCTATCACGTATGGACACATTAAGCCTCATGTGAAAATGCTGGAGGCTAAAATCCTGAATATATTTACTTTACTTGGAAGTAGGCCCCAATCAATGGGACTTATTTTGTATAAACTTGGTTACAGTCACACTGCAAAAGGCCACAATGGCTAAATGGCTGCATATATTTATCTAGAAGTAAGTCCTCCTGACATCACAGCTCTCCAAGTTGTATGGTGCTTCCATTTGCCACATTCACACTGGTGAATGTGGTGGGTGCTCCTACCTTGGAGGTTTGTAAGCAGAGGTTGGAGGGCCATCCACCATGTATGATTTAGTTGAGATTCCTGCATTGCAGGGGGTTGGACTAGATGACCCTCGGGGTCCCTTCCAACTCTTCAATTCTATGAATATATCTTAGGTGAACTGCACAACTAAAATGCACTATATCGGAGAAGGTGAAGGAGGAGAGTCTTCCAAGGAGAAATGCAATAACCCTGGGTCCTTCCTTCCTTGCGTTGCATTGGCATGATAATAATATCAGCCTAACCCACCCCGCAAGGGCCAACCGCGGGGCTAAAATGCCGCTGAGGAGGAAAGATGGGGCAGAAATGTAAGAAGGCCAAGTACATTGCGAAGTTCCTTTGGGGTGGAATCTGCATCCTACTGAAAGCAGTGGCAGAGCTCCCATTGCTTTGAGTGGCTCTCGATTGCACCCTTGGGGAGCAGCACTCAGCCGATACCTTCCACTCTCAGCAGCAGCCAGCCACCGCCTTGGCTCCAGCGCCTGGATGAAAAGTACCTGCAAGCTACGAGCCCGACGCGGCTTCGTGTTGCTTTAACACCAGCGCGCGACGCCATCTACTGGCCAGGAGCCGCAAGTTCCCTGTTTTCCTCCTTCCAAACCAGGGCAAAGAAATAATAATACATTGGGCTGTGTGGGTATGTGTATAAAACGTCCATCCTTTCTATGAAATCATGATTTAGCCAGAGCCTGTTTCTAACCCTCCCCTGCCCCCCCCCCCGCCCCGGCTTCTGTGTGTTTTATTCCCCGACGTTTCCTCCTTTTCGCAGCTCGTTTGTTCAAAGGGAGACTGAAGGTGCGCGCTGCGTGGGATCGGTGGCGTTGGAAAGGAAGCGTCCTCCTATCAGGACCTGTGATCAGGCCTATGTGGGCTCGAGCAATCAGTTTCCCAGATTACTTGTATTTAATACACAATGCATCATAAAACAAATCCCTCATCCTGACAGGAAGAAAATAGAACAGCTCATAGCTCGAGCTGCTCCAATTTATGGCTAAATTTGAAAAAAAGAAAAAGGAAAAAAAAGGAAGGAAAGAGAATGAGGAGGCTCCAAGAATGGCACCAAATTGCGCGAAGGCAGGAAATCAATAAGGACAGCAAAATCGGGACCTGGGGAGACTCCCGAACTTAACCTTCCCGTGAAAGAACCTTGGGACGTATCTTCTGTGAGAAGATGTTATTTACAAAGCGTTTGGTTTTGCCCAACTGCTGGGCGGGAGGGTTTTCTTCCTCCCCCCCCCCGCCCCTCCTGGAACAATAGCCATTATCTGAAATAACAGTTCAATGTCACAGATAACAGGCCTCGGAGACGAATTAATCATCATCTTTTGTCACTTTCTCCTCCGGCCCCCGATGGCCCCGCCCTCCCCTCTCCTAATCTATAAAGTGAGAATTTGATTTGCACTTTTAAAAAAAGAAAAGTTGAGTGGCACCGGGAGGCGAAGTGCGGGGTTTCCTCCCCGATGTTTGTACATGTTCGCATTTACGAGACGTTAGCTGTGTATCCAAGCGCCACACACCCCTGTGAGCGAGCCGCGCCTGCTCCCCCTCTTCATTAATCAGGCTCCCTCTTGCACGTTTATGTACGTGTGTATGTGGCAGACGCGCATCGCGGCTCATGTTCATCGCAATTCTTCTGAATCTGCATCAAACCCAGAGCTGAAGTTGAACTCGCTGAGAATCTGCTGACTTGGGTCCGCGACTTTGCTCTGCTTAAACCGCTTTGCTGTCCCAATATGTTTCAAATACAGAAGCCAAGACAATATCAGAGGGAGAGAGAAAATTATTAATCCTGCAGCTAACTAGCTCGCCCTTTCATTCGCCAATTTTGTTTAAAAACAATGGACGCTGTACTTGATGCTGTTTACGTGCTACATTCCCCAACCCTCCCCAAAACGTATATTTACGATTACCATGGTCGTGATGTGATATGTAGGAAAGTCTCAAGAGGAGCCAAAATACATCTTAACTATTTGTTTTCTAGGTTTTTATGGGAGAAAGCTTTTAGCTTCAGAGCTGTTTAGAAACCTGTACCAGAAATCTACTAACGAAGTCTCAAAATTAGAAGGCTGATAACTCCAGCCACACTACTCATTTCTCCCTAGTAAAGTGTCTTGCGAAGCACAGAAAACGGTTGTGAGATGGGGGAAAGCCGTTTGTTGAGGACTGCGTAAAGGTGGCAAATGTAGAATTTTATTAACCTCTCTTCTGCTTAGGGGAGGTGGAAATGAATTTATATATCTCTTTATAGATCAGTCACACCCTTAGAGCCATTGGACCAACCAGTTTTCGCTTTTCTAAGTAAACAAACAAGCCCACTTATTAAAATACTGAACTTCAACTCATTTCGTTATTGCTACCGATACTAATTTGCAAAAGAGCGAGAGAGCTGCTGATTTGTGTAAAACTCTCCCTAAATAAACATTCCCAGAGAAAGCGCCGCGTTAAGGGAGCTGCACTTTCTCTGAATACAACAGAAACAAAAAAAAATGAGGTGGCGATGGGGTTTCTTTTCCCCCTTTCCCCCTTCCCTGCGAAAGAAAAAGGAGGGTGGAGAGGAGTAAAGGGGGGGGGGCTCCTTCCGTCCAAGATCTCCCCATTGGCCGGTGATTACATGGATGAAACTGACATGTTTAAAGGGGACGGGCGCATCCGTAATCAGTCTGCCTGGCTAGGACTTCTGTCTGGGCGACCTTCTTGTGACCTCTCTCGCCAGAGGAGGCTGCTGTCACTTTAAAAATTTACTGAAAGAGGAGCCTCTGTCTGGCTTCCGATCGGCGAAGAGGTGGAGAGGGTGGGGGGAGATACCTCTCCTCTCCTCTCTCTTCCCCCCCCCACTAGCCGGAGAGAACGCCTTCTCTCATTAAAGAGACAGCTCATGAAAGAGAACCGCCTGGCGGCTGAGGGTTGCAAGAAGGGATCTGGGGAGGTAGTTTTTAAATATATATATATTTTTAAGCGCGCGCGGGGTGGGGGTCCTTTCCAATGAGAGTCTGCGATGGGAAAAGAAGCTCTTAGGTTTGAAGAGGTGTGCAGTGTGGGGAGGGGAAACCTCGCTCTTCCCCCCTTCTTGCCCCCCCTTACACACACTCTCTCGCTCAAACCCTTTTCTCTCCTCCCTTGTGATCAAGCGGCAGAGAAGTGAAAAGGAAGTTATTTTCTCGCTCTTTCTCTCCCTCCCTCTCTTCCCTCCGCCTCCCCCCCCCCATAACTTTCTTGACGCAACACACACACTCACACACGCCCTGCAACCCCCGAGCAGCCGGAGGGCAAGCGAGGCGATGGGAAGAAATTAACACGCCGGGCTCCGAATCAATGGGGACAATTAAAGCAATCGGCGCGCGTCTCCTGGCCCCCCCGCCGCATCCCCGCCGCTTCCAAGCCCCGCCACCAGCTCCCTTCCTCGCCACTTTCGCATTGAATATCGCGCACACATACACACACCCTACCCCGCAATAACGACCCCCGCTGCCACCACCGCGCCCCCTCAAGGACCCGGAGAAGTTTCCAGGCGAGGAGAGGGGGAAAAAGTTTTCTCCCCCCCGATCCCCCCCCCCAAATGCCGGAGAAGGAAATCGGACGCTGCAGGAGGCAAGTCAGGAAGCTGCGCCTGCGGGACTCCACCGGGTTGCAGAGGCGACACTCTTCTTTGGAGAGCAGCGGCGGCGAAAGGGCGTGGGGGGGGGGTGCGCGCGTGCAAGCGAAGTCAGGGGGGGCGGATCTCCTCTTGAGATGTTGCTGGCAGCTGCCTGAAGGATTGATTGCCTCTGCTGTTATTATTTCATTATTATTTTGCAATACGCCGCCCTCCTTTTTTTTTTCCTCCCCTCTCCCACTGAAAGGAAGGGGTTTTGGGAAGCAGCGGACCTAGTGATCTGAGCTGGGCCAAGGTAAGAGGAGCCGTTGCCAGACGATCGCTCAAGCCAGCTAGTCATAACAACAACAACAAAAGTGTGTTTCCATGTGGCCCGGGCACTTTCCCCCTCGCCTCTCTCTCTCTCCCTCGCTCCTTCCCTCCCTCGGTGGCGCGCTCTCGCTCTCTCTCTTTCCTGGGTTCCTTCCCCAGCCCCCTTTGCAGATTCCACTTGCAAAGAAAACAGAAACAAACCTTAAGCTGCGATCTTCCTCCCCGCGCGCTCAGCGGCTCTCCTCTGTCTCCGGGGCAGAGGGACGGGGCGGGGGGCAGTGCGAGATGCGTGTCCGGGATGGGTGGTGGGGATGCCTGTCTGGCTGTCCCAGGTAAGATGGAGCTGACCCAGATCGAGATACTTGCCAAGCAAGATTTGGCCTCAGGTAAAGGTTACTTTAGCCATGTTGCTGTAGTAGTCGCGGGGTGCGGAGAGTGAAAGAGCAGGCATCTGCAATTGCAGGTTTGTTGTATCACTGTTTCTGCAGTTATTTCAGAAGTAAATAAATTAAATGTGAAACGAGAATAAATGGTACGTGGCTCTCGGAGCGTTTGTTGCATTTTCAATAGGCTTTAAGTGTTGCTTTTAAGGATATTTGAGGAGGAGTCATGTCGCAACCATACCTCTGCTTTACTTAATCTTCCAGACAGAGTGAGGAGTTCTATATCTTTTTTTTCCTTTTAAAAATAACCAGCAGGAGTTAAGCTTAGAATATTCCACGAAAAAAAAGGCAAAGCACTCACTTGACATCAGATCGGGTAAGGAAGGAGGCAAGCAGGGGAAGCGAGCGATGTTAAGCGCACTAAGTTTTACGTCTCTACCGAAAGTGCACCAAAATGTTAAAACACAACGGCTGAAAGAAGGAAAAAAAGAGAAACAAACTTAAAACCCTGGACTTGAACTTTACACTTCAATAGCTGAATTAATTCATTGGTGACAGTTGGAGTTGAAAGGAAGTCAACACGAAAACGAATTATATATAAAGGAATTAGGTGTGGAGCTGGGAAGCTTTTCCTTCTTCCTCTCCACGTGCCTCCCCCCCTCTCTCCTCGCCACATTTCCCGGAGCTCTCTTGATTAATTTACCTTCTGAACTTTGTATGGACATCTGAACCGTTGGATCGCTTAATAAATTTGTGGGAAGAGAAAGGAGTCAGAGGGTTTGCGTGTAGAGGGAAACAAGGGCTTGGAAGCAAGGCTCATCTTCTTCCCATAACCTTTTATTTTCCCTCTGCCTTGAGTTTCAGAAAGGGGTCCGAATCAGCGAGCACTGGCCCTTGCAACCAAGCGTCTGCTTCTGCTTCTTTGCTTTCTGCCAGATCTCAGTGCCATTTTTTTTAACCGAGGACACCATAAGGAATCTGCTTTGGAAACAAGTGTTTGTCAATTGTACACCACCGCTGAAAGGGCTGGTTTTTATTTTGTTTATTTTGTTTTCTTCCCCGTGACCCAATTGGAGGCTCAGGTGATGAGGTGAGGTTAGTGGGGTCAAGGTTAGTTTCATACTCTGGGATGTGAGACTTGGCGACTCAGAAGTCACATTTTCTTTCCCTATGCAATGAAGATTTTTGACCAGAGTGTTTACCATTGCGTATGTAAAGAATCCAACACCTAGTTCACCTAGTGAGATTGACTTTGAAGTGACTTCCCCCCTGGCAATCTCTCTCTTTTTTTTTTGGTGCATGGCTCTTTCTTTTAGCAAATGAAACTGGTGGTACCCTTGTTGCTCTTAAGTGCCTCACTGGTTAACAAAACACATGAGAGGCACTTTCTTCGTACCTCTTGCTTTGTGCCCTCTGCTTTGTCCTCTTGAAGTTTGTGGGGAGTTAATGATCTAAAGCTACTTCTGGGTGATTACCTGAACTCTTTGCTAAAACTGCTCTAGGGCTATGGAAATGTGCCCTCCAACTTTTGTCTTTAACCTTCAGGTGGACCTAGATAAGGCAGCTTTCCCACTGGGTTCATTTAATTCCTGATTTGGAGCTGGTAGACCAGATTGTTTGGTCCTTGATAGGAAACTTCCTTTAAGTTTTCATTAGCTAAAATGATAAATAATACCAGGACGTTCAGTTTGGCGGCCAGAACTGTTTGTTGTGGATCTGAACATGTGTTCAGATTCTTTCTCTGCAGTTTCTTCCCCTTTCGGTTCTTTTCAAACACACTTTGTATTGGGGTTTTTTTGGTTTTAAAAAACCTTCCACTACCAGCTGGTTAGCATGCTTGCCGTAAGATAGGGGAAATGTTTTAAGATGTATATTTTCACTTTAAATATTGCTCAGTTGAAACCTCAGGTTAGGCCTGTATGCTGGCAATTTGTGAAACTGCATGTATAATAATTAGCCAGTTATCATAATATTATTCTTATAGGACGGTGTTTATAAAGTAACCACCAGCAATCACATTAAGTTTGTTTATTATCCACATATCTGAAACCATTTAGGGGCATGTGCTGAACATAGCCACATTTCGAGCAAGTGTTTACATTTTATTGCATTTATTTTCTTTGGTGTGGCACAAGAGGCCCTATTATTAGCCAAATCCTGCAATTTGCTTTGATTAAAGAGTTGTGATTCAAGGTTTGCATATGAGAGGGATAAATGGAACATTAGGAGAAAATTAATTCCTTGAAACCTAAACTTTATTTAGTATAGACTTTTGAACGGAAAAGGCTTTATTAAAGATGGTAAACACAGAATGCTAAAGGGCAACACCTTATATGTGGTTAATCATTTTTGCATCTGTTTGCTGATTAACAAGTTAACATTTCATAAAAATGATTGAAATCATGACTGTTCCCTAAGCTTGCAGCACTTAATTAATATGTTCTTATAGTGATTATTCCACAGCATTTTGATTCTACAAAACATGTTGGGGGGAATGCTCTTACAATAGATTGATTGCTCCTTTAATTATTAGGCTTGTTTGAGCTAATCATTTTTGTGAAGTCTACTGAAGAAACCTATTTGTTTGTTTGAAGAGCTGGGATTTCTTTTTAATTAGTACAACTCGGACAAGAAACAAAACAAAACACAACATCAATTTATTGTTTTGTATTCTTTTCTTTCTAGATCTTGGATGAGTATTACAATGTGAAATTCTGCATTGATGCCAGTCAGCCAGATGTAGGAAACTGGCTGAAGTATATCAGATTTGCTGGATGCTATAATCAGCCCAACCTTGTTGCATGTCAAATAAGTGATCAGGTATGTAGTGAACATTTACTGGACTTACTTTTAAGAGCTTTATGATATCCTTGGGAGGAAAAAAACAGAATAGCAGCCAACCTAAAGTTGTGGACGGTGTGGTCTATTTGCTGTTTAAGCGTACATAAATTGAAAAGCACAGATGCGAAAAGCAGAACAGAGGTGGTGGTGGTTGCTTTTAAAGCAGCAACAGCATATGTCTCCCCTAATGTTTGTCCACTTATCCTTATCCTTTTTATGTCAAGCATGGGTCATGATCTTTATATCACCCAAACATATTTGAAGTGGATATATTCCTCTTTGTTGCTAATATTTTCTAGCTAATTTTCTGGTCAAATAGGGCACCCAGTTGTCAAGTTGTAACTTGTGAAATACTCTTTTGTATCAATCTCAGTGAAGAAAGGTGTAATAATAACTTCTCAAATATCCTCTATCAGCTACCTATCAATATCCAGACATATTTTCCCAGTCATTGCACATTTTATACCCCTCTTTCTGAAATAAATAATATCATTTCCCATTTTTTCCTTGGTAATTTACAGCAGTAGTAGAAATTTCAATCTGTATAGGAATGGGATGTTAATTACATTTGTTCCTTTAAATAGCACTTCTGGAATGCAGCCAGATAAAATAATGAAGGACATTTTGCTTTGAAACAGTATAATGCTGTATTATTCATCTTTGCATCCCCTCTTCTCCAGGCTCTGCTTAACTTGTACATAAATGTAAAATAAATACAATAATGTGATTTTAAAAATGAATGTAGTTAGAGGATTTGAGGACCATTGACTTTTAAAGTAAACACTAAACTGGTTAGAGCAGGGGGCTATGGATTATGTTAATATTTGATGTCAATAAAAGCAGTGCAATCCTATTAATGTCTACCGAGATGTAACCCAGGTAAGCATGCACAGGATTGCAGCCTAAATCGGGTAGGTTGGTTATAACATTGATTATAATTGCCTTGGCATGACAGGGTAAAAGAAAAGAAGTACACACAAAGTACACACAAAGTTTCAATTACAAACAATTATTTTCAGTGAAATTATTTACCTTGATATACTCAGTGTTTTTATGCTCTGCCCTTCGCAGAATTTCACATATTTACAAATAACACAAGCAAAATCTTTTCCAAATTGGGGTCAGATATCTTCAAGCCCTGACTTCTTAAAGCCTCCATATTAAAGGCATAGAAGATTGAGCAAACAGAATTGGCCACTATTGGTTTTTCTTGCCGACCACATGGTTCAAGTAAAGAAGCAATAAAGGCCATTAGCAAATGAAATATACATTTTGAAAGTTGCAGTCTGGTTTGCAGAGAAAAATGATCCATCCTGAGATTGTGCAGCCGCTTACAGAAAGGAAACGCCAGTGTTGTGCTCAATTTATTTTTACATATAGTAAAGCTTGACTGGGGAAAAAGAAAGTGAATTTAGTAAATAAATCCAAATGGATTTAAGGGGGCAATTGCTAAGGGCTTGCATCTTGATAATGTTCTAAAAATAACAAAACATATGTCAGATTTAAACAGAAATATGTTTAAAACATCTAACACTTGCTCCAACCTATGCACACAGTTTGGAATTAACATCACAGAACTTGTTACTTTTTAATGTTTACATTTTTCACAGTTGGTAATGGCACCTGTACTACTGCCAACAAGTTCTTTTCCTAATCCACTGGAGAGGTATTTATTTTTGCACCATCCTGCACCGTTTGCAAATATATATTTATATAACTGATTGTTCTTCAAATCTGCAAATGAAAAAACCACTTGCCCTTTGTGTAGTACACTGCACAAGATACGCAAGGAACATGAAAAATAGATTGAAAGTTAATTCATATCTCTTTACATGGTCAACAATTACACATACCTATTCTAGTACTTAATAGCATGGGCCACAGGCCACCAAATACTAATATCATAAACACATGATTGGAACTCGGTCCCTTTACTTCAAAGTAAACCTGTTTAGAGTCAAGGCACAAGTTGGTAAATGTCATCTCAAGCCTTAAAGTGAGCTTTCCATGCGGCAAGCCGCCTCTTCCATTGTTTTACCTCAAAGTGGGAGAGGTAAAAGTAAATTAGGACAGATCAAACTGTGAAATTGATATTGTGTGTGTATAGATGGAAACTCTCGAAAGGGTGTTTTTTCTGCATATAATGTGTATGGATACACATCACTCTGGGTTCTAGGCAGTCCCACACACCACAAGGAAACCTCTCTGATAAGGCATTAAAACGGAGAGAATACATCCAGAATTTGCAGATGACTAGAGAGAATTTGGTTTGCATTTTCAGGAGGTCCTAGGAAGCATAGGTATGGCCACGCAGTGCTAAAAACAAGACTTAAAAAGCTGACTGGAACCATTTACCATATCTGTTGTTTCACTCTGTTTCTCCATGAGGAATAAGGCCTGCCAGTTGGTGAATTAGTCCTACTCATCGCCTAATGAACACCCCAGTTGACTGAGATATATTATTAACTATTGAGACCAAGGACAGCAGTACTTGATCAGCAGTAATTGTGTTAACCTCTAATTACCTCAAATTACCTGCCAGATTCATTAGCAAATGCTGTACTTTATCTGGGACAGGGGAAAGTTGTTGCTGTCAGTGTGATGAAACAAGGTCGAATTCACATTTATAGCGCTGAAGGCAAGATAAACTGAAAGACAGACATGAGCCCTAGACTGCTGGAGGGTTTCAGCTGGGTCTCCAGCCTTTACAATCTAGCCACTCAGCAGAGCCTTTATCATTTAACACCTAGGGAAAGAAAAACAACTTTTTGCTGTTGTCTATGCTTAAGCCTTTCTTTTTTTATTTGTCAAAGTGCTTTGCTTCCCTTCTTCCACTGTCCTCCCCCCCCCCCCCGTTTTCTTGTCTAAGGTCAGATTTCATCACTTTGGAACAACTTTACAAAAGGTCTGGGTTCCTTCTTATAACTATATAAATAAGCCCTACTAAGATGAACAGCTCAAGAATAATGGGATGCAGTCAAAACATGTATGCTGAGAGCAACTCATATTTCATTTGATTGGATGTAGAACAGGACTTTTAAGACTGGATGGGGATAGATTCCTTTTCCCCTCCCAATAAAGTTGATCTAGAATTTCCCAGCGCTGTCCTATTATCTCCTGTCATGTCTAATAAGTCTTAAAAGTATGTAATTCAAGATGTTTGCAAATAATGAATTCCAAATACTGTGCAATAGGTTGTTATATTGGTTGTCGTCCCCCACCGTTCCAGGGTACTACCGTTCTTTACAGTGTGCTGTCTATAGGATCTTGTCATCCGTGTTTCTCAGTGGAATGCATTTTTTTGCGGGGGTCAGTTTGGACTTGACAGTAGCTTGAGCAAAATTGGTAAAAGTTTCTTATTGTGTTTTAGGACAAGTCTGTATGTATCTTTGCATACTAAACCTACTTTCTTACAGTTTACCAGTCATTGGTTTGTAACAAATCTGTGTCTGCTTCACATAGGTTTTCATGACTGATTGAATACAAGTTTGTTTTCTCTTTTTTTAAGGGATACAGTAACTTTATTAATATATACTGAATTTTGAGATTTGGAGAACTGTAGCCTTGAAGAGATTGGTTTGTGTGAGACAGTTTGAAAGTACAAATTTGTGGTATCTTAATGTTTAAATAGCTGTTTTCCAGGTGGTAGTAAATTATACATTCTTTATGTTACGGTTTCCAGAATTCTCAAGGGAAATAGAGCAGTCCCCATACCTCATGGAAGTAGACAGCTTATACTGGTGTTATAGTACATCACTACATTTTTTTCATCAGCCATAAGACAAGCGTACCTGTTTTTATCCAGCACATATTGGAAGGGTATGCATGATGTTGATCCTAAAAACACAAAAGTTTAAGCTTAAAAGAATTGAAACCAAACCTCATGGAAAAGAGAAATGTTAAATTACAGTCGTGGATATTTCACAGTCTGATCCTCTGCATGTCTGTTTGGAAGTCAGTCACACTGAATTCAGTGAGTGGGAATTCATATTTACTCCTGAGAAAGTATGTAATCCTAAGCGCGCATACTAGGGAGCAATTCCAATTGAGAACAAGTTTATGATTGTACTGTAAAATATAACTATAGCGAAGTCATTTTTTATTATTATAAGATAGCAGAATGTTCCATAAGCTTCAACTAGGCCATTGACTGCTTTTTGAAATCCAGTAAGGGGGCATGCAACATTTTAAATATTAAAAACATATGTATTATGTGTGTATTTATATAACCCTAAATTTCTTCATATGATGGAGAATCGTGAAAATATGAAATGCATCTTTAGTTCTCATGCCAAAATTAGACTAGTAGATGGATTTTAGCTTGCTTTGTATTACAAAGACCATGTTTTACTACACCTGGTTTTGTTCTACTGGGAATAAACATGGTAGGGCTATTATACAGTCAAACAAGTATAATACAACTATTAAATGTTTTTTTATCAAGTTCCTTCCATTATTTTAAAACACTAGTGCATTTGCTTTAAATAGTTTTAAAACACATTGCTTACACACACAAACACAGGCCGCCTATTTAATTAATATTTTGTAATTTTGAAGTTACATTTAAGCTAACCTTATATTTGCAGCAGCTTCATTCTATGGCTCAAGTCTGCCAACAACTGCTTACATTCAGCCTCATCCACATATATTTGAATTTAAGCAGTTTGCCCGAGGCATTTTCTTACACATGATGGGTATGATCCGGCATGTGTGCAAGTCCATTTTTTCACTGGGTTCTTGACTGCGGTTTAGGATTGGGAGTTTAGCCTGAATACAGTCCTCTGGACAGTGCTGCTGCTCTTAGTAAGTCAACTCAGGAAAAAGTGGGTTGTAGGTTTCAGTAGTCTGCTGACCCAACTGCCTTGAAACCAGCAGTTCCACAACGGCTTTTTCTAGTGACTGTTTATGGTATAATATGTAGAAATGGCACTATGTACTCACAAGTACATGTATCCTGTAAACTATTTGGAAGTTGTACTGATTTGCATACATAGTTAAATTTATTACGTGTGATTTAGCAAGCAAACAAACATTTGGACCAAGAGTAGGCAACATTAAGACGAAATCTGAATCTAATTTTCCACGATTAATTCCCACTGCCCCAACTGAGGAAGTTATGTTCTGTTGTCAGGCCAATTGGGGAGAGATCATCAGGGGGTTTGGGCTGGGTGTTCATCAGTATGCGGATGATACCCCGTTCTACTTTTCTTTTAAATCAGAACCAATAAAGGCAGTGAAGGTCCTGTGTGAGTGTCTGGAAGCGGTTGGAGGATGGATGGCGGCTAATGGATTGAGGTTGAATCCTGACAAGATAGAAGTACTGTTTTGGGGGGACAGGAGGCGAGCAGGTGTGGAGGACTCCCTGGTCCTGAATGGGGTAACTGTGCCCCTGAAGGACCAGGTGTGCAGCCTGGGAGTCATTTTGGACTCACAGCTGTCCATGGAGGCGCAGGTCAATTCTGTGTCCAGTGCAGCTGTCAACCAGCTCCATCTGGTACACAGGCTAAGACCCTACCTGCCTGCAGACTGTCTCCCCAGAGTGGTGCATGCTCTAGTTAACTCCCACTTGGACTACTGCAATGCGCTCTACGTGGGGCTACCTTTTTTTTTTTTTAATAAGATATTTATTAAGATTTTCAGAATATTACAATATAAAAAAAGAAAAATGCAAAATAAAAATAATTAAAAACAATTCATTCTTTCCATTACTTATCCTTCATTTGCTTATTTCCCGGACCTCCTCACGCCTCCCTTTTTTGTATTCCAGTTCAGTTTGTTAGTTCAGCAAATCACTCCCCTCTTTATATATCCTAGTCGTTAATCATACAGTATTGTAGTTTTAAATTTTTACCTTTTAATAATCCATTTTTTCATATTCCCTTATAACATTTCAGCTAAAGACCACTTAGTTTCTATCCAACATCATTCTAGCATTCATTAATTTTGCAATATTTCTGTAAATAGTCTTTAAACTTTTCCCAATCTTCTTCCATCGACTCTTCTCCCTGGTCTCGGATTCTGCCAGTCATTTCCGCCAGTTCCATATAGTCCATCACCTTCATCTGCCATTCTTCCAAGGTGGGTAGATCTTGTGTCTTCCAATACTTTGCGATAAGTATTCTTGCTGCTGTTGTAGCATACATAAAAAAAGTTCTATCCTTCTTTGGCACCAATTGGCCGACTATGCCCAGGAGAAAGGCCTCTGGTTTCTTCAAGAAGGTATATTTAAATACCTTTTTCAGTTCATTATAGATCATCTCCCAGAAAGCCTTAATCCTTGGGCACGTCCACCAAAGGTGAAAGAATGTACCTTCGTTTTCTTTACATTTCCAACATTTATTATCGGGCAAATGGTAGATTTTTGCAAGCTTGACTGGTGTCATGTACCACCTGTATATCATTTTCATAATATTTTCTCTTAGGGCATTACATGCCATAAATTTCATACCTGTGGTCCACAACTGTTCCCAGTCAGCAAACATAATATTATGTCCAACATCTTGTGCCCATTTAATCATAGCAGATTTCACCGTTTCATCCTGAGTATTCCATTTCAACAGCAAGTTATACATCTTTGACAAGATCTTAGTTTTGGGTTCTAACAGTTCTGTTTCTAGTTTTGATTTTTCCACCTGGAAGCCAATTTTCTTATCCAAATTGTATGCCTCCATTATCTGATAGTAATGAAGCCAGTCTCGCACTTTATCTTTTAATTTCTCAAAACTCTGCAATTTCAATTTGTCTCCTTCTTGTTCCAAGATTTCCCAATATTTCGGCCATTTGGCCTCCATATTGAGCCTTTTCTGAGCCTTTGCTTCCATTGGTGACAACCACCTTGGGGTTTTGTTTTCAAGTAAGTCCTTATATCTTATCCAGACATTTAACAATGCTTTCCTAACAATATGGTTTTTAAATGCTTTATGTGCTTTAATTTTGTCATACCACAGATATGCATGCCACCCCAAAACATTATTGAAACCTTCTAAATCCAAAATGTCTGTGTTCTCAAGAAGCAGCCATTCTTTCAACCAGCAGAATGCTGCTGATTCATAATAAAGTTTGAGGTCTGGCAGGGCAAATCCACCTCTGTCCTTTGCATCAGTTAATATTTTAAATTTTATTCTGGGCTTCTTGCCCTGCCAGACAAATCTAGAAATGTCTCTCTGCCACTTCTTGAAACAGTCCATTTTGTCCAAGATTTGCAATGATTGAAACAAAAATAACATTCTTGGCAATACATTCATCTTTATAACAGCAATTCGACCTAACAAGGAAAGCTTCAAATTTGACCATATCTCTAGATCCTTTTTCACTTCTGACCAACATTTCTCATAATTGTCTTTAAATAAGTTTAAGTTCTTAGCGGTCATGTTAATCCCCAAGTATTTTACTTTCTTAACCAGTGTTAAACCTGTCTCCTTCTGAAACCTCTCTTTCTCAATCGGTGTTAAATTTTTCTCAAGCACCTTAGTTTTTAACTTGTTCAACTTAAATCCTGCCACATGACCAAATTCCTGAATCAATTCTAATACTCTTTTAGTACTAGATTCTGGCTCCTGTAACGTCAATACTAAATCATCTGCAAAAGCTTTCAATTTGTACTGTTTAGCTCCGACCTGTATACCTTTAATCAGACGGTCCCTTCTAATCATATTTAGCAGAACCTCCAGGACCGAAATAAAAAGCAATGGGGAAATTGGGCAGCCTTGTCTTGTCCCTTTCTCTATCTTAAATTCCTCTGTCACCACATTGTTAACTATTAGTTTAGCCTTTTGTTCTGAGTTGATTGCACTTATACCATTTTCAAACCCTTGACCGACCCCCATCCCCTGAAGATTTTTCTTCATGAAGCTCCAAGAAATATTATCAAAGGCTTTCTCCGTATCTACAAAAATTAAAACAGCTTTAGTATTAATATTCACTTGCAACATCTCCAAAATGTTGATTATATTCCTCGTATTGTCAGACAAGTGTCTACCCGGGAGAAAGCCAGCTTGGTCTTTATGTATCTCCTCCACTAATACTTTTTTTAACCTTTTAGCCAAAATATCTGCAAAGATTTTCTAATCCACATTAAGCAGGGATATGGGGCGGTAGTTCTTAAGTTATGTCTTTTCAGACTCATTTTTCGGTATTAGTGTCGTATAAGCTTCCTTCCACGACTGGCGCTTTTTTCCCCTCCAAAATTTCGTTACAAACCTCCTTTAGTGGTTGAATTATCCAATCCTTCAAAGACCTATAATATTTTGAGGTTAGGCCATCTGGCCCTGGAGATTTGTACGTGGGGCTACCTTTGAAGGTGACCCAGAAACTACAACTAATCCAGAATGCGGCAGCTAGACTGGTGACTGGGAGCGGCCGCCGAGACCGTATAACACCAATCCTGAAAGACCTACATTGGCTCCCAATACGTTTCCGAGCACAATTCAAAGTGTTGGTGCTGACCTTTAAAGCCCTAAATAGCCTCGGCCCAGTATACCTGAAGGAGCATCTCCACCCCCATCGTTCTGCCCAGACACTGAGGTCCAGCTCTGAGAATCTTCTGGCGGTTCCCTCACTGCGAGAAGTGAGGTTACAGGGAACCACGCAGAGGGCCTTCTCGGTAGTGGCACCTGCCCTGTGGAACGCCCTCCCATCAGATGTCAAGGAAATTAACAACTACCTGACTTTTAGAAAACATCTGAAGGCAGCTCTGTTTGGGGAAGTTTTTAATGTTTGATTCTATTTTTAATATTCTATTGGGAGCCGCTCAGAGTGGCTGGGCATACCCAGCCACTGTTGTTGTTGTTTGGAGGGGGGAGAGGAATAAATGTTTTCCAGAGGCAGCATGGATTATATTCAGAGGCCTTGCATTGACCACTCTTGCTTTAAACTTCTGTTGTGTCCTGAGATGCCCTAAAATTGGAAGGAAGTTTTCAGAAATCTTAAGTCATTTCAAAACTTGCCAGTGCACAGTGAAAGAACTTGGACAGCTAGCCTTTAATAGGCACAATCAGACAAGCATGCCGTTCTCTCTAAGTGAAAAGAAATTTGTTGATGGGAGATTATCTTATAATCTTTGCAAGCATTTAAGAAATAATAGAGAGGATTAAAGATGCCTACAGTGAAAATGCTAAGCTGTAATTCACTCAGTGGTTTCTGCCAACTCCTTTTGTTCGTTGTTGTTGTTTTTCTTTTAAAACTGGTAGTAGAAGAACGTAAGAAAATTCACCTTGAATTCTACTCAAGGTGGGATTATGTTGATTAATTTATTTAATAAAGTCCTGTGTAAACATATTACTGTTAAGTATCCCCATTTTCCTGACACTGGGTGGAAGATTTGACATTTTGTTTATTGAGTTCTCTATGCCACACTGCATATGGACAGGTGTCTACACCACAATCAACAAAACTACAACTGGTATTCTCTGGCATGGTTTTTGCATGCTAGTTTCAGAAGGTGAAATATACTGTATTTTTCCATATATAAAACACCTCCATGTATAAGACGCCCCCTATTTTGGGGGACTTCAAATTAAGAAAACACCCCTCAGCACTACCCGTGTATAAGACGAACCCCAATTTTAAACCTTTTTTTTTGTAAAAAAAAAACCCTAGTCTTATACACAGAAAAATACGGTATATTATGGTGACTGAAACAATTGTCCATCATAAAAGCTGGCCGGCCACACCAGATACGATACACAGGGGAGGAAGTGGAGGGGAATTAGTGTAGGATTCCCTCTGAATAACAATAATAAATTGTTAATGTGCAGGGCCATTCTATACATTGTTACTTAGAAAAAAGTCTCAGTGTGTTGAATGGAGCATACAGTACTCTTAAATAAGTGTGCATTGGATTTTGGCCTCCACATATGTGGGCATGTTATAAGCTTTGAAGGTTAAAGAACCAGCAGCATGATAGGATGATCAAAAAACAATTGGATGTGACCTGAAGTTGTTTTATTGGTTTACTTAAAATGTCTGTACAATTTTTTTCAGATACCTTGTTCAAGGCAGTTAGCGGATACGTACACTGTGATATAATGGCTACAACTTTGACTTGGAGAATCTGTGTTCAGGTCCCTCACTTGCCCACACAGCATAGTGAGTGAGCTGGGGTCCAGCCATTGTTTCTCAGCATAATTAGCTCTCAGGGTTGTTGTGAAAATAAAATAGCCACCCTGAATTCAGTGGTGGAAATGTGGGGTATAAATTCAAGAACTTCAGAAGATAAAATCATTATAAAAAATATACAGTAAGCTACTAAATCAGAACAGCAAAGTCAGTAGCACAAAATATTATATGCTGCTGTTTTCATTACATCTCAGAACAAGCCCCATTCCAGCAGGTCAGTCATGCAATCAGCCCTGAATGCTGGGACTCTATATACTTTAATGATCGTATCTACCATCTCCTCCTTTTTGTTTTACCTCAATCAATCAAAAGGACTTCCCTGGCAATAATATCCATTCACCAAGTCCCCAAAGCAAGGCTGAGAGATGGTTTTGGGGGCTATCCTACAACTTTGCAAATCTTTTGTCTTTAGAGAATCGTGAAACTCTCAGCCTTTCCCAGAAATGCTTAATATATATTTTTTGTCAAACTGCTGTGCAGCAGTTATAATCTGGTTTTCATATATAGTATTTTATATTTCAACTATTTTATCCTGCTAGTTTTATTGTGTTGTGCTTTTAGAGTGTTGTACCTGCTTGTAAAAGGCCTGCAGCCAAGTTTGGGAGATGGTATGGTTTTGAAATTGTCATAAATACTGATGAGTGGCTGGCCAATTCTTATCATGGCATGCTCAGGACTGGAAATTGTGTCAGGTTGGGTGGGTGCTGTTGGATTAAGGTTGATGCAGACCTATCCCATACCACGTTATAGCTTTTTAAAAAAAAAAAAGCAAAGAAACAAGGATATGTTTCCATACTATGATTCCTATAGCATGAGTCATAGTGCAGACATAACCTAAACTGATTATGTCCACAAAGCTGAAACATTTAATAGAAGTAGGTGCAGCAAACTTGCAAGGGCTGTGGTGAGCACATGGAGTACTTTATTCCTACTGTGTCCCTTCGCTATTCTTTAAGAACAGAACAATTGTGTTGCTGGATCAGACCACTTTCGGTCTAGTTCAGCATCATGTTTCCAACAGCAGCTAGCCAAATACCTTTAGAAGTGCCCAAGTGATGATGACCATGAAGGTCAGTGTAGGAACAATTTGGAATTAGAGCCTTAAAACTTGAGACATGGAACAGGATATGGTACAGACTTGCATGTTGAGAGGAAAATCTCCATTCTGAGACATGTCCTGCAAGAACAAATGTCCATGATCTTCATTGCCGTTTGTTTCTGTAATTTTTTTTTTTTTAATACTGCCCTTGTCATTTTGAACGTGGGACTTAGAAAGAATGGTAACATCCTACACTGTGCATGTACACATCCATTTTGGCTTTTAAAACTCAGGCTTCCCATGCCAAGCAAAAAATGGTCCCTTACACCACAGACATATATGCTGCCATCCTATGTCACTTGCGTCCTTGACTTTCTTTTGGGTAACCAAGTGATGTTCCTGTCAAAGTTGGCTTATTATACTTTCAAGAATTAACTGGCCCTCATGAAGTCACACCTACACATGTAACTTGCATTTTACCACTCTGAAAGGACACATGCAAGAAATTACACATTATCTTTTTTGTATGAATATCTAATTTGTATGAATATCTGTATGAATATTTGTATGAATATCTAACCCAGGTGGAATCTACACACATATAAAAACTGTTCTGAAAATGCTTTTTAAAAAAAGCCTTTTAAAAAATACATTGAATTTTCCATAAGGCTCACCATCGCCATCTAGTGCCACATTGTATATTGCACTTAAAACATTTTATTTGCAGCTGTATAGCTGCATCCCCAATATTTTAGAGGAAATCTCACCCCTTCTCAAAGATAGGGTGAAAGCTTTCTGTATAATATCTGAAAGAGGAATGAAATGTTCACATAATTGGCCTGGATAGCTGGTTAGAGAGTGGTGCTGATAATGCCAAGGTTGCAGGTTTGACCCCCCCTATGGGACAGCTGCATATTCCTGCATTGAAGGGGATTGGATTAGATGACCCTCAAGGTCCCTTCCAACTCCACAACTCTATGATTCTATAGACCCCTAAATGGCTCCCCGCCCCCGTTTATACATACCTTGCTTCCATAATGGCAGTGCGCATGGGTTTCCCAGGCAGTCTTCCATCCAGGCACTCATAAGACCCAGATTTGCTTAGCAATGACATGGGGGCCGCCTCATTTGTTCATTTGTATTTCAGCAAAGACTTGATGTCTGCTCTTTACTGTCCAGTCTTTCCAGCTCATTTAGTTGGTGACTGTACCACTCTCTTCTTTTGTGTGTGTGAGAAATTCAGAGCTTTGGTTTTGTCTTTTCAGAATTTGCCCACTCTGCTACTGCTGTTACACAACTACCCTTGGGTATCCTATAAGTCAGCCTGTTTGTCTAGAGGTGGTTTAGCCCTCACATGGGCTGCTAACAGACTGCGATGCCCCAATGTCTGGGGTTGTATCCTGAGGTTGCAGCCCTCTCATTTCATTGTTCTTCTGTTCCTTCCCATGGCATTTCTGCAGTTACAGGAAGATCTGAGTCTGAGGTAGGAAGAAAGTGGGAACCCCCCTCAGATCAGTATTTGAGCGTTCGCATTCCATGGTCACAACATGCAGCAGAGGAGCATTGGATTGGGGAAGCGGGAGAGACAAATCAAAACAATTGACTTGTAAGTCAACATGCTAGCTTGCTGTTTCAGGCAGACTGTTGAAATCCTAGCCCTACGATGATATCATTTAGACTGCAGGGGGCTCTGAACTGTGTGGATGAATGGACTGAGCCGCCTTCATTCACCTCAGGAAGAGGAAGAGTTGAGTGTGGCCCCATTTTCCACAGAGATCTGCTTCCCTGTCATTTAATGATAGGACAGAAGGACAGCATGTACCAAAGCGCAATTTAGCCACCTGCTGCACTGAGGTAGTTCCCTCCTCTCTATGATTTGCAAAGTGTAAAAGGGCCTCCCTAAGGAGATATGAGGCGCAATCCCTTCAGCTCAAATTAATTCTGCGTTTTGAATGGATAAGAAGGAATGCCAGCCCTGTTATCTCTCCCCCATCCCCTTCATATCCCATTCAATGTAGTACAGGGAGTTCTAGTGATGCATTGAGAATTTTCATGTGTCACTAAAAATAGCGCCTTTGGGAGAAGTGTGAGTTCATACATGTTAAAAAGCAGGAGACAGCTTTTCAAAATCTGACAATACATGCTGATCAGTTTAGGCAAGAAGTGGGTAGTTTGCGGCCATACAGGTGTTGTTGGAATTCAATTTCCATCAGCTGCAGCTAGGATAAGCAATGGTGAAGGATGATGGGAGTTGTAGTGCAGCAACATTTGGAGGACCACAGGTTCCCTGCCCCTGGTTCCAGGCTTGTATTTGCATTGCAAATGGAAAAGGGGAATTTTAAAAAAGCGATTTGTGCCTTACACACTTGGAAAGCTTAAACTTCTCTACAAGAAACTGAAAATGGTACTCAAAGCGCCAGATAGTTCCACTAGTGGAAGCCAATCTGAGGCCTTCTGCTAGATAAATGTTTTTTTGTTTGCCTTTCTCCTCCCTCAAATTGGCTGGGCGGGGCAGGGACAGGGTTGGAGGAAACCCCAGAACAGCATGCAAGGGGAGGATTCCATAGGGTGGCCATGGGTCCTACTTTACAGAAGACATTCCTAGCAGAAGAGATATTTGGTTCAAGTCTGATTTAAAGATCAAGAATCAGAAGAGACCTTGAAACGGCTCATTAACAGTTAACACCTGGATAGCATACAGATCACCTGACCACAGCCTTCTTCACTATGGTGAGATGTATGATACTTTAATTTACATGATTTACAAGTCAACACTCTTAAGATCATGGAGGTTGGGTAGACAAATTAACATTTGAAAATTCATCTAAGGCTGCTGTTCTGTTCCCATATAAGTGTTTACTTAAAGTAAATTTTCTAATAAATGGGTTTAGGGTTGTAATATTACTGACTTTAATGTGACTGAGCACTGTTTGTGCTGGGAAGGGAGAGAATGTAATGCAATCTAGTTTTGGCTGTACCTGCCTTTGGTCTACCCAGGTATAAATGGGCTGTATTCAATTAAATTCTGCTCACAGTAGACCCTTTGAAATTTAGGAACCTAAGTTGTACCTACTAATTTCAATGGGTCTACTCTGAGTAGGACAAGCAGTGAACACATTCCAGTATGTTGAGATGTGTTTTAATCATAGCAGGCGATAAACGTTGAGACAGAATTTTGGATTCTGTCAAGAGTTGGGGGATAGAGAAGAACATTTGAGCATCCTTTCAATCTCAAGTCATCCAGGTGTTCTACTTTGGAATGTAAGCCTTATAATATTATTACACTACTATGCTCCAAGTGATAAAAATGGAGAACTTGCACTTTAAGAGACAGTAGCTGTAACAGAAAGGTATGGTTACTATAAATTCAAAGCCTAGCATTTTATTTATGCTGAGAACTGCATAAGGTATATATGTATGTGTATGTATACCATACGACAGCTCAGCTTTGTACATTTAATGAGCTAAGTTGGGGGAAGGTTCTGTGGATAGGTCTTATGTTATCAAAGCAATAATAAACAACTTTAATGCCACCTTCCTTCACTTGCTGTAACAGTAACATCCATATTCTTTATGCACTCCTGTGCTTGGCCTAATTTCTTGGGAGAAAATGTGAAATGAATATTAGCTACTCATTCTAGATGGACCATTTAAAGAAACAAGCTAAGTCTCTGAGTTGGGAGTGTTGGGCAGTTTCATAGGCCCACATGTGCTCTGTATGCTTACATAATGTGCTCCAGGGCTGACCCCTTGAAATCAAGCCATGGGACTAAAACCTGCTGAAGCCTGGCTACAGAATGTAATATCTAAAGACCTGCCCAATCTCAAACTATCCTGGAAATGTTATGTTGCTTGAAAGCTCAATCTCAGGCTTGAAAGGGCTGCTTTTAATTTCTTATCCAAACTACAAGAAAGAAGATTCCACCTAAACATTAGGAAGAACTTCCTGACAGTAAGAGCTGTTCGACAGTGGAATTTGCTGCCAAGGAGTGTGGTGGAGTCTCCTTCTTTGGAGGTCTTTAAGCAGAGGCTTGACAACCATATGTCAGGAGTGCTCTGATGGTGTTTCCTGCTTGGCAGGGGGTTGGACTCGATGGCCCTTGTGGTCTCTTCCAACTCTATGATTCTATGATTCTATGATTCTATCCCAGTGCTCCGAGGCAAAGCATTCTGCACATGCTCAAAGGCATCCTTATTACACTTTTTATATCATGTTAGTGCCTAGGGCATGTTCTGCCTAGGGCAGAAAGGAGATGTTCACCAGATGCTATTGGAGGCATTTCTGGTAGGGATGGTGCCTCCTACTAGAAGGATCAGGCAGGGTCTTCTGAAGCCTTCTGCTTCCTCTCTAGGGAGGAGTTATCCCTCTTTCCAGACCAATCCTGTCTTCTCATCTATATCCTTTCTAGTGTTTGTTTTGTGTCAGTTTTGTGAGTTTTGTGATCTTTTTCCTCCCCTCCCACCTTTTCTTCTTCTGATAAATACCCCCTTCTCAGGGACCTTAGCATTCCCCTTCAGACTTTTCCCTACACGTTTCCTGAAATGAGAATGTGTCACTCCCTGCCCCCGCCACTATTATCAGAATGCCCCCCCCCCCAAACTTGAGAACTGGGGCATTCCTCAAAGTGCTGCTGCTCGTCTTCTCTGCCCTGGGTGGTGGTGGTGGAGAGATGAACAACAACACTGCACACAGGAACGCTTCAGCTCTCCCCAAACTCAGCGAGAACCAGGGCACTCCTCAAGATGTTGCCGCTTGCCTTCTCTGCCCCAGAGCTGGGAGAGACGAGAAGCAATGCCACATGCCAGAATTCCTTCCTCTCACCAGTGAGAGGGCAAGCAGGGCACCAGCTCTTGTGCTTCTGCTACCTGAGCCAGGAGCTTCACTTCACCTCACCTCACCTCATTGGTGGTCTGGCTCTGACGGAGTGTGTCTGGAGAGCTGCAGAGACTGATCCTGACCCTTGATGCCTGCCTGATGGGTTGGCATGCTCTTCTCAACCAGGTAGTTGCCCAAGGAACAACAGCCTAGAGCTCTGGGCCATATCCCTGGGCCTGAAGTCTTTCACTTGAGCTGTTCATTGGTGAAGGCCTTAATTTGCATCACACTGTTCATCACTTCAGCTGGCCAGTGATAGACCCCTTTGCAAACCTGGTCATTGCAGTTTTTGGCATTCATCTTGTGCTTCCCTTGTGCAACATTGAAGGGAATAGACATTCTATTGCACCATGGTCTGGGGGTTCAACTATTAGCATTCTCTTTCCCCTCTGATTCCTTGTATGATCCAGAAGATTCAGCCGCTGTAGGCTTTGGTAGTCCTTGTGGCCTCATTATGACTGTAGAGGCCATTATTTCAATGTCTCATCATTTTGTCTGTGTGAAACCTGTGGATACTTCCAGTCCCGAGGAACTGTTGTTGCTATTTATTTAACAGTATGACAACTGAAAGACTGCCTGACTCAAATGGTTGTTTCTGTTGTGACTGCATTGTACTCTAGGAAGGCTCCCTCTTAACACATGTATAAACTCAATAGGATTTATCAGTCCTGGGGTTCTGCTGCTAAGGTAGAGCCAGTGATTTCCTTGGAGCTGCCTGGTCACAAGGTCATTTTGCTGGTTGCAACTACATTGGTGAGTAGGGTTACAGAGTTAGGAGTCTTTCATTGGACCCATAGTTATGTGTTAACGAGGGTGGTGACTGGGAATGGCTCTGTTCTTTCTCTGTTCACAGGCAGTAGTTTCATTCTCTTTTTATCATAATCCTTTACATTCTCACGAATCCAAATGGCACACACTGCCATTGGTAAGGAGAGCTCTGCGGTACTAGCTGCACAGAGCTTTGGAGTTTAAACTTTCTGAGACTCTTTTGTCTTCTTTCGCTCCCTAGAAATGGTTCTGCACTCAGTAGCCATCCTGCTTGCAGGAACACAGAGGGCTCTGCTGTTTTATTTGGATAGGTCTTGGGACACCAGGAGGTCTGAGTCTCACTCTGAGGACTTACAGGTCCCTATGTACGAAAGTGAACTAATATCTATAGGCCACAATGTGTTGGTGAGGGGTGGCTGGGAGAGGATCCTTCCCTCTCTCTTTTCGGATTGTTCAGGAAGTGCATTTTCTCTATTATTTCAAATATTACAACGTTGAAGGTCTTTCATAATTCACGCTTCTGTTATTCTTTATGCATGCCAAATGCAGGCTGTTAAACATAAATAAAACTTCCAGTGCCCAACCAGGAAAAATAAACTGCCAAGACTTGTCCATCCTCTAAAAGGAAATAGAATATATTTTCAAATTTTCTTCCTCCTCACTATATTTCCATTTGGTAGCTTTTCTTTGTGGCTCTGTTACATTGACACCTACAATTGTTATTCTGAAACACAGTTTTTTTCCTTTATTCTGTGTTATTTTATTTCATTGTTGTAAGGCAATTTTCAGAATACAATTAAAATAGGATAGGAAGAAATAATTCTGCACTAACAGGACTGTGTGTGTTTTGGAATATAATTTTGCAATTCAGAATTTGGCAGCCTGGTAAGAACCTCCGCTTTTTATTTTAAAGCAAATATCCAGTCCTTGGGGTCTAGATATGCAATATGGCAGGTGAAGTTTCAGAAGATAGTGGGTGTAAACAGGATTTTTCTAACAGTTTAGAGAGTTACAATGCCCTGCATAGCTTTTCACTGCATAGTCTTCAGCAGTTTACCTGACACGTTACCTTGCTTCCTGACTGTACATGTCTACTCAGAAGTAAATTCCACTGAGTTCATTGGGACTTAACTGCATCAAAGTGTGTTTGGGATTGCAGCCTTAGCTCTGCAAAATAAAGACATGTAGGAAAATAATTTATACAGGTTCTAAAACTTTATTTTAAAAAACCCAAAACCTGTTAGCTTCCACTAAGTGGAGCAGTTTTAGAACAATGAAAGTAGGAAAAATGAAAGTGCCAGGGACTGCAAAGAGTAGGCACAAACTAGGAAGATCAGCCCTTGAGATCAGGTTATTTTGCTTAAAGCTGGAGAAGCTACAACTCAAGTGGTCACAAAGGATTCTGAGCACACTCCTTTATCAGCAGAATTCTTTCTTATGCTTGGCTCTCACTTCTCTGGTTGTAAAAATGGGAATAATCATTGCCATAGCATTTGCGAAGATGAAAATAGTAAGGATTATAATGTATTTTGCAATCTGAAAGCCATCTTAAAATGACAGGTATTCATAATGATCGCATGCTATGTGCAGCAGTCTCTTGGAGTTTCGTTTGAACTAGTGCTCCCTTAACAGGACATAGATGATGAAATCTTCCATCCTGGAATATGAGAAGGAAAAATGTGAAGCCTGCCGACCTATGCACAGTTAGAAATAGGCTCCATTGAACTCCATGGGACTTACTTCTGAGTGAACATGCAAAGGCTCAGGCTACATAGGAGGCAGTACACATCTCTGTACATATACAGAGTACCTTTCCTTCATCAGTGTGCAGTTAGAGCCAAGGCCCACATTCCTGGGATGAGAGGACTGAGTTTCTTGTTCAGAACGTATGTGTTTAAGGCAGGTTTTAGTTCCAGCACCTTCCTTTTTTAAAGTTATAATATCTAGGGGCTTCTTAACCAGATAATGTGAGTTATTGTGTAATGGTCTGAATGAGGCAAAGGCCTGTTTGTGACATAGAAAGCTCCATTCCAGCACCTCGTAGGTCTCTGAAATGTCGTGGTCATCTTACAGAAGTAATGGTCACTGTTATTAAGAGCCACTATACAACTGAAAGTTCAGGGCTACCATTAAGTAGTAAATCATATTACTCATATATTGAGAAATGCTATTTCAAAGGCAAAGCGCTATGGAATAAATACACTTGGGTTTAGCTTTGAGACAATGGAGAGCTTGTGTAAAATGGATACAAGGTGAAAGTAATTTTTAAACTTTTATTTTCAAAGAGTTTTGTGACCCATTTTGGCTCCTTTGCTTGATGTCCTTCCACTGCTTTTTTGATTTTTTTTTAAAAAGACTCTTACCATTATATCAGGTCCAGAAAAAAAATCCCTGCTTTCCACAAGAAGGTAATTCTGGGTGTTTTTATATAAAAAGAAGAGTGAGACATACGTGACGTTAGGAGTGCCTATTGCAACCATATTAAAATGGCTAGCAATCTCTCTCCCCCCTTCCCCATTCCACTAGCATACAATTTGGCACAAACATTTTGAGGTCAGATATTACATGTGCTTTTGTTTTGTTTGTCAAGAAATAGTAGGACTGTCTTTTTTTTTATAAGATATTTATTAAAGTTTCAAAAATAAAAAAAGAAGTTACAATAGTAATAATAAGAACAAGAAAAAAAAGAGGAAAAAAGAATAAAAAAGAAAGAAGAGAATACAAAATACAAAAAAGTAAAAACAATTAAAAACAAATCAATCTTTCCATATCTTGTCTTTCATTCACTTGTTTCCCTGACCTCCTCACACCTCCCCTTTTTTGTATTCCAGTTCAGTAAGTTAATTCAGCAAATCCTTTCCCTCTTTGTTTTTATCTTAGACCTTTGTCTTAATATGTAGTAACTGTATATTCTCATCTGTTAGCAGTCCATTTTTACATACTCCTTGTAGCATTGCTACTAAAAACCCCTTAGCTTCATTCCAACATCATTCTAACATTCATTAATTTTACAGTATTTCTGTAGATAGTCTTTAAATTTCTTCCAATCTTCTTCCACCGACTCTTCTCCCTGGTCTCAGATTCTGCCAGTCATTTCCGCCAGTTCCATATAGTCCATTACCTTCATCTGCCATTCTTCCAGGGTGGGTAGATCTTGTGTCTTCCAGTACTTTGCGATAAGAATTCTTGCTGCTGTTGTGGCATACATAAAGAAAGTTCTATCCTTCTTTGGCACCAATTGGCCGACTATGCCCAGGAGAAAGGCCTCTGGTTTCTTCAGGAAGGTATATTTAAATACCTTTTTCATTTCATTATAGATCATCTCCCAGAAAGCCTTAATCCTTGGGCACGTCCACCAAAGGTGAAAGAATGTACCCTCAGTTTCTTTGCATTTCCAACATTTATTATCGGGCAAATGATAAATTTTTGCAAGCTTGACTGGGGTCATGTACCACCTGTATATCATTTTCATAATATTCTCTCTTAAGGCATTACATGCCGTGAACTTCATACCTGTGGTCCATAACTGTTCCCAGTCAGCCATCATAATGTTATGTCCAACATCTTGTGCCCATTTAATCATAACAGATTTCACTGTTTCATCTTGAGTATTCCATTTCAACAGCAAGTTATACATTCTTGACAAATTCTTAACTTTAGGATCTAACAGTTCTGTTTCCAGTTTTGATTTTTCCACCTGGAAGCCAATTTTCTTGTCCAAATTTTATGCCTCCAGTATTTGATAATAATGAAGCCAATCTCGCACTTTATTTTTTAGTTTTTCAGAGCTCTGCAATTTCAGTTTATCTCCCTCTTGTTCCAGAATTTCCCAATATTTCGGCCATTTGGCCTCCATATTGAGCTTTTTCTGAGCCTTCGCTTCCATCGGTGACAGCCACCTTGGAGTAAGAAATAGTAGGACTGTCAATAGCTATCAGCCAGGATAGCTAAATGAAACTTCCATGTTCAGAGGCAGCATGCTGTTGATTATCAGAAGGTTGCCAAATGCCTCTGGGAAGCTCAGACGTGTGGCATGAAGGCAATAGCCTTGCTCTGTTCCAGGCACTTAGGGAAGCCTATTGCACAGAGGTCACACTTGCAAGTTTCCCAAAGCCCTCCTTGGAAGCAGAATCCTGAACTGGATGGACCTTGGGTCAAATACATAGGACAGCTATTAACGTGATGTGCTTGAAGTCTTGTGATTAGGTGACACGTTTTTGCTTTTATTACAAAAATGCATTCAATCTCAGTTTTAAAGGGGGAAAACGTGTTTTAGCTTCTTAGTGTCTCCTGTAAAGCAAAATGTAATACACGATTGCAACAGAAAGGATGTCAGTTGCATGAAATTAGAGTACTGTATGTTAATTAGCTGCCCGATTCCACCCTTGCAATGCATATTCTGCTGCTCTCCCCTAATTAAGAGATCAAGGATCCTATGCTGTTGTCATGTGCAGTTTGTTTGAAAATCTCCATATATGTGTGTATGTGTGTTAAGCAGCTGATACATTGTACTTCTTAAAATCTGCTCTTTGGTCTCAGTCAGTTACATGATAGGAAAGGACAATAGCATTAGTTTCAAAATTGCAGACAGTGACTTGCTTGACAGCAGCCCGAAGAGGAGTCCTGTCCCTTAAAAGTGAAGCAGGGAAGGCTTCCTAGTTCTGTCTCTCTGTCAGAAGAAGAACCCTTCTCAGTTTACAACCTGTGAGCAAGACGCCTGCACAACTTCACAGGAACCAGTCAGAGCCATTTCATTGTTTGAAATGGAGTTCAGATGGCATCACCCCCACCACTCTGACCAACTTTTAAAAGTCTTGCTGCACCATTCAGACACCAGTGCCCACCTTCATCTGCTTCCCCCTCGTGCTGCCAGGTTTCCTTACCCTGCTGTGTGGCAAGGCTGGCCCTGAATGGGCCCAAATGGTTCAAAGCTTGCTGCATGAGGAGAGCAGCAAGCTACCTTTGCCACCCCAGGCAATGTTGTGTAGATGACAGGACATACAAACCAGAGCAACAGCATTGTCACTAAGGGCTAATTCACAGCTGCATCTCTGGTCATTGATTGTACAATACATCAAGTGATGACCTGCATGTGCGAATGGCCCATCAGAGGTTAATCGGCAGACAGACATTTCTTGCTACTCAACACAATACCTTTCAGGAGTCTGGTTGTTTTCTGACAACTATAAACTCCACTTCTTAACCTTTGGTACTTAAATTAAAAGCCAAAAGAAGGACAAAAGGAAGACCATCTATTGCATACAACCTGTACATCTTGCCGTCATTCTTCCAAGACTCTGTAAGTCAGCAGTTCAGTCGTGTCTTGGGCTCATCAGCCCATAACTTACTATTCCCTTTCAAATGCACCAAGGCCATTAGATCTGGAGAAAAGTCAGATTTAAATACATTTATCTTAATAAATGGAAAAGCAAGTGTTGCTTAAAGCAAATATTCAGTGCATGCGATGTTGACATCAGATTTATTTGCAGGACTTAAAAGCTGGCCTTACTTAAATCTGTTTCAGCCGTGGATCAAATGAATTTGGTTGTCCCAACCTGGCCCCCAGTGAATCAAAGTCCACATCACCAACTCACAGCATCATTTGTCACAATTGGCAGTATCTGCTCATGAGAAAATTATGTGGGCACGGGCTGCAGAGTAGGCTTGAGGTGCATTATCAGAGCTGTATGGGGAAGCATGCAGCAGGCTTGCCCTTGCTCCAGCAGGACTTGCTCTACTTCACTCTTGTTTTCATAAGGCCCAATAAATATCAAGTTAAAGCTGAGAATGAGTTTGAGCTCATTTAACTGTGCTTCTGTTTTGCCATTCATGTTCAGTCACCTTTTCAAAAGTCCCAAATGTGTACTCCAAATCACTAGTGTGATTGTCACATTCTTTCGCTGTCTCTCACTCTATCAGATACATTATGAAAATGACTTTTGCATATTAACTAAAAAACTAAGGAACTGCTTCATGGATTTCCCAGCAGAATTGCATGAGAAACATTAACATATTTGGTGATTCAGAAAGGTGGAGGGAAGGGAGGGAGTAGAGGCAGAGAAAGCAATAAAGACTTTTGCATATTTGTTTTTCTGACAAAATCAAATATGCACACAAACCAGGAGGGAAATGAGTGAAGGAGGTGTACCATAATAATGTTTATTTCACAAACTGTGTCCCTGTTGGGTATAGGGATCCCATTGATTTGCCCATAGCTTACTCCAAAGCTCATCTTCTCCTGTGCTGGGCAGGGTACAGGTGTAGAGCCGATCAGAAGGTGAGCTATTTGACTCTGTGTCAGATGGGTGAGCTCCAGTTGCTCTGTCCCAGCTTCTGCCAACCTAGCAGTTCAAAAGAACACCAGGGCAAGTAGATAAATAGGTACCACTGCGACAGAAAGGTAAACAGTGTTTCCATGCGCTCTGGCACCCGTCAAGGTCCTCCATGCGCCAGAAGCAGTTTAGTCATGCTGGCCACATGACCTGGAAAGCTGTCTGTGGACAAACACTGGCTCCCTTGGCCTGAAGTGAGATGAGCGCTGCACCCCATAGTTGCCTTTGACTGGACTTAACTGTCCAGGGGTCCTTTATACCTTCAGAGGCGTCAGAAGATCCCTTAAACATAACAAACATTATTGGGTGGGCTCTCTATAACATTAATTTCATTAAACTGCGTTTTATTTGTAAATACAGACCTAGTAACAGATTAATTACCCTTTAACCCATTTTAACCATGCATTTTCTGCACATTTAAATTTGTTAGAAGGTGGTAAAAGGTCAAGTTTCTTAATTTTTCCATGCATGTTTGAATGGTGAATTGAGCTTCTATGAGTCTTTGAAAGGAAAAAGCAACCCATTATTTCTTACATTATTTTAGTTACTCTGCGTTAATCCACTATACTCTGGTCCTAAGTATACTGACTCGTATTTAAGTCTCAATAATTACAGTGAAACTGATTATTCAGAAGGTACCTCTTGCAATATGCATGCAGGGGTTCTAAACTTTTAAAGATGCCCCTGTAGCTGTGCCTTTAACAGCATTTTGATCACCAGACATCTCCCTGCAAGGAAAGCTTCAGCTGCTGATTTCTAGCCAGTCAAACTGCTGTTAAGAACACAAGAGCAGCCCAAGCCCCCACCCCCTTTTCTCATTTGGCCACTGTACACTGAAGGGGTGAGGTGGGTTAGTGTCCTGGGAAGAGGACTGAAACATGCCCCACTTCAGAGATAAATTTTCCTGAGCAATTAGCTGGATCAGTGTCATGTAGCCCAATCCTGTTCCTGTTTACTCAGAGGTAAATCTCAGTGGAACTCGGCTAAGTACGCAAAAGGTTTCAGCATTAATCTTAATGTCAATGCATACACACTCCTCCGTGTAAGTTTACTGATTCTGAGAATGGGCCCCTTTAGGCTTCCTTTACAATGCAATATGTAAATTGGTGAATCAGTCAAGTTAGTCTCCAGTCCCCAACCCAAGTCAGCTAGGGACCAATTAACATGTTCCTCCATGACCTTTTCAGACCATGGCAGCCATGGTTTTTCACTGACCTGTTACTTGTATCCACACTAAGCCGGTTGTGTATTTTGACCACCACTAGACTGAACTCAGACAAATTTACTTCTGGCGCTTGATCATAACCCCAGCTATTTCAAATGGCTGCAGTCAGGAATCAAAATAGTCTTTGCTGTGTTGTGGGTGGTGCAGTGATTAGCCTTTCTTGCTGACCCCTCCCAGCTTTTAAAGTCTAGAATGTCTTTATGCTCTCTTTTGACTAGAAACACATTGCCTTGTTGTGCTGAGTGCCTATGTTTCATATCCCATTAGTTTTTAGACAAATTTTAAGATGAGCCAAAATTCAGGAGAAACAGCGAAAGGCTTGTTGTCTTTCCTTTTTAATTTGTGCAGGTTTGTGCTGAACAGATCAGACCTTTAAAAAAATCTGCAATATCATAGTGTTTCCTTTCCTTTAAAAACAAAATGGGGGAGGGGAGGAAGGCTTTTTGGTGTACGTGTTAAGGCAGCGTTTTTCTTTGCGAGACCTTGCTGTGAAGTTCTAATATGTCACCATTCAAATGTCAGCATGCTGTTGGAAAGGAAGCTAATAACTTAAACCTTTGAGAGCTGCCAACAAAAGAGGTAATTCAGATTGTGGAGAGAATGCCATTGTGTTCTTAGGGGAAATAGATTTCCAGAATGAAACATGCTACTTGGAAGCATTTGTCTTTTGTGTGTGTGGAAAGGGGCAACGGGGGCGGGGGGGGGCGGGAATGTAGATTATAAACCTAAAAGATGGTTTGGCTAAGATAGCTCTCACTTTGGAGAACTAAAGGAGGAAAAGGGAGTTGACAGAAGTGGGAGTGGAAACTCCAGAAGCCCCAAATCTCTACTTTTATGGGGAAGGTGCGTAGCTAACAGTCAGCAGCCTGCACATTGTATGATTAATGCTTTTTTTCTTAGAGCTTTTGCCTTTGGAGAGGCAGCCACAATGTGGCCTTAGCTTGTTCTCTGGAAATGTCATGTAACATACAAATTCCTTCTGTTTATCCCAACACCACTCGACAATATATGACTTGGCTTCTTCAGGTGGTTGAACTACTGCAAGTATTAAAAAGAAAAACAACAATGCTGCATGTTTAACGGTGGGGGCAGGAAAGAAGCAAATAAACCTGGAGTAATGCAATACTCTTCATTAAGGTATTTGTAGACACCCCCCCCCCCCCCGCACATAGTTGTGGTCAGGCTTTTTCTGAGAAAAGAAACAATTGGGTTTTAGAGCCACCTACTGGAACTGTATAAGAACTGCGTGCACATACAGCGAATAGTTTTGAGCAATGTGGATTTTTGCCATTGGTGTGGGTCACTGAAACTTCTGCCTTTTCCCTAAAGACTTTGAGAACTTCCCCTAGGCCGACAAGCGTTCAAAATAGTTGTTTCTTTTGAACCCCCCTCCCCATTGTTGTATCCTCCTAGTATTAAGAGTTGTCACAAAATTATTTTAATAAAGTAAAGGCGAAGGCTTGCTTTGAGTTTGATAAATGAACAGAGGTAGCCAGTGCTTTTAGAATTAGTTCAAATATCTTATTTGAACATTTGTCTTTTATCAAAGTCGCATGAAAACTGTTCTCCATAATGCAGGTTCTGAGCGAAACAATAAGACAGTGAGCTTTTCTTCCTAAAGTAATCTTTTTATAGGCCTTTGGGGATCACAAATAAGGTTCTCCTACCCCTAAAGGGCAGCCAGCCTGGGCTCTCAGCCAGTGCCCCACCTGCCCCACTGCTGGAATTAGCTCTGATTTGGTTGTCCTTCCTATTCCTTTTCAGAGCATAACCATCAGGTTAGGTTTCCTTCCTTCTTCACTACAGGCTGCAAATTCAAACGTGCAAATGATGCTTTGATGTTTGATGGGGCTGTTTAGGTGGAGTTTTCCTTTTCACACAGGAAGCTAAGACTGTGATCCGAGGTATATCTACCAGGACTAACCTGGAAATACAAGCTTAACCAAGTAAAGCTCTGCAGAACAATTCTGCACATCCCTGTGGATCAGGTTGCATAGTAAACTTTGAGTGATATCTGGGTATGTGCTTACCCAAGGCATTGCAGTTGTTCTTTATGATTAATTTGGTGTATCCCAATGCTTATAATACAGACTGGATTGTCATTCTATTATTGACTTCCTACCTATTTGCCCAATGGAATTATCACTCACCCCCTGCTGGTGTAACTAGGAGAAAAGTTGATCCTTGTGTGTGGTGTGCCTTTATTTTTATTTTTTTTAAAAGACTGCATTTGAATATACCTGTCTTCTTAGTTGGCACTACAGTAAGAAATTTTATTCAATGAATTACCTGTACAGCCCATGTTATAGGAAGATTTGTGAATTGTCAGCAAGCATTAATAACACTTTGCTTGTCACACAGCTTGCTCTTGAGCATATTTCTTGATGGAAATACAGCTTTCTTTGCATAGGAATAATAGCTATTGGGATAAATCTTCTGCCAGATTATTTTGGCTTTGGGACTGCTACTGAGTAACACTATTTGTGCTTCTGGCCCAGTGCTGTCCACTCTTAATTAGCAACAGCAATCCAAGATCTCAGACAGAGGACTTTCCCAGCAAAGTTGGTTGGTAGGTAGATAGATACCTGAAATCCTTTTTCTACCTGAAAGTGCGAGGAACTAAATGAGACCTTCTGCATGCAAAAATGTGCTCTACCGCTGAATTGTGGCCACTCCTTTGTGGCACCAACATGGCCAATATGACCTCATATTTTTGCTGCAACATATATGTAGAAAATCCCCTCTTGGTTACTGTGTGCTTCTTGTCACTTACTTGCCATTCTCTCTGTCAGATATATTACAGAGTGGTGAAAGACATTGAAGCTGGAGAAGAGCTCCTTCTGTTCATGAAGACTGAAGACTATTTACACGATCCTATGGCTCCAGACATTCATGGTCAGCAATTTCTTATGGCAGATTGTCAAATAACTTATATAGAAAGTTCCCTAATTATCAGCACTTAGAGCAAATTTATCCTCTCGCATTGGTCGAAGGCCACTGAGAGTAATGACTGATTTGCTTTACAGAGGAGCGTCAGTATCGGTGTGAAGACTGTGACCAGCTGTTTGAGTCCAAAGCAGATCTCGTGGACCATCAGAAATTCCCATGCAGCACACCTCACTCAGCATTTTCGATGGTGGATGAGGAGTTTCAGCCAAAGCTTGACAAGGAGAATGACCTCCATGATATGCATGACATTCAAGAGTGCAAAGAATGTGACCAAGTGTTCTCTGATGTGCAAAGGTAGGAACAGGCATATTTTAAGAGAAACAAAACACACATAGACACCATATAAAAATATATTATATATATGGTCAAAGGTAAAGGACCCCTGGACGGTTACGAAAGACCCAAATCAATCTTTATTTTATTTCAAAATTTATTTATTTTATTTCTATTTTTATTTTAAAATATTTAGTAACTGATGATAATTAGAGAATTCCATAGTGGTTTGCAACTTAAAAATAGCTAGTAAAATTGCCAATAAGAAAACATAAAGTAATTCAAACAAAAACTAACAATAAGCCAACAGCAGAAAGTGAGGAATTACAGCACAGTAGAGGATAGTGTGTAAACCAGTCATCAGGTCTTGATTCATAACAAACAAACAAATAACCCATGTTTGCCAAAAGACAGCAGTGCTTGTCTTGATGTTTTTAGAAATAGAGTTCTAGAATCTTGGGGTTCCTGATCATGTCTAATACAGATTTCACACAAAAAATGGAAGGGACCTGATCTCATGGTCTCAAGTGGGGGGGGGGGCTCATATAGGAGGACATGTCCCTGCTGTGCTCAGTGAGTATGCAGTGCCTAGAGAGGTCAAAAGCTACAAAGTTGGCAAGATCTACACTTCTAGTGTTGGTGGTGCTGGAAGAAGTCAGAGATGCACTTTGAGTATTTGCTAAAGGACAAGGAATAAATATGTAAAAGTTGGTGTTTTAAGATTTATAGCTGCTAAATTATTTTAAGTTCCAGCTAATTATGAAGGCAGTGTCTGGTTTTGAAAGTCAGTGCACAAACAGAAACCATTTTCAGGCCAGGGTTCTCTTGGATAAGTGAGCACATCCACTGTTGGGAAACTACAATATCACGGCAGCAAAAATGCAACCTTGAGGGAAGATGTCTGGACTTTAGGAACAGATGGATGACAACTCTGCATTACTCGTGCTTCGAAAACTCTTCTTTGGGGAAGGCCTTTAAGGGTATTAAAGGCTCAGAACAAAGGCCAGGAAAAAATAGCAGCAAAAGACAAATCATAAATTGCTCTGCCACTGAGAGGGAGAGGGTGAAAAATGAGAACCGTCAGCCTGGCTGAAAAACATTTAAATTATTTAAAGTCCAATACATGACAGAAACAGTTCAAGGAAAAGGAATATAGAGAAAATATTCTATTTCAAAAAAATGTTCAGGTGGCAATTGGAATTGTTGATATATATGCAAGCTGGTGTATGTGTAATTAATGGGGGGGGGGGGGGACAGCCAAACACCATTTTAAATCTATGTTGAGGATTAATGGTGGAAGTAATAGTAAATTACATGTGAAATATTATGAAAGAAAACAGTAACATTAAATAAGACGAGAAGCATGACTCATAGCTACACATAACAGTGACAGATTGGATTCTACAGCAGATGCAGAATAATATTACTTATTTATTTATCTGGAATGTTTCTAATCCTGCTTTTCAATCCAAAGACTCTTAAAGCAGCTAACACATATTAAAAACATAATCAGTCCAATTAAAAATTACAAGGAAACCAGACAGAGTGGCAAAATATGTTAGTATCAAGTCAGGTGAAAAATCTAAAAAGCTACAATATAATAAAAAATATATTGTAAAATATAATTTAAACATGTAAAGGCCTGGCCTTCACCTGTTGCTCAAAAGACATTAAACTCTCATGTTTTGGTTGAGTCAAATAAGATATCGCTGCAAAAACCATATTCCACTGGATCCGTAGGCAGCGAGAGCCTCTCTTTCTAGTGTATCATCTCCTAAGGGCCATGTCATATGTTGAGGAAAGACGTAGCAATGTATTGGCTGAGTGTGCTGCACACACATTAAGAGGTTCTTACTCCTCCAAGAACTGCTTCTAAGGTTTGATTCACTGAAGCATTTGTAATATGGGATAGTCAATACGGATTAAATTTTTCACTGAATACGGTAGGTTGAACCAGTCTTGTGAATAGTCCAAATTAGCAGCCGCACTTCTTAACAACTACAAAAAGTGTATATTCTATTTAGAGTAAGAAGAGTCCTACTGGATCAGACCAAGAAGACCCGTCTAGTCTGCCAATCTGTTCTCACAGTAGCCCACCAGATGCCTATGGGAAACTCACAAGCAAGAGACGCATGCTCTCTTCCTTGTGTTGCCTAGCAGCTGGTACTCAGAGGCATATCGCCTCTGATCCGGGAGGGAATACATAATCGCCATGACTAGTAGCCATTGATAACCGCCATCTCTATCACACCCCCTCTTACGTGTCCTTTTCCTAAGCAAAAAACATTGTAACCTCAAAGTTTATTGATTTCAATAAATCTACTCTGACTGTGACTAACATTGTGCAATCCTATGGGTGATATTCATCGTAAGAGTGGAGATTCTTATTCTATGACTACTTTCATTCCCTGAACTGAAATAAGTTCCTCTTCCTGAAATAGGCTCCTGTCTCTTCACTTCTTGGAACAGGAAAAGGTCTATGTAGTTCCAAAAAGCTTGAGTCACCATCTCACCGAGCCTCTTCTTCTTGTATCTTTGCAGCTTAGAAAAGCACATGCTATCGCACACCGAAGAGCGGGAGTACAAGTGTGACCAGTGCCCCAAAGCCTTTAACTGGAAATCCAACTTGATACGCCACCAGATGTCCCATGACAGTGGGAAGCATTATGAATGCGAAAACTGTGCCAAGGTACAGTGAAATTGTAGGGTGCCTGGAATTTTGTATATGCACCATTGCTTATGATATGTAGAGTAACATTTTGAGCATCTTAGGTCTGGCTTCAGCACTGAAGCACATGATATCTCATACGACGTTTCCACTGGACTGGACCACTTCAGGCAACAGGTAGGGGATCAGATTTGAAAGCTTCTCTCATGTACAAATGATTCCCTGCATATGTAAGGCAAGATGTCCACAAGAAGGCTAGGTTAGAACCTTCTCCCTGACATTTTTGTATGTGCTTGTTTTGTATGTGCTGTAACGTGCTTTTGTTAATGTGGGAGAGCATTCAAACTTGGTTCATCCATCTGCAGCCTGAAATGTTTCAGTGCATCACATGACGCTGCTGATTGTGACATCTAACTCAGAGCTTGGTACATATTTTGCACGTATGGGGTCACTTTGATGTTGTAGAGAGCACACCCGCCTAAGCAAGGGGTCTGAAATCCATTGATGGTTTTCAGTCAGATGGACTACTCTTATCTAACATAACAGAACTCTTAATATACCAATAGGGAAAGGCAACTGATTGAATGCCAAAACTACTTGTGTGACTACTGAAACTAGGATTTAGGGTAGTATAGAGTTTTGTGGCAATTAAGCCATTGTGTTCTGTCAGCTGTTTACTCTCATTGCTTGAACAATATAACAAAAGGGAAATAATACCATCCAATATACACCTTTTGGGAGCAGATTATATCTGAGAATCTGCATATATGACATTGTAGAAGACAAATAACTCTGTTTATGAGATGCTGTGTCATGGTATTGACTGTCTGCTCTTACATGAACTGCTTTAAGCACAAATCTATTTGTGTAAAATACAGCATAATTTTTTTTGTCTGTGCCTATGGTTTCAGTGCCACAAATGAAACATGGGGGGGGGGGGGGTTAGATGCATGGGTGTGGCAGAAACGTTTAGTAAATTTAGTAACTATAAATAGGTCTTATTGATGACATTGTTCTGAAATATATTTGAATAGTGTGGCAGAAAATGCTTGCTGAGTTTTGTTTCTGTGAAGGCTTAAGCAAACATTTGAGATTATGAAGGTGATGGAGATAATTTCTGGGACCTATCCATTTAGGATCCCAGCAACATGCAGCAATATGTATTTGGCTCATCCCCTAGGGAGCTACAGTCCAATAGACAAAAATTACTGTCCATTTGCAACCCATCCTCCATTTTCTCTACTTAACAAAACAGGGCAAGGATAAGCTTTGACAGTCAGGACATTGCTGTTCTTAGTAAACCATGAGTGTTAGTTGTAGGTATCTGGTTTAGGAATATCAGAAACAGACAGGATTAGGGGTTTGTTTAAGAAAGAAGTGAATAGCTGCAAACTGTATTGGAATGGTAATGATGATGACAACAAAAGTAGCAAAAGGTTAGATTCAGATTTAGCCATGCTTAGGCTAGACCTATTGAAAGTCATGTCTAACTAAGTCACATTTCAGTGGATCTACTCAAAGTATCCTTTGCAGGATCCAACCTAATATTAACATCTGTCTGTTGCCGTCTTTACATTTTATTATGCTGGAAATGGCTGCTATTGTTACTATACAGTTTATAAATTCTAAAATGTATTTTCTCTGAAATACTGTATACCCTCAGTGAAGCTAAACATGCAAAATAAATGAAACTGCAGAGATGTTTTAGTACTTCTGCACATTTTCAAACCACTTTGAAACTGGTTTAACCATTATAGCATCCTCCAAAACGCCCTGAGAGTTGTACTTTTGATGGTTAGTGGCTGGAAGCCCCTAGCTTCATCACAGAATTTAGTTTCCAGGGTTTCTTGTATGGGAGCCAGGGCCCTTAAGGGTGCTTGACGCTGTTTTAATTGTGTACTGTAGACAGGCCTTAAAAGTCACCTCTTCTTTTAATTCGCTTACATAACTGAACTCGCATAAACTATTGAAAAAAGCCAACTTTTGCCTATTTCATATGCAATGCCTCCTGGTTTGACTAGAGTCTTATGCAATTGCTGGTGTTGTTGTTTTTCCTTGTTTGCATCAAAGTTTCGTGTTTAATCAGTACTCATTTCCTAGCAGGTTTTCACGGACCCCAGCAACCTCCAGAGACACATTCGTTCGCAGCACGTTGGGGCTCGTGCGCATGCTTGTCCAGAGTGTGGTAAAACTTTTGCCACTTCTTCAGGCCTCAAACAGCACAAACATATCCACAGCAGTGTCAAGCCTTTTATATGTAAGTCTCCCACTTAACCACTAAGCTTCTGTGTCTGTCTGTTTTTTTTAGCAAGATGCGGAATCAGATAAACATGCTCCCATTGAAGCATTAGCAATCCCAATGGTCTTTAATCAGACAGTTCCCAACTGTCTTTAACTGGATTGTGCCTTTAATCAGAAAAATAAAATATTGTGTTGGTGGAAAGTCTGGAGCCATATATTGCACTGACAAGCAATTTTCTTACTCCTATCAACCTCTGTAGTTCTGGGACTTGCTCAAGAAGTGTTCGGGGAGGACTTGTCTTATTTCAGGCAGCAGAATTATTAGAAATTTAATTTCCAGTCTCAACATATGGTCTTCACTCATTACTTTCCCCACAAGCAGATACTCTAGCAGATTTAACTGTAGGAAGTTAAATAAGACTTAAGGAACATAATTTAGGCTTCAATCCTAGACACGCTTAACATGAGAATGAGTCCCAATGAACCCAATCGGTCTTACTTGTTAATAGGATTATACTGCCAACTTATTGTTCTATGAATGTACGGGAACCCTTAGTATAAGAATAATTATCTGCAATCTCCCTGGTACAGAAAGGGCACCTTGCAACAGATGCCTTTAAAATTCTGCAAAGCTCTGCAAATGGTGTCCGTTCAGTCTATATGTGACAGGGAAGCTGGGGTCACTTTCCCATGTGGCATGGCTGACTGAAGGCCTGCCACTCCCTTTCTTTCTCTGTGCATGTATGTGTCTATGTAGAATCAGCACTCTTGTCACATTTCATTTCAGGTGTATTCCTCACTATCAAATTGGCACAGTGGTTGGTTATGCATGCTTCTTTCCTCGCACTTTTAATTTTATATGTTTTGCAAAATAAATGCTGAATTTGTACAATCTGCTTTCATGCACACCCTAATAAATGTGATCCTATGTGCTTAAAAAGTGTGTGTGCCAAAACAGAATAGTGAAGGAACCAAGCCTGGTTTGTGCTAGAAGTACCGTATTTTTTGCTCTATAAGACTCACTTTTTCCCTCCTAAAAAGTAAGGGGAAATGTGTGTGCGTCTTATGGAGCGAATGCAGGCTGCGCAGCTATCCCAGAAGCCAGAACAGCAAGAGGGATTGCTGCTTTCACTGCGCAGCGATCCCTCTTGCTGTTCTGGCTTCTGAGATTCAGAATATTTTTTTTCTTGTTTTCCTCCTCCAAAAACTAGGTGTGTCTTGTGGTCTGGTGCGTCTTATAGAGTGAAAAATACGGTAGTCAGTGAATGAATGAATTGCTGAAAATAGCACCTGACCACTAAAGGCCTTTGAGAACCACATAGAGATTACTTCAAAATCACAGAGTGAGTCTGCTATAGTTTCTAGGGTACTTGCAGTGTAGCCACAAGACGCACCTTGTTTTTGTAATCTACTTCACCTTTCTTTTTTGAACTTCAAAAGATGTCACCCTGGGCTACGGCTATGGTAGGAAACTTGCATGGAGCAGCATCAACGACAGTAGACAGCCAAGGGTATGTGGGACGATGGAATGCAACATAGCACAGAAGAAAGCAGACGGGAGTAACCGTGTAGAAATCAGGAGAGGAATACAAGCTCAGAGGAAGGCTGTAGAGCCAGAATTAAGCCTACACATTCATTTGCTCCTAAAAATTCCACCCCCAAAGGCATTCCCATGGCACGAACTTTCCTTCCCTGAAGTAATGATCATGGAGGAGATCCTCTGCCTCTGCTGCATGTTGCTATTGAGGATAGCCACTTCATGATGCCTGCCTCTATTTGGTTAGAGCTTGTAAACCTTGTGGCAAGGAGGTGAGAATTCACTACAGGGATGCTACTTTTGGTTCCCATATGGACCAGCTCTTGGAGGAGAGCACTCTGCGTATTTTTCCTGCCTGTTTCATTTCAGAAGCTGCCTGGTATCCGAGACTCTGTAGGCAATTCTGGAAATACTTTTATAACCTCATTTTATATTGTGTGCTCTGGCATACTTCCCTAGGCCCAAGTCTAATTATGCTTTGAACCTTTTGTAAGTTTATTTATTTATTCTTAATGTAGCCTCAGGAAGAAGAGCTACTGGTGGATGTGACTAATAAAGTGTAAGAAGATTCCACCAAATGAGATTCCCTTGAGCAAACCACCGAAAACCCTGGAATCGTTCCAAATGATTGCTAATTTCAAAACAGCTTCTAGCTCCTCTTTCCTAAAGGAAGAGGCCATCTTCATAGACAAACTCAACAAAGAATCCTTATTGACTTAGTTATGTGAGAGCCTTTCAGTAGCTGTCCACATTGAGAATTATGGCAGTGAAGCTTTATTACCGAACATATTTCATTCTATTCAGTTGCTTTCAAATTTATCTAAGCAGAAGTCAAGGCAACTCAATATTTTACTATTTTTTATTTTTAAAAATGCAGATAAAAAAGTGGGGGAATAAACCAAGATGCTATCACCACTGTTCTTGGAAGCTGTTGTTGGGGACAACTTAACTATTGGGTAAAAATAAGCTGTAAAAGAGGAGCCCAGTCAAATTGCTACCTACATCATGGATCTTGTGGCGAGTGTTTGCCTTTTCTTCACCCGTTGCCCTGAACATCCCTTGCTTCTCAGAATTTTGCAGTGGCTGCAGGAGTTATCACAGCAGAATGAAAGATGTAGCAGGAAGGAGTCTGTCTCTGAATGTATGACTTCTGTGTGTGTATCCGTTTCCCTTGAATTGTGTGTTATTCGCAACAATATGGCTGACCAGTGTCCTAATTCATACTTTTCCCATTAGCTGATCCTAGGTTTGAATTTTTTAAAAGATATTTGAGATACAGTAAGCCAAGTGACTGGATGATTCCAAGGCACCACTTAAGTCCTAGGTGGTGGTGTTTCAATACAGTAAATACTTTATAGACATTTCTCTCAACTAAGTTAATATTCAATAAAACACAACAGTTTATACTGCATAGCACTTCTGGCAGTGGAACCTTTGGGAACTGTTTGGCTGAGCTGGTGTGGCACAAAATGTTCAGTTGCTCAGGGAACAAAGCATTTTGCACTCCAGCATTGGTGAGGGGAAGAAAACATCCTTGGAAGATGTTTCACATAGGGAAGAAAGGACAGGAGGCCAAGAGCTAAGCAAGCTGAAGAAAGAGAAGATGGAGAAGTCCTGAAGAAAAGGGACAAAAGAGCACTAAGTCAAGAAGGGCACAAGAAAGAGTGAGCTCTGAAGAAACACAAAGGTGTGCAAATCAGGAAAGGCTGTATGCTATGGAGGGATAGGAATTCTGAAGGAGAGTGGCTAAAGGAATCAAAGAACCATAGTTGGAAGGTACCATGAGGGTCATCTAAGTCCAAACCCCTGCAATGCAGATTTTTTTTGCCCAGTGTGGGGCTTGAACCCACAACCCTGAGATTGAGTCTCATGCTCTATCGACCAAGGAAGTGGGGCACTCAAACACTGGTGAATGAGATATGTAAATTAAGGAAAGAGGAGCCAAGGGGGGAAAATTGGGCTGGGAACTGTGGGCCAGGGAACCAAGGGTACATTACCAGTGTAGAGCCTGATAAGAGAATTGTACTAGATGTGTCTTTTATTGTTATTGTTTCATTTGATTTGGCCACCCTACGGGGGGACAACAGGTCTAATAAGCCTGTTGGTGGAGAGGCTGAATAGCATTTTACATATTGATTTGAAACAAGCAGCCAATGTTTTGACTGCAGGCTTCTATTCCACTAAAACATTTTCAATTGGAAAGTCTATGTGCTGCCCTATCCTATTGATCAACTTTAGCAAGAGCGCTATAAACACAGCTGTTACAGTTAAAGTTAGATCTCATGGCTGCCCAAATCAACCAACTGCATGCTATTCAGGAAGATACCTTAAGGCACTGCATGACGATTAGTAGAAGCTCAGCAATAATTTGACACAGTGATGCCAACACTGCACACTCTTTCCTCAGGGGATTGCTCTAATTAAAATTAAGTAATTCACGGCACACAGGGAGTTCTTATGATTGCTATATCAAGCTGTCTTGAGAGCCCTTTGGATAAAAAAAAAGCATAAAAATGGAAAATAAGTACAGATCTTCCTTCTGCCCCACTGTCATCAATATCATTATGATGTTAGTAATTGTAATTAAATAGCCAATTTTTAATCTGTGGGTTAGCAAATTAATCTGATTAATTTGACATTAGACATAGACATTGAGTAGTTAATAATTGAGAACTATGTAGTTTTTTTAATTAACTACTTAATTCTAAATTATTAACTACTTAATGTCTGTGGCTCAATTCTCATGACTCTGAAAGCAGATTGAAATATAGATTATCTGAATGTGAGGGGCAAGCAGTTTAAGATGTTAAGATGTTAAAAGAAAACTAGGAATGGACTTGAATCTTTTTTTTTTTAAATCCATGTTTTGATGAAACAATCTTGCCTATCTACCCAATGGCGAGGCAAGTGGCATGTCTTTATTTCAAGACTTGCATCTCTCACGGTGGGAAGTTCAGATCACTTTTAATGTTATGTGAATCCTTCCTAATTCCATGCCTTACCCCTCTTGTTCTGACATCAGGTCGAACAGCATAATGTGGTTTTACTTTCTACTGAATGTACAAAGAGCTTCCAAGGAAGGATCAGTTAACAGAATTTTTAAGCTTGCTATATTGCACTACTGGGCCACAGAATCCAGATACACACAGCATGAAGGTGTGGGGTCAAACAGGAAGCCAGTTTAATGGAGAGAGGGGCCAACCTGCAATTTCATATCAGCCCATGGGGACTTGTGGTTCAAACTCTTGAGAACCAACGACCAGCTTCCTGTAGCTCTCGAATTAACTTCTTCAGTGTACGAGAACATACTCCATACATTCATCAAGGGAGCAGTTGAATGAATCTGTGTGAGCCTTGAGTCTCAATAATATATCAACATGATTTTTAATGGCTTAAAAGAATTCCCTCAGAGGGCTGTGGTCCTGCTCCTGGAATGGTTGATATTTTTATATATTTGTGCTTCAACTTATTTAAGCAAGCAAAAACATAATTAACCAGACCCAGTTATGACCGTTGTTTAAAGATTTGTGTTCCCTTGCCTGGCATCACAGGGCTGTCTTTTTAATATTAGTGAAAATAAAATAATTAGTGAACAATAGCTTCCAGCCATATAGGGACCATTCATACCCTGCGGCTCCAGTTCCTTTTTTCTTTTCTTTTCTTTAAAAGAAAATTCAGATGCTCTGCCATTCTTTTCAAATTAAATCACATGGAAAATGCTTCTTCCCTGCTTTTTTCATTAATCAGCAATTGCTAGTGTAACCAAAAGAGCAACTGTGATTTTTCAAATGCAAAGGATGATGGACAGAAAAAACCATAGGACAATTATGAATAATTGCCGTGTAATTACAGAACAAAAGAATTTAAAGATCACATGTCAGGGTAGGATTTTCTGAGCGCTTGTGGCTGGGGGTAGAGGGTCACCTAGAGCAGAGATATCTGATTCCCAGCAAAAAGGCCACACACCATGCTGTACCTTCTCAGTCTGTTTATGGCAACTGTCTCTCGTTACAGTATGCCGCCCTGGCTTGGGAGCAAACTCACCAACACCAACTCACCAACACAAAGGTAATTACACACTGCCTGCCTTCATAAAACCTCCAGCTTGCTCAAATAGAAACCACATGTTGGAATAGACAGCAATGCATTAAAAATAGCACTTAACAGTCATGTGTTTAATAAGCAGAAAATATGCGAACTTCACTTCTAGCTAATTTCTTGGTCCTAAATGCTTAAGTCATTGATGGATTATAATGTATTTGGTACGCTGGTGTGGGAAGGATTGCAATGGTTAGATGAGTACCATTGAAAACATAGAGGCCGGGAAATAAGACCCCTGGCTTGGAAATTTAAAGCAAATGTAAGGTTATAGAATATAAGGGTTTATCAAGGTTGAAGAGAAAATGTCTCACTGCAGATCCACTCCTGTAATAGCTTGACTTGGCTTAGTTTAAAGTAAAAATGTATATTGAAGTTAAAGGGACTGGCAGGGTTGGAGTGCTACTCTAAGAATGAAGCTTATTGGTCTCTTCACATTCTACCATGCATTAGGCAATCCTTTTCCACCCACTACAGATTTTAAAGCGCTTTCATTCTATTTACTTGCACAAAAATACGTTCATCTCCATTTCAACGCTGTCTTTGTCACAAGAATTCAAATGAATGCATCCTATGTTTTCCTTTACACTCTCTGTTATTGTGAGCTTCTGATTACCATAGATTGAAGATAAACAATAATGAATGACCATTACCATCACAACCTTTCCTGTGAGCTTCCTGAGGCATTTAATTCGCTACTGCAGCCTTGAGAGACTTAGTTTGATCCACCCAAACTGTTCTTCTGTTTTAAATAGTTGGTTTCCAGTCCTAACTTTATGCACAGCCACATCATTCACTAATTTAACCAAAACCCAACAATTCTGTCAATATAAATTTAGGATTATCTCTGTGATGGACTACTGAAAGCATCAGCTGACTAGTGGTGGCAGTGCACAACCCTACTACCCAAACTTATTCTGAGTGTCAGGGTTCTGGGCCATAAGACCTTTTCCATCCATTGTAATTGGAGAGAGGGTTCCGTTTGTGCAAACAGCATTGTGTAGAAAGCTGCCCTGTTCCATGGAAGTGAATGGTGAAGCCTGTATGCCCCAAGATGGAGATTAGGACAGTTCTTTTTATAGTGAGAACTGCCAAATGAGGGAAGGAACTACTATAGCGCAAAGTGATCTGGTGTACTTGTTTCCTCATTCGGCCTCTTGCTATTATCCCAGACATAACTGCTGAATCAGGAGATGGGGCCAACCGGAATTGGGGCTTTTATGCAGATCTTGAACATTTATGGCTATTAATACAATAGGTTACGTAATGGAATCTGCAAGGGGTCTCCTATCCTCTCTCCATCGTATCAATGTATTAGTGTGCTGCAGTTTAATGCATTCATTAATGATTTCGGCTATAATTTTAAAAGTGAATGTTTGCCCTGCCAGTTAATCTTGCCTTGTTGTGAAGGCCATTAAGAACTACTCATCTCAACTGGTAGTATTGTTGTCTGCTTAGTTTTAAATTTTAACCACTATGTCAGCTGTGTCTCAGATTGCTAGGCATGAAAGACATTTTATATTTGTGTATCTCTGATGTATTTTCATGTGTAAACAAGTGCCAGCCTATTATCTTTAAGAAAGGGAACAACTGAGTACCTCTGTATATAGTAGAAGTCTTCCTGCTTGCATATCAAATCTATTATTTCTTTGTTAAATTTGTATTCTGTCTTTTCTACAAAAGCTCAAAGTCTCTCACCTGGATATTACTCTGGTCAAGATCTATTTAGTAAATTTCAGCAATGCAACTGTACCATGTGCCTTCAGACCAGTTAAGAACCTGTGCATTTCTTTACTGTGCAATCCCATACAATTCTGTTCAGAAGCAAGCCCCATTAAGTTCAATAATAATAAGATTTATAGGATTGCAAGTTGGATACCATACAAATCAATAGCAACTATTCACTGTTAGAAGTCCTGAGCACTGCGACAGAGGAATGCCATCTGCATTGGGCTTTAAAAGCAATAAATATTCCAAATTAAATTGACGGATCGAAGAATTTAATTTAGAAAAAATTCCAGATGTTTCTCCAATCTGTGTGATATTTTCTCCAAATTAAGGGAAAATCCCTCACACTTAGAAAGATCAAATTAAACCTGCTACTGTTCTCGTGTGAGTAATTTTTTTTGTTAATACATTTCTTTTGGCTGAAGCATTCCTTATGAATGAAAGGTATCTTACAGGAACTCTGGCTGATACAGAGCAATAACATTCTTCCTGAATTGTACATTTCTTTGGCTTGCACCCAACCCTGCAACTGTTACTCTAGGGGTTGTCTGATAGATATCAGCAAGGCAACTCATCTGAGCCAGACAGGTGGAATCAGGGCCTTCTCAGACAATGGAAGTCTTTGTTGTTGTGATGGGAACAGATAGCTACAGGGTAAACATTTAAGACAGACAACAAGCGGGCAGGTTCTCAAGGATAAGCTTTATAAGAGCAGGAAGGTTAGCATCAGCCACGGTGTACGTGGAAGTCAGAGGACGTGATTATAGTTCATGGGAACCAAGAGTGCAGGATGGGATACATTCAATTCAGTTTCCTTTGCAGGCTTAAAATAGAGCCATTGTAAATTATGTCAGCCTGTCTGAAATCACTAAAATAATTGTTAAGAAGGTCTGAGAATGCACAATATGCATTGTTGTATGGCTTTGATGTGTGAAGGGCAAGAGCCTGTGATATAACACAAACTGAGCAAAAGTTAAACTGTTCAACTCATCTTTACTGGAGGAAGCTGAGTTTTAATGCATAAGGATAATAACCATACCCACTATTTAGAGTTTAGAGTGGTGGTATATAGCCAAAGTGGCAACATCCACACCCAGGAGGGAAGTGTCAGCAAGCTTGGAAGAACCTTCAGTTTTGCAGAAGGACAGAAAACCTTGATGGGGAAAAAACCCTCAATAAGCTCAGTGAGAATTGAACATGTTCAGGGGCCATGGAATACTGACTGATTTGTTGGGGTAGAGGAGATAGAAAACCGAGTTGGAGGGGAAATGGAACAGTATAATCCTGGATGACTGACTGCAACACCCCATGCTGCAACATTTTATTGTAGGCTCATCTATTTTAAAATTTCAGGCTGTGTGTGCCAATTATATTCCCATACAAAAGGGAGGAATCAGCCAGGAACTCTTAAGGTTTTCAGAAGTATGTTTTTTTGTTGTGTTTTAGGGGAAAACCCTAAGCGGGAGGGGACCCCTCCCAACAACCCAAAGCCGCCTAACTGTACTTGGTGACCATGGAATGCTAAGTAACAACCGAGGAAGACACAAAACTGGAAGGAGAATGGAATGACTGAAATCTTTTACGGCAGCATGCCACAAACAGCAATGCTTTGTTGCAGGTCCTCCTTGCATTTGCGCTGATTTTGAAGAAAACTTACCACATACCTGTGTTAGCAAGGCCCTGCCAAGAGCACACACTTGTTCTGAATGCAGATTTGTTTTAGTAAATGACCACAGGAATTGTTCCAACTGTAGAAATTAGCTTAGAAAATGTATTCTTTGTTCATGGTGTACATATACAACCACAGTACCTTATTTCTGAAATCAGTCCAGTATAGCTATCATGGTTATGCAGTATATATATATAGCAGTATATATCAAAAGCACTAAACCTGTGATAACTACTGTTCAGACTTTCTTAGAAAAAACTAACTTTATATGCTTGTGCAATCAAAATAATGGAGCAAACCACGGGGTCAAGTTACTCATGCATATGCAAGTGTTATTCATGCATATGCAAGGGTCAATATGGTATTCTCTTCTGCAATTATGTCTTATGTCTCTAGATATCATTGTACTATAAAGCAGTGACCATAATCCAGAACTCCACGTATGTGCAAAAGATTGGCTTGCATGTAACGTTTTTGTATCTCTTCTCAACTTGCAAGTAGGGGACTGCTGAATCGGAAGGACAACAGGGGTTTCAGGTGCATGCACATGGATTTTTCTGGATCCTGGCCAATGCATATAAAAACTCAAGGCTGTCAAATATTATGAAAAATAAAACAATATGATACTAATGTTGATTTTTTTTAAAGGGAAAGAAATGTGGGGATTTTCATTTTCTGCTTCTTATTATATTTGCCTAACTGGATTCCTTGTTTTGGTGGTTGGGACAGTTGTTGTTTTTTTACATGCAATCTGCACTCAGACTCATCCTTTCAGATGTCTGACTAACAATGCAGCCCCTATGTTTAAGGTCTTGGTGCTATCCATTGTTGGTCATACTCAGAACAGACCCATTCAAATCAACAGACTGTGTTAAATGGGGCTTACTCTTAAGTGTATGCACATAGGAATGCTGGTTGCAGTCATAGTTGCATATACAAGGATATAAATTCCATTGAACTCAGTGGGTCTTATTTCTGAGTAAACATGTTTAGGAATGAGCTCTAAGTAAGTTTTCTAAAAGTGTAAGAGACTTCAGATGCTCAGTTTAAAGCAGCTGGGTGGGACTGAATGTGGTGTGGGGAGGAGGAACAGAAAAAATTACTTTAAATCCTGAGTTTTTGTTGTTGTTGTTGTTTACACACAGGTGAGGTCTGCCATAAGTCCTATACTCAGTTTTCAAACCTTTGCCGTCATAAGCGTATGCATGCTGATTGCAGAACCCAAATCAAGTGCAAAGACTGTGGACAAATGTTCAGCACTACGTCTTCCTTAAATAAACACAGGAGATTTTGTGAGGGCAAGAACCATTTTGCGGCAGGAGGATTTTTTGGCCAAGGCATATCACTTCCTGGAACCCCAGCTATGGATAAATCTTCCATGGTTAATATGAATCATGCAAATCCGGGCCTTGCTGACTATTTTGGTGCCAATAGGCATCCTGCTGGTCTTACCTTTCCAACAGCTCCTGGATTTTCTTTTAGCTTCCCTGGTCTGTTTCCTTCAGGCTTGTACCACAGGCCACCTTTGATACCTGCTAGTTCTCCTGTTAAAGGACTGCCAAACACAGACCAATCAATCAAAAGTCAAAGTCCCCTCATGACACATCCTCAGACACTGCCAGCTACCCAGGATATTTTGAAGGCACTAAATAAGCACCCACCTAACCTAAGTGAAAATAAGCCAGTGGAGCTTCAACCAGAAAGGTCCTCCGAAGAGAGGCCACATGAAAAAATCAGTGACCAGTCAGAGAGTAGTGACCTTGATGATGTCAGTACCCCCAGTGGGAGTGACCTGGAGACCACCTCTGGCTCTGATCTGGAAAGTGACATTGAAAGTGATAAAGAGAAATGTAAAGAAAATGGTAAAATGTTCAAAGACAAAGTAAACTCTCTGCAGAATTTGGCTTCCGTAAATAATAAGAAAGAATACAGCAATCATTCCATCTTCTCACCATCTTTAGAGGAGCAAACTGCGGTGTCAGGAGCTGTGAATGATTCTATAAAGGCCATTGCCTCTATTGCTGAAAAATACTTTGGTTCGACAGGACTTGTGGGGCTACAGGACAAAAAGGTTGGAGCCTTACCTTACCCTTCCATGTTTCCCCTCCCATTTTTTCCAGCATTCTCTCAGTCAATGTACCCATTTCCTGATAGAGACTTGAGACCGTTACCTTTGAAAATGGAACCCCAATCGCCAGGTGAAGCAAAGAAGATCTTAAAGGGAACCTCCGAGTCTCCCTTTGACCTTACCACTAAACGTAAGGAGGAGAAACCACTTACTCCTATAACCTCAAAACCAGCAGCTCCATCAGTGACCAACCAGGACCAGCCTCTAGATTTGAGTATGGGCAGCAGAAGTCGAGCTAGTGGTACAAAACAGACTGAGCCTCGGAAAAACCATGTGTTTGGAGGAAAGAAAGGAGATATTGATCTTGAATCAAGGAAGTCATCGGACATCTCTTTGCAACATGCAAGGCCAACACCTTTCTTTATGGATCCCATTTACAGGTAATACACATGAAACAAGCTATACAGATGGCCCAAATGGCCTATGGTCCTCAGTCATTTAATGTACTAAAATGCACAAATAGTTGAAATTTGAATGAATGCAGCTTAGGGACTGGGGATTTTTAAACATTTATTCTCTTAATACAAAATAATTATTATATCTGAAGCAATTTTCCCTTCAGAAAAAATAATGTATTTAAAAATTGGCAGTCAAATCCAGCTTTTGTTTGCAAACTAGGAACGTCGATCTCCACTGCAATCAAAGGTGTTTCACTCAAGAACTCAAAACACGTTGTACCATAGCAACACAACGTGGAACTCAAGGGTAAAATTCTGCCTTTATTTACAATCAAGTAATCTACTGATTTGTTTTTAATTATTGGGAAGTGTTTGTTGCACTCTGCTGTGCAGAGTATTACAACTAATGCCAAAGGAACTGCATGATAAATAGTAATATAGCAATGAAATAACAATAATAGTAAATATTACTTAGTGTGTTCGGATATCTTATTGAACACAGGACAATAGAACAATTATTCCAAAGGGAAATAGCAATGTATGCTATCCAGGGAGACACCTAAAAGAGCCGGTGCATTCAAACAAATTCAATTTGATATTCCTGATTAGAGATTTTTCTGGGTTTTCATAAAATAGTTTCTTTATTTGCCACATTGAATGGGTACTGTCTTCCCTGTGATCTCTGGAAAGACAATACAATAAATTGTTCCCCCAAGTTTGCCACTTCAAATGGCAGGCTAGCCAAGTTTCTCTCTTTGTAAGTAAGAGCCCAAGCCTGATGGATCTATCATCAGGCATGCAGCTGTATCCAAATATAGTTTCCTCGTGAGTGGAAGTATTCTAGCTGCCCCCTGACAATGCAGACTAGTGTGTTTCCCATGAGTATATTGACTTCTATTGGTGTACAGCCGTAGGTGCGTATGTGTTGCAAAGGAGCAAAGCATACCACAAGAACAGATGAACAAAAATCTAAACAAAACGCAATTGGACAAGGGATAACAACGGCTGCCGGCTGCCTAAGGTGTTCGTTCCCATGTAATATGCCAGCACACAGCAAGAGTTGTCTAAATTAATTAAATAATTAAAGGCTCTTTAATTAAAGCCCTCAATAACCCACCCACAGAGCAGAGAGCTCACTGCATCTCTGCATGATTTACTGCTGTGGCTTAACATCCTTTCAATGAGCCTCTGCTTTGGATGGCACTCTCTCTCTAATGGAGAAACTCATTCATCCGCAATGCAGAGATGGCAGCAGAATTACCCACCCTCAGAAAGGCCTCCAATCTGCCTGCGCTTGAGTCACTGCTCTGGCCTTGCTTCTTTCCCACCAGGAGACATACCCAGATCAGTGACTCATGCAGAAACACAGGGAGTGGGGGGGGGGGCTCCTCTGAGAGTGAGTCATTTTAAATCTTACATATTCTACAACTATGCTGTTCAGGTTAAACAGGGAAAGGAACATTTTATTTTTATATTTTGAAAGAATAAAGTTTGGGAAAAACTGGCCTACGTTTATGAACAAGTGCTGAATGACGCCAACTTGCTGTTTTCGAATATCACATCTGGATATTCATTCATGGGATTTAGACCTAAATAAATATAGCATCCTGTTAAAATTATTCTCCCCCCCCCCCCGTTTTGTTTATTTCTGTAGTATTTGTCTACTATGGAATTTGCTGCTTCAGTCACTTGGCACAACTTAACTAATCTACAACTTCCAAATGTAAAACAAAAAATCCTCTCATTCTTTAAACAGTTAGCCAATATTGACATGATATAAACTTGGCAGACCTTCATGATGAGTTACAAAAAAACCATAATCCTATTTGGGGGGGAGAAAATATGAATATGGAAATAGATGTATTTTGTATTTGAAGTGGTGAGCGTCGATGCTGACATATTTGGAACTCATTTCCCATACTTCAAAAGCAGATAATATTATTAATAGTAAAACAATAATAAATGCTTCATAGAAAAATTTTCAGTCCGATTGTTTGTTTGTTTTTAATATTTGATTTTGTTCCATAGAAAATTGGCCATTTCAACTCTGTAGTTTTGATAATATAGTTATGGCTTTGATAACTGTGCTCAGACCACTCAGCAGTTTCTGTTGCGCATAATAGTAGATACTTGAAACTGGAATGTTTCCAGAGTCATTGGCGTAGTTTTTTAAGGGGTGCCCACCAGCCTCATTGGCATTAAAGAGCATAGTGAATTGCACCTCCTTGTCTTTGATCTTTGTGCCTGAGAAGTTTTGCCTCTTGTTCTGAATCCAAGTTGTCAAATAGTTATCCATATGTGAGACTGAGTCATCACAAGAACATTCTTATTTTAACATTTACAGAGTAGAAAAAAGAAAGCTAACTGACCCACTTGAAGCTTTAAAAGAAAAGTACTTGAGACCATCCCCGGGATTCTTATTCCACCCACAAGTAAGTATTTTTTACAATCAAGATGTTGTGATGGTAAACAAACATGTTAAGCCATAGACGCAGGTGCACAGGAACAACGGGAATCTTAGTCATTATCGGATTTCCTAGAACATACAAGTTTTAGTGAGCAGGGAGAAACAAACCACGTAGCATTGTTTTACTTTTCACAATGTTTTTCAGGAAGACTTCAAGAGAATAGTGCAACTGTCTCCACATGCCCAGTGGAATTCTGGGGTTGTGTGTCTCAGATGCCACAAGAGAAGCCCCTTTGGGTGTACTGGAAGTAGTCTTTCATCTGGCATGAATGCCTCTAAGAAAAATGCCCAGAAGTCGCACTATGCAGACTGGCATGAGCAAAATACCGGGCACACTCAAAGCACCTCCCTGAATTTCTAGCCTCTGTTTTCAAGGCGCTGTGCTTGTTAAACTAAGTTCTTATGCAGTTATGCCAAACAAAAGCACCTGGTGAAATGATAATATGACTGATCCACCATATGCCTACTTCTCAATATTTCAAGATATGTCAACAGGGAGCAACTTCTGGTATTTGCTTATGTCATACCTGCCAGGGGGCAAAAATGCCCAACCCAACTGCATGACAGACAGGCTCAGTCACAAGTTTAGGGACTATTTTGTTTCTAAGCCACAGGAATTTGTGGGTCCACCTTAATACACAACCTTTGCCACCTGTACCTTCTTGATGTATGAGATAAAATTGAGCACTGCTTCCATAGACTTCACCATTTTTGATTTGTCAGATCAGGGTGGCTTCTTCTGGTTGTGCTAGTTTAGTAGCCTAAACAAAGGTCTAGGATCTTGGAATTCCAATTTCTAATGCTATGTTTCATTTATAACACTATAGGCAAACACCGATATGATTGTTCCACAGTACTGTAGAAAGCCACTGTTTTACTGTTAAAAATAATTATGCGCAGCTTAGCAGGCATGGCCAAGCTCAGAGGATAAGGTTATGAGAACTTGTCAGCAACCGTATTTGTGGTAGTCCATAGCATGACAAAAATTAGTGTAGGCTGGCATTCAGGGAAGATTTATTTCATAAGAATCTACCAATAAGTGGATAAAGAATGCATAGTTTATACTAACTGAAACCTGGCTTAGGACACTTCAAGACAAAATTATAGGGATGCAGTACATTGCCCAGGCAGGTGCATTATGTGACCCATGAGAGCAGCAAAATAGCTAGAATGTACAACAGTGACGGGATAAAATCAGACCAAATCTTTATTGACAGCAGCAGACAGGGCAAGGGTTGGCATGGCATTGGGTCCCTGGATTAGTTCATCATTCCACAAGCCCCATGTTGATGGGATGGATCTGCTGGGTCTGGATCGCTCCAAACCTGCACGACAGGAGTCGGCCAGTGCTGAACCTTGCCATGGTGCAAGCCAAGCAAGCAAGGTCTCACTGGGGGACCAGGGTGCAGATTCCAACCGGGCAGATACCAAACCCACAATTGGGTTTGCCGTGGTCCATCCTCCCCTCATGCCCCTTATGGGCCCCCCCACACACTATGTTGATCCTGACCAATGCCACTTCCGCCCTCATACAAAAAATGTTCTTCCGCCTAACCAAGGAAAGCCATAATTTCACTGAGGGAAAGGTGAGAAAAAACCCAACCAAGTGCCAATGGGGGGGGGGGGAGAGAGAGAGAGAAAGAAAGAAAGAAAGAAAGAAAGGAAGGAAGGAAGGAAGGAAGGAAGGAAGGAAGGAAGGAAGGAAAGAAAGAAAGAAAGAAATCTTTTCTGGCTCTGTCAACCAGCAACCCAAAATTGCTCAGTGAAGGTTCTAAGCCCATACTTTTTTTCCTAAAAAAAATGTTTAGGGATACTCTCATTTTCCTACTCATATTGAAATACTGCCCCTCAATGAGGCCAAACTTAAGATTCACAAAATGTTTAGGGGTATGTGTACCCCTGCATCCCCCCAGAAAAAAGCACTGCTCTAACTCAAGGGAGGGTGGGCAGGAAGCTCTCAAAGCAAAATGGCTGTGAGCTCCAGGGGAAGCAGCCTTATATAGGTTTTCCCCTCCCCTCTTCAGCAAGGGCTCATGGGACAGCTTTTTCCCATGAGCCCATCACACAGAGAAGACACTGGGCAAAACCTTGCCCAGTATTTTGCTGCAATCTGTGGGCCATAGCACTGCTGGGCAAAGGGGTCCCATGCTTATTAGGCACAGAATGGGGCTTGGAAGTGTTTTTATATTTTATTTTTTGCATGCGTGAGACTCCAGGCTCAACCCTAGTATCATAATTGGTATTTTGAATTAAAAAACAACAACAATTGCCATGCATAAAGTGTTTCCTTCCAGGACTAATGCATGCACAGATGTTAAGTCTCATATACAGTCATCCTCATGGCATCAAAACAGACTTGGAAAATCTTTTACATTACAGATTAAGCTCACATCCACAGGGTATACCTCAGTCTACAGCCTTGAGATATTTTCTCCATAGTGGCTGCTGTGACTGAGACGAAAGGGAGATTACTGTACTATTGTTAATAAACGATATAAATCAAGACAATATGGAGTCAAACCCATCTTTCTTTGTTACTCCTCTTATCACCAATCGATGGTGAGTTAAGCATTCCATAGCTGTTCTAATTGTTTTTTGAGAGCCAGCATAAAGCAGTAGCTAGAGTATGAGAACTTAGTTACAACTTATGTTTTGTCATGAGGATGCTAGCAAAAAACTGCCTTCTATATAAAGTGATTGCTCTTTGACATAGCTTTTGAACTGTTCACATGGGGGAACTCACAAGAAATAGTTCTTATGCCTTCACGTATGATGGAAAGAATGGATGATGTGCAATTTGATGGACCCAATCAAAATGGTACAACAGGGAATCAGTTACTACAGGGTGAATGCTTTCAACATCTTCTCAGTGGCAAATACAATGTGTGTTTTGGTGTTTAGGCTGGCATGCTGTAAATCCAATGCATAGAGTGGGATGTACTCTTATTCTGATCTCTGCCCCAGAATGTGAGAAGGGTGATCTGAATACAGAACAGTGAGATGTGACATGCCATAAACATGATTGCTAAATGCCCTCTTCAGCACTCTGGAACTTGCATTGCTCCCAGGGACTCCAGTGAGCTGCAGGTAATGAAGTAGACTGGACAACTGGGAGGCCAACCAAACACTTGCTAGAACACATAATCATGCCTGTTGCATGGCAGAGAATAGCTTACTTTGCCGCCTCCACTGCGTGCATCCACAAGCAAGTGGGCTACAGAGCTGTTCAGGATGGTCCAGGGAATGTCAAAACCTTCTCCAGCTAACTTTGAGAATAAAATTGGTTGCATCTGCAGCAACTTGGACTATAATTTTGTTGCAGATCCCACTGAGATGTCCAGTGCATCAGCTGATCTTACTTTGTGGGGACTGTTGCAGTTAGTGAGGTGTTGAAGACATGAACAAGGTGCCTGCAGCAGTGCTACCAATCATGTGCTTTCTTGATCCCTGCTGCTCTTGGCTGATAAGGACTAGGCAGGAAGCAGCTATGACCAGGTGGGTTCAGGGTGTGGTGATGAGCCAGTTGTGCCACCATTCCTCAAGAAACCCACCCTGGACCTGTTGGTGTATGACAACTACTGCCTAGTCACTAATATCCCCATTTTGAGGAACTAGAGAGATCCACAGTAACCCAGCTGTAGGAACTCTTGGGTAGTACTGATTTTCAGGACCCAACTCAGTGCCTAGATGTAGTTGTGGGATGGATGAGGGCCAGTGAGATGACGGCTCTGTAAGTAAGCAGTTCTTGGGTCAAGGAAATAATTCACCTGTTCTGGAGGGGGTGCATTCCCTCTGAAATGGTTCCATCGTTGCTACTAGAGACCCAAGTGACCATAGTGGCTAGGACTAGGAGTGCCTTTTACCAGGTTTGGCTGGTGCAGTAGCTACGATGGTTCCTGGACAGGGATAGCTTAGCCATAGTGACCCATGCACTGGGTAATCTCAGCAATGGATTACTGCAGTGTAGCCTTTGCAGGGCTCATCCCAAGGCTGGTTCAGAAGCTGCAGCCAGCACAGAATGTGGTAGCATGGCTGCTCAGTGGAGTTGCATATTGTGAACATATTGTGAACATAGCAGAGGCACGTGCATTGGCTGTCAATTTGCTACTGAGCCTGGTTTGAGGTTTCGCTGTTAACTTATAAATGTATCCGAAAGAGTGCCTTCTCCCATATAGACTGCCCAACTCATTGAAATCAGCATATGGGAATCTTGTGGCGGCACCACAGCCACTGGTATTCTATCTTGTATTCAACAGGTAGAGAGGTCTTTGCCTACCTGGGAAATTAGGCTTGCATAAACTGCATTATGTTTTAAGTATGTCGTAAAAAGGTGTTTGCTCTAAGAGGCATCTTTTCATTAGTAATGTTGCTGCATACACGGCAACCAGATTGGACTACTATATATTTATATATATCTATTGTTTTATACTGATTGTTTTGTAATTCTATGTTGTACACTGCTTTGGATGTTGTTTTAAATACAAAGCAGTATGTAAAGATTTTAATAAAATAAAATGCAGGATTTCTGCAAAAGCTGGCCTTGGGCCTCAGCGACTTCATAGGGTCGTTATGAAGCAAAAATGTGGCTTTGAGCTACTTTAAAGGTTGTGTAATAAATACATATTGGAAAGGGGAGAAAGGAAAAGAACAGGAACCATGGGGCGGGGTGGAGGGAAGTTGGCAGGGAGCAATTATAAGAAGGGACATAAGAAGAGCCTGCTGGATCAGGCCTGCAGCCCATGTAGCCCAGCCTCCTGGTCTCACAGATGGGCCAGCCAGATGCCTGAGGGAAAGCTGCAAGCAGGACCTGAGGAAAGGCTGCCATGCAACACCTTCTTTTCTCTAACAACCACACTACGTTTTGTCACATGACTAAGAGATAGTCCCTTTGTCTGTACCCAGGAAGATTATTTAAACTTCATCACATCTTTTCTTTCTGTCAAACTTCATATTCTGAGAGCTGCTTCTAACATTTAGTTCTGAAGGGGTAAAATCTTCACACAAAGCTGCTTGTTTGAAACAGATATTATACTTTTTAAAATGAAAACTATGGGGATTTCCATATAAATTAGGTAACTGACAGTGAATGTCTACCCAGACCATCTGGCATGTATGCTTTAGTTGAGTTGAGCTTCCTGCATTCCAGGGGGTTGGGCTAGATGGCCCTACAATTCTGTGATTCTATATTCCCAGATAAGTCGGTACGTGATTGCAGCCTAAGAGTGTTATTTTCCTAGGATTAGCATGTCATGACGTCAGCAGTGATTGCAGACACTGAGTTCAAAGTAGTAGCTGTGTTCTGAAACCAAAGTTCTGAGGTGACTTAGTGGAAGGTGGATGAAGTGAACTGTCTCTACCCTTCTCTCTCACCTCTATATATCAATGCCAGTCACTCTCCCACTTCACAAACCATTGCTCTGTTTTGCTTGTGGGAAATGTACACAAACCTGTTGCCCCTTTAGAAGTATTTTTGTGTGGTGGCTAACACTGTGTTAGGTGTTTATCAGCTACAATAACCCGAGAGCCAGAACGCCATAGTTGTTAAAGTGGGGAGATGCATATTCAAGTCCCCACTCAGCCATGAAGATCACTGGATGACTGTGACCCAGTTACTCTCAGCCTAGCCAAATTCATAGGGTTGCTGCGAGAATAAAATGGGGAAAACTACTTACACTGTTCTGGGCTTTGTGGAGGGAAGGCAGATTTTAAATGTAGTATTACTAATAAAATGCTGATGATGAGATGTGTGGGTTGTGGTACATGCCACCCCAGGGGAGTGCTACGTGCCAGAGTGGGTTGGAAACAGACGCAAAAGAACTGTATTTTATTATTTTATGTGAGCCACCTTGGGTAGCCTTCTGGATCAAAAGGAAGAACAGAAATAAAATAGAGTAATTAACATAGATGGTTGGACAGTGTTCTCGAAGCTACCAACACAAGTCTGACCAAACTGCGGGAGGCAGAGGAAGACAGGAGTGCCTGGCATGCTCCGGTCCATGGGGTCACAAAGAGTTGGACACGACTAAACAACAATTAACATAGAAACATAGGAAGTGGCCTTATATTGAGTCAAACAAGTGGTCCATCTAGCTCAGTATTATTTACACTGATTGGCAGCAGCTCCCCTGGCCCTACCTGGAGATTGTAGAGATGGAACCCGACTGTATGGAAGTCCAACTGCTCTACCACCGAGCTACAAATATTGATAAACCCTATGTCAGAACTCACTCCCAAACTTGTACGGCTATAGTTGAAATGAGAGGCGATTAAACAAAGACACTTGTTTTGGCTGCAGTGACTTAGAGCCTACTAGTAGCCCCTGCAAAAGGATGTAAAGGTAAAGGTAAAGGTACCCCAGCCCATACGGGCCAGTCGTGTCCGACTCTGGGGTTGCGCGCCCATCTCGCTTAAGAGGCCGGGGGCCAGCGCTGTCCGAAGACACTTCCGGGTCACGTGGCCAGCGTGACAAGCTGCATCTGGCGAGCCAGCGCAGCACACGGAAACGCCGTTTACCTTCCCACTAGTAAGCGATCCCTATTTATCTACTTGCACCCGGGGGTGCTTTCGAACTGCTAGGTTGGCAGGCGCTGGGACCGAGCAACGGGAGCGCACCCCGCCGCGGGGATTCGAACCGCCGACCTGACGATCGGCAAGTCCTAGGTGCTGAGGTTTTACCCACAGCGCCACCCGCGTCCCTGCAAAAGGTTAATGGAAGGCTGGTCAACAGGTTTGCCTCATGGGGATGATGATGATAATAATAATAATAATTTATTATTTATACCCCGCCCATCTGGCTGAGTTTCCTGAGCCACTCTGGGCGGCTCCCAATCAAGTGTTAAAAACAGTACAGCGTTACATACTAAAAACTTCCCTGAACAGGGCTGCCTTAAGATGTCTTCTGAATGTCAGGTAGTTGTTTATCTCTTTGACATCTGATGGGAGGGCGTTCCACAGGGCGGGCGCCACTACCGAGAAAGCCCTCTTTCTGGTTCCCTGTAGCCTCACTTCTCACAATGAGAGAACCGCCAGAAGGCCCTCATGCGACTGAGCCTCATGGACTCTTCCTTGTGGAGTGCCCAAGGCATAGAAAATAAAGTGTGTGGTAACACAAGGTATGGGCTCATAAGTGGGCATGTACATTTGTAGGTTTGAATTGTCCTCTCTTTTTTTGTGGAGAAGAATCATGCCCAGAGGTGGAGCGTATGCCTGTGCTGCCTGGGGCGGTGTGTGGGATGTGCCCCTGGGGGGTGGGGTGCGGCAGGTGTCCTTGGCACACCACAGTTCAGGGTAGGAGAGGCGTGGGGAATCTGCCACCCACTCTCCTCCTGCTTACCTCCTCCGGGTCAGGCCTGTGCCAGGCACAAGCGCCACAGCCAAGGCGCAGCTCCTCCTTGCGTGGAGCCAGGTTCCAATAAAGGAGCCTGCTGTGGGGGAGCCTGTTTGAGCCCCCTCACAAAATTGCATCCGGGGCCACGGCCCCCATGGACCCCCCATGCTATGCCTCTGATCATGCCGATCTAGCCTGCATGCATATGAGCCTAGCACTCATAGTCTTACCCATGTATTGGCAGCATGCACAGATGAAATTACTTTTCTTGGAGATGCAAAGAAAGCTTTGGTTGAGTGAATGTTGATCAGCTGTCAGATTGAGAGATCTCCCTTAGCCGGCCTGTTTTTCCTTGGACCTTTGCTTTTCCTTACTCTAGCTCCTCTGTCAGTTGTTCCTTTACATAATATTGCCACTGCTTGGTATTATCACTTGATCAACTCACTGTACAATTGCCGCAGCTTTACCTACATCACCACAAGTGTCTAAAACTAAGGTTTGTGAGGACTGAAGAAAATCCTCCCAGCCGTGTGGTGAGCATCTCCATACAAATGGCTTACTTACCATGTGCCAGTCAACCAGCTGTCTCTTATGATTTAGCATAGTTCAAGTGACAACAGTCATGTGAATAATGACCCTGAGTCTGGTACCCTTCCTAAGTTTCTGCTAGCCTTCCTTGGTGTGTCTTTTCCTGTCCTGGTTCTCTTGTCTTGTAAATGTTCAGGACCTACTTTTGCTTTGCTTCTTCTGCAGCTCACATCCTGTGAAGTAGGTCTTCACTATTTACGATAAACCAAGACATGGCAGGAGGCAACAAAAAAACCCCTGTGAGGTTCATTGAGCTCTTGGTGGGCTGCCATCCATGTTTGGAAGCAGCTCCCCTAAGCTTGCTGCTGCTCCATGCTTCACTATTGCATCTCTTAACCTTAAGCACTTGTTATGCATTGCACTTGTGAATAAGGTAAATTAGCAGAAAGGTAAAAATAAATAAATCTGTATGTGAATATGTTTTATTCTAAAGTGAAATTTAGAGATAGTGTCTGCAAATGGCACACAAATGAAAAAGAGTTTTGACACAAAACTGGTATGTGTGTGGTCAGGGATCCACCACAGTTTTGCTGGTTGGTAAATAGGATTAGAACATTCTAAGAGATACGCTGCTTTAGTTCCAAAGGCAGAATTTAATTCAGTGTTGTGTGATAAATTATTTTGTGCTACTGTTTTAATAATCATACAAAGATTAACTTTAGTGGTTGACAAACATACCTGTAACTTCCCATAAAAACTATGGGAAGCTATTAGGACCAAACCACACAGACCCTGTTTAAAAGAAAAATCTACTTAAAATAAACACATCTTGATTTATTTTTTGAAAACGATCATTCTGGAACATAATAATTACAATGGCCACACTGCATTTTGGATATAATGGACAAGTTGAGACACAGCACTGGCTCCCTTTTAACTGTGGTTAAGAAATGGCAAGCCAGCTTTGGGAAAGTACTCTCCTCCCTCCCACCTCCCTACCTTTCTCTGGATCAAATTGCCCTCTCCTGCCTTAAGAGGAATTTCAACACTGTTGTGTACTGGCCCAGTGTCACTTCAGATACAAATAATCCACTTCCAGAAGGGTAATCCATGTTAGTCACTCATAGCAAAAACAACAAAGAGTTTTAGCAACTTAAAGACAAACCAATTTATTGTAGCATGAACTATACATTAATTGCAATAAGGGATCCAAAAGCAGGAATAATGTGTTGTTTTTGTTTCAATTTTGCTCCCAGTTCCAATTGCCTGATCAAAGAACTTGGGTAAGTTCATTATTTATATTTTCAATTTAAACACTGTAGAAGAAATTGCATAAGAAACGTGACATGAAAACTCATTTACTTCACTGCAACCCTACAAGTCTTTTCCTGCTAATTATTTTAGCTCTCCTAAATCACACTTGTGTCTTATTCTACTTTTCATCAAATGCTAGTCTTTACTCCATTACACGTTCTAATGAATGGGAGTCTACCACAAAGGACTGTATGTGCAACCATTTCAAAGAATTGTATTACGATTTCTAGAGGCATAAAATTGTTGTGCCAGTGAGTGATCCAAAGCTCTGAGCTTACAGCAGCACAATTGCACATATAAAGCATTTTACTGTGCTAGTGTGGGCTTTGTATGCCATCTATTATAGATCAGAAGCCATCATACTGGGGAGTTTAGATGACATCCCTCACAGATCACAGCGCTCCCCTCACATGTACAAGCAATACATGCATGTGTCAGTACATGCATAAAGCAGAACAAACAAAACACAGATGTGTGTTTGTGGCTGCCATAGCTAGGAAGTACCAAGCTAGGTTGTGCAACCCTGTCATCCACTCACACATTTTTTGAACATGTGATGGGGGATCTCTCTGAGCACCCACCTTTGAAACAATCTTTTGCAGATGAATCCATGTAAAGGAATATTATATAGTCATTATTTAAGTATATTTCCCACCCACCCACCCCAGGGAAACCCTATTGCTCAATCAGAGCAAACATCAATTGGGTTTTCTATGGATTTATGTTTGCCCCAATTTAAAGCTAAAGAGCAGGTTTTCCCTGGGAAAGGAGCAGGGCAAGGAGAAAATCTCTTGGACCTGTGCTCTCTGGACGTGGAACAAGCAGAAGTGTGGATGGACAAAAGTTGGCTTGGACAAAAATGAGAAGCTCAACTGCTTCTTGTGGCACTTCATCAGTTCACCTCAGTACTCTGCACATGACCATTACAATTTACTTCTCTCTTTGTTTTTATTTTTTTCATGGTTAGTAGCAGTACTTTGTACAGCTCCATTTTTTAATTGTGAGCCCTGAACCTGGGGGATGAGAACTATTGATTGATTGGACAGTTTATTAATATTTTCTTGGCACTGTGCAAAAATTATGAAATGGTGGACTACCATCCACCAAACACAAAACAAAAGTGAAAGAAACAAGGAGGGCAAGCAGATTCAAGTACCAGTTCTTCATAAATTATACTATATTCTTCATAAATGTTATGATGATGACCAGGTGGATTGTCTGCTGATGGAGGCATTTCTGAGAAAGGGCAAACTACACTGCAGTTGTTCCCACCCAAGCCAATGGAGTAGGCCTTGGAGTCTCACCTCTCCCACTGATGCAGCCAGATAGATTTAGCTTGTGCATCATGATGAGCATTGGTGAACGGAAGCAACTACCAATAATTATAGCCAGTCACATGACAAGGTCTAACCTCCATAAATGTTTTCAGGTCAGACTTGCTCCTTTTAAGAACAGCAAGGGAGTTCAGGTTCAAATGAAGACCACAGATCCATGTTTTTAAAACCAGGTCTGCTCTGAAAAATGAGAGATGGGTGTGAGGGGTCTCATTTAAAGAGCAAAACGGATATATAGCTGAGGAGTGCAGACCTTCCCTGCTACACATCTTTTCTGCAGTCTGTCTCACAACGTCACTTTTCTGGCTCGAGTACCAAAATTGAGATCAGATTAGAGAAAGGCACTTGGGGAGAAGGGCTACAGGAAAATAAGTGATGGGAAGGTTTCGTATTTCAAGAATACGAACGTCTTCAACCCAGTTTGTTTGTTCCACTTTAACCCCGCTGTCACTTGTAGGTTTAAGGCAGTTTACAATATTTTAACATTTTCCCTCCCTTGCTGTATCCCACTCCTTTCTCACTGGCAGATTTGAGAAAGAGATGAAGAATGAAATTCCCAACCAAATGATCTCTCCCCTGTTTTCCTTTCTCCCATTCACATGAACAAATCCATACAATTCTTCTTGAGGGTCGCTAAAATAGACCCAAAATAAAAGGTATTGGCAATGACAATGAAAAGATGCTGATATGGTCTAGATTTTTCATATTTCTTAAAAATGCACTAATTAACATAGAAAATGAACATCTGTATCATTTTTCATTTCCCATGAATTATGATGGCCAGCCATTTTGTGAAGCAAGCCTTCAGTGGCCTAATTTATGAAATGCTAGGGTCATGTAATCCTCCGATTTCAAGGTATTAAGTCATTATTTATTTTTAACAGACTGTTTGCCCTATATATCTGTTACTGTTTTTCTGTCCCTAGCTAATAAACTTTGACATAAAGGACCAAGGCCATGTTTGATGGTATCAAACCCATCTGAGATGCTTATAAATACCGTCTCCCCTCTAGTTATGGCCATGTCTACATTTTTGGGCCTGAACTGGGAGAGCGTGCAGGTTTGCGTCACCCAACAGTTTATAGCCTCTCTGGGACTAAAAGGGAGGTACGGGATACAAGCAGCTTCCTTTTCTAAACTTCTGAATGCAGATAGAATCAGCTATTTACGTATGTAAATCAAAATTGGTATGCTGTATAGCATTAAAATATGCTGGGTTTTTATTTATTTAAAAAACATACTTAGCCCAGATTAAGAGCATGCATTGCTTAACCATAAGGAGCCTGTGTATGAGAGAGGAAACAAAGAACTCTCTTGCCACCCCCTAGCTCTAGGAAGGTCTCTGTAGACATATAAAATCCAATCGTTGCCCTGAATTTTTTCTTCTCTTAATATGAGGTAACATGATGTTGGTTTTGGATAAGGAATATTGTCTCCCTCGGTGAGGAAATATTTCAGTGCCAGACATCTGTTCTAGCCATGCATTCACATGTGAATATTGGGGCAGGAAGGGATGAATAGGGGCACTATTTCTTTAATCACTCTCCTTAAACCCTTATACCAGGCTTCCTCAACCTCGACCCTCCAGATGTTTTTGGCTTACAACTCCCATGATTCCTAGCTAGCAGGACCAGTGGTCAGGGATGCTGGGAATTGTAGTTTCAAATTGTAGTCTCAAAACATTTGGAGGTTGAGGAAGCCTGCCTTATACCTTGCTGCCTGGAAGAGAGCTGTTCCTTCAACAGCGAATCAGCTCAGGCTGGGAGGCTCCTTTGCTTCATGGCTCTCAGTCAGCCCGTCCCCCTCCTCCCAAATATACTCATTTACTAGTGTTAACTCTGAAGATCCTGCCTGACTCTCCATATTCTCTGTTCCTGTGGTCCCAGGGGAGATTTGGGGTTTTTTTTTGGGGGGTGCATGTGTGTCTGTGTACCAGCAGGAACTCAGGCAACTGAAGTGGGCAGTGGTGGCTGGTAACATTTTGACTTAGCAGGGCTGACATTTTTAACCATGCTGTTTTCATCATAAGATGACTTGTATGGCACTTATTTAGGAAAGTGTGGCATTATACTTGTGCAGAGTGATATTGTCTCGTCCTCTAAAAAATAAAACAAAACTCTGCACATCTATGAGCAGGGAAAGAGTTTCCATGTAAGAGGGCCCAAGTACAATTTTCAGAAAAGAATGACTCCATACCGCCTGTGTAGAAATTAAGCCTATATTCTATATAATATGACATAAAGTTTTGAGTACATGAATACAAGTTCTTTGCCAAAAAACTAAAAATACTTTTAAAATGTGATGGAAATTTGCTTCCAGTTTCATGCAGCCCCACCCCCACAAAAAAATCAGTTTAACTATTCATTATCCAAAAGACTCTTTTCTCTAAATTAAAAGAAGTATCTTCTTGACTGACCTGTCCTCCTTTAATTCTGCAAAGAGTTAACTATGCTATTGCCCGTTACAACACAGTATGACATTGAACTCCATATATTTATTGTGCAGGTTTTTAAAAATAAAAATACTGCCTTAAAAGTTATGAAGCAATTATTTCCTTTTGTAGTTCCTGTTCATGTTTTGAGATAATTTCTCTAAGTTTACATTTCTTAGTGTTCACAGTCTGATATCATTGATCATGCAGCTTCCTATACCAAAAGGTTCAAATATTTTGCTCAGTGGTAGAGCACATGCATGAAAATTCTTGCTATAAAGGATTTTCAGTAACTGGGCAGGAAACCACCCCTGCCAGAATTCCTGTGATTAATTTGAGTCAGTGTTGACTGGGAGTATAATCTTTTGTCCTGCTATTCACACCTGAGCTCCACCCTGGAATTTGCGATGTAATAGCATGTATGCATTTATGAATTAATGAATGAATATGTACATATATAAAGCTTTCGCAGAATGCTTTTCTTATGCCACTATGTCAGGGTTTCCCAAACTTGGGTCTCCAGCTGTTTTTGGACTACAATTCCCACCATCCTTGACCACTGGTCCTACTAGCTAGGGATGATGGGAGTTGTAGCCCACAAACAGCTGGAGACCCAAGTTTGAGAAACCCTGCACTATGTCTTCACTATTTTCACATATCTCGGAATAGCAAACCAGGGCTTCCTTCTTTTGACAGTTGGAGCAATGCAGTAGAGAAAAGTATAACCTATGAGCCAGGAATCCTTCAAGCACAAATGTTACCTCAGCCATGGACTCACTAGCTAGCCCAAGGAAAGTCAGTGTCTTCTAGCTTCAACCATCATCTGCGACATGAGAATAATGCTACTGGCCCACTGTACTTTAATGGTTACTGAGATGATGTATGTGAAGCACTATGAATGCTAACAAAAAGTGCTATGTAAATGCAGAATAGTAGTAGTAGTAGCAATAAAAGTGTTCCAGGTCAGAGGGAGCGATTCCTGGGCTTGACCTGAACAACTTGCCCTTCTATTTTTGGAAACTAAGCACGGACCATTCACATTCTGATGGTCTGCGTTTTTGTTAGCAGCCATTGTTATATAGCTATGACATTCTTGTAGAGTTTCCTTCCCCTTCAACTGCTGATATGTCCTCTAGACCCGAGTTCTGCCTCAGCAACCTTTCCTTGGTTTTCTTTGTCTGGGAACATCTGTTCAGATGGGGAAACAATGACCTTTTGCCTCGGCTGAGGCAAAGAGCTACCCTAGCAGGCACTAAGAAGATTAAAGGAAGGCTGCACTGATAGCTTTCATGCTGCTCCAGTGGTTCTCAGCAGTGAGAGGAGAGAATACAAATGGGCAAAAGGGCTGTAGGCAAGCAGAAGAAAGAAGCTGGTAATCTCCTCCATCCTTGTCACTTCACTTTTATTCCCAGTTTATTTCAGGTCTATTTCAAAAATAAAGGGGAATGCAACTGATTTCAAGCATGCCCCTTAAGGAAGAACTAAGCATTATGTTACATATGGGGATGCTGTTAAAATGAGTTTGATTCTTGCCCTTTAACATCCAGTACAACTTACTCTGAATCCTGATGCAATAACTTAACATGTTTCACCACCTCTGCCAGTGGCAGCCAGTTAGGTAAAGAAACACCCAGCATCATGTCAAGACGGGGGAAAGTGAGATAGATGCTACCAGGTTGGAAGGAGACTCAACCTAGGGCTGCCATTTTTAGTGGCAGCATCACCTTCCTTATAAGTTTTAGTTCCCCCTTTAGCTTTATGTCCTCTTTCAGATGCTGCTGCTGAATGACCCTGGAATATTTCTGCAAATGCACACTCTTTAATTCTGTATGGATTAATCTGGTATAAACATCACTCAATAATTATATTATTCACGGATTGCTCAGAATGATTTGTTCATCTTATGTTGTCCTACTGTATGTAAGCCCTGTTTGGGCTGGTTTTCAAGGCAGAGGATTAAGCTGGCTGTTTCATGTTGATTAAATTTTATTATGCCAATTCCCATATGATCTGTGTTCCTCAACAGGCAGCCTATGGGCACATCAGGCTCACCAACTGGCCCCTCAAGTCGATTGCAATCATAACTTTTTCTTTTGCTAATGCTGGTTGTACCTTAAAGAATGCCACTCCCATAGGTTTTCCTGAGCCCTTAGTTCAGCTGGCTGTGTTCCATGTTTTAATTCAGGAATGCCCTATATCGAATAAAGTGACTTACTCTCAGATTGCTCCTAGAGAACTAAATCTGTTTCTAAAACATAATAATAAATTCAGGCACTTTGGAGAATTTATTTATCTATTGCCTTCTTGGTTCCATGGCCCATTATTCCCATAGGTGAGGAGTGTGAGAGTGTGGGGCTTGGCCTTCTCCATCATGTCACCAACATTATGGTGAGGTGTGTCAGGTTTCCTCTCTATTGATTCTGTGTCACCAGGTGAAAACTTAGTTTTTCCTGAATACTTTTCCTGAGGTCTATTTTAATGTTATAAACACTTGCATTGTTGGTTAACTATGGGATTCTTAGTTGGCTGTTTTTATTGTGGGATGTATATTTTTAGCTTTGCAGTAAGCAGCTACAAGTACTGTGTAAATAGAATAGAATGCAGCAAAGTATTTGAACATGTAAGTAAGCAGGAAGTAATGCAACCAGGAATGGCTGCACTAGCAGTCATTGGAAGCAACATAAGCATGTGACTGGTGATAGGATCCTGGGGTTGGGTGGAGTGGCAGGCCTCTCCATATATTGCCATATATTGTCCGTGCAGCCGCTACAAGTCAGATGTGCATTAACTAGGCAGGCAGGATCAATGCACTGGTGGAGGAAAAGGGGGGCAGGGGGAGCGCACCACCCCCAGCAGCGCGATCCCGGTGGGGTGCCATCGTGGCTGCCCACCTGCACTGGGCGCCATGCCCCCGCAGGTGGCGTGCCACCCCAGGACATAAGCCACGCCCCCTGGGATGCACACCAGCCACGCCCATGCCTGCTCTCCACTCCCCAGTGCCGGAGCGTGAAGCTCCACCACTGGATCAGCGAAACGCACATACTAGGAAATCAGCTCTGATTTATATACAATGACTAGTACATGCATGCCTTAGAATAGATCAGAACCAAGCCTTAAAGCCATGGTAATTGCTTGATAAAGCCATTTCAAACAGGAAAAGGAAAATAGGTTAACCAACTAATGCTGGGATCTGTGGGAAGGAAGAATGTTGACCCAAGCACGATTTTAAAAGCACTTGGTAATGAGACTGACTCAAATATTTAAATATATAACTAAGCCGTTCCTTATCCTCCCAGATGCATGTCCTCCAACGAAACTAGAAATAGGTGGTACCTTACTCCTAAGCCATGTGTCACTACTAATCTGCCAGAAGGCCAAAAACCATTTCCCTGCTTCCATCCCTCCATCACAGGCAATAGTAAAACAGCAAAATTATTTCTCTTAGCAAGCAATTAGAAGTGATTAAATGCAATGAGAAATAAAATGGCAGATTTATTCTGGGGGAAAGGAGAAATAGGAAGGAGTGAAAAATAAATGTTATGATAATGCTGAACTCTGTAGGCTGATAATGACATTGCTCTTCTAGGATGGAATTGCCTCCTACTCCAACCAGCATCATCATTACATATCTTGGCCCTACGATCAGTACCCGTCACAACCCTTCATATTGACAAATGCCCTGTCCACTTGCATCTGTGGAGAATGTTTTAGCAGCTGAGTGATTATGAATCAAAACCCAGAGCTTCCAGCCCTTACTGCTTCCCTCTGCTTTCCCATTTGTCTCCTGACAAGTAAATGTATCTTGACTTTCCTCTGAGATTTTTTTTTTTGCACAATGTTTGATGAAAGACATTTGGCAAATTGGCAGTGGAACCCTGTACATTGCAATTTGTAGTGAGCATTAGAAGTCTGAGCATGGAATGGAAGAGCAGGCTACGGGCGAAAAGGAGAGAAAAATACCAGCGCTAAGCAGAATATGAATATGAGCAGACATTTATTTTGGACTAAAAAGAGAAAGTGCAAACCAAATTGCTATATTTATATTGTATCTTAGTATGAAAAATGTAAGCCAAATAAGTCTTCTTCCATACATATTTCTCTGAATGATGAGTAACACTGAGCCTGATGGAGCCACTTTTGTGTAAGTGCAATGTAAGCGAGAAGAAAATCAGTTCACAGATTCCTGGGCTCATGAACTAAACCTTATTTACTATATTGGGTTTTCTGCAAAATGGTCATAATTAGGATGGGGGGAGGGGGAGTAAGCTTACCCTAGGGCAACAATTCTGTAATCATTCAGGACAAAGGGTATGATTCTACGAACTTCTTTCAATCTGAGTAATACTATTAGTTGTCAGTTCAGTGTTGAAGTGAGAAAATTATTAAGGCTATTATACATTAATCTTGAAGATACAGAGTAATTTGAACACTTCATTATTTGCAACGGCATCCTGTAGTGTTACTTTTCCATCAAGCAGAGGCTGCAGGCATAAGCATTTCCTGAAGAACCTTTGCTTCACCTTCTAGGCATGCATCTCTTCTACTCATTGTAAATGCCTGTAGCTCCGCTGCCACCTTATTCTTAGGGGGACACAGTACTATTGCATAAGTTGGACTGTGTTCAGTGGAATTTACTCCAAAGTAAGTGCAGTTAGGTTACTTATGCTTTTGTGAAGCATGTAGCACTGAGTTGACACTTTGGCTATTACTAATGCTTCTGCAACTATTTCACATTCTTATGTCTGGATTCATACTGTTTTTATTTACGCATTTATGTATTCAAAAAAAGTCTGGAATAGCTTCATTAGGTGTGATCTTCCAGCCACACATAAAACTCTTATCAGGGTGCAGCACTAGAGATTATTTGTATTTTACCATAAGGACTGGTTCAGGTATACAGGTTCATCACTTGATTACTCTACTCCTGATTACTGTACACATGATAATTGGCAGCTGAATGTGTGAACTAACACCACTGAAAAGCATTGCTTTGGAGGTGATAAAAAAGTTGTCATTCCTCTGTCTCTGGAACACTGACCTAACTAGATGTGATTGAAATCTTGCCAAATTTTGTTCTGATGGGGTAAAAAGAAGCAGGCAGCATAACAGGGTGGATATACCTTATTTACTCTACATAGCTCTTTATCTAGAACCATATATGTGTACCATTGCGTAGCTCAGGGGTCAGCAAAAATTTTGTGGCTTGGGCTGGTTCACGGTCCCGCAGATGCCACGGTGGGCCGGAGTGCGCGCACACAAGCATGCACAAACGTTATTTACAGCGCTCCTTCTGGTGCGGAGGAGGCATGCACAGCTTCCCATTGGCTATAGGAGCTTCTTGCAGCCAATAGGAAGCCAGCCAGCGTCGTGGAAGGCAATCCCTGCTCTGCTCTGCGTGGCGCATGGGAGCCGACTGAGCGGGTGGCAGGGGTCCATGGGCCACTTGTGGCCCATGGGCTTTAGGTTGCCGATCCCTAGCGTAGCTTCTTAACACACAGAGAGAGGCATCCTGGAAATTACTCAGGACCGCTGCCTGGCCTGTCCCAAGCCTGCCTGCCTGTGGGGAGCTAGTGTGTGCCGTGACAGCAGCTTGCCACAGAGGGCGAGGGGCAAGAAGGGTGCCCAGCAGAACTGGTGACAGGATGGGGGTGCAGACACATGGCTGGGAGAAGATGCTTCCCACCCTGTCCTAATGGTTGACTGAAGGCAAACCTTCCCTCACTCAGGCAACTTCCAGGCAGCAACAGCAGCAGCAAGCAAGGGAAGGCCTATTTATTTATTTATTATTTAATTGTGACCCAGATGCACGTAAGTGGGAGGGTGCCTGTAGAGGATGGATGGATGGATTTATTATGATTACAGACTATTAAACAGGAAAATATTATCTTTTGTGGCGTTATACAAACATATCTACACACATAGAGTAACAACCGTAAAGCCTTGAATTAGTCCAAGGTGGAGGCTCAGCGCTAATTTTCATGGAGCAAGACGGCCACTAGAAAATTGGATGACAGGCTAGAAACATAAACTGATTTATGTGTAACTGCTTTTTTCTTCTGTGAATTATACTGTAAATCAGTAAGAAGGTTGTGTTACCTCTAACAAAGCTGCAGTATCTCAGAAATGTAGTATCAGTTAAACTGGCTTGAGACCAGTTTATGTTGGTAATATTTCCTTATCAGCATATAATAACAAGGTGGAATAAATATTGTGTCATTGAAATAGCAACAACTTTTATTCTTTCTTCTAGTTAAAAAAGAAAAGCAGAGTTTTCAATAGTACACTTTTTAAAATGGAGCTCTTTGTTGACCAGATTGTGCTAATTCTCTTTGGAGTACAAGAATGTCCTCACAATGATTTCCCCCTCCTCCTTGCAGATGTCAGCTATAGAAAACATGGCTGAAAAGCTAGAGAGTTTTAGTGCCCTGAAACCAGAAGCCGGTGACATCATGCAATCTGTCCCTTCCATGTTCAACTTCAGAGCCCCTCCCAGCACCCTGCCAGAGAACCTTCTACGAAAAGGCAAAGAGCGCTATACCTGCAGGTAAACTCTCCAAGCTAATTACCCACAACAGCCTCTCTTAATATCGCTCTTCTCTTGCAAGCCACTGCTGTTTATTTTAGAAATTACTCAAGATTGGATGATGAATAGGGATTATGGTGGGTCACTGGCATTTTAAAAGGTTCTTTATTCAGCAAGACATGGTCATAGTGTTTGATTCTGTGTTTGTTTGCAATTACAGGAGAAATTTGTCCTGCATTACCTTGCGCTTGATAAATGAGGCCAAAACATTACATACGCTGCCTTGTTCCAAAATTTCCTCATCACCTTTATATTAATACACGATCTTTTCCCTCGTAATTTTTTTCTGATCATGAACTGCAAGACTGTTTTTCACTTGGTCTTTCCTTTGATAATGCCAGAAGGGAAATTCCACAAGATCTGTGAATGATTAGATGTGTTAAAAAAACTGAGTCGTCACTGCAAATATTTGGCTCAAATCAACTTTGTCCTAAAGAAATCAATGGAAGTTTTGTCTCAGAGTTTGGATCCATCTTATAGACATCTGTAGCCTTTCAGGTCCTAAGTGGCAGACCAGTTGTTAGACTCAGAGAGAGCTTTTCTGTTGACCTCAGAATTTAATGAATTTCACACATCATTATGGTGCAAATGTGAATTGGAAAATTTGTTACAGTTTAAATAGTGAATGTTCTGGATAATGCCCTTGACCAGTAACACAGTTTATACTCACCCATGTCTGAAATAATATTGAGTCTTGTTAATTTATTTTAGTAGGTTGAAGGATAAATGATTATGCACTCCTGTCACTTTTAAAAGCGGGGGAGTGCACGTGTACCTCTCTCAACAATGCCCCAACATGCCAGATATTTTCTTATTCTCTCCCCACCCTCCAAAGAATGAAAGTGACTAGACTAAAAGCTATTTCTGATCTGGCATAGTCAATTTTACCACTTTCTTTATTTGCGTGGGACTAGGTTTCTGTATGGAATTTTTAAAACAGGCCTATTCCTTCACAATACTCTAGCCCTTCATTATGTTTAGACAGTTGTAAAGGAATTGATACTGAGCCAAGCCTACCTTCATGGTAGCTCCATTCAGAAAAGTTTGGAATTATTCCCTTATGATCGCCATCTGTGTACTCCAGAGGCAACAGCAATCCCATGTAAACGTCATGGAATAGACATGGAGTCTGCTGATTTAGACAAAACCACTGTATCACAAGTTTGCATTTATCTGAACAATGTTCCTTTTGACAAGCTCTGTTGTCTTCTACTCTGGCTGGTATCATTAGATTAGATCATTAGATCCCAAATAAAGGCCCAAGCCATTTGCACAAGCTCTGCATTTATTAATGCTGGTTGTGCATTCACAGTGCTTGCTTGATGGATGATGCAACGGGCACTCTACAGGTATTTTATATAATAATAGAATAAGCCATAGAGTTGGAACAGACCACGAGGGTTATCTAGTCCGACCTGCTGCAAAGCAGGAATCTTTTGCCCAACATGGGGCTGGAACCCCTGACCCTCAGATTAAGAGTCTCATGCTCTACTGACTGAACTATCCATCATGGGCCATCTTCGGCTTTGTTTGAAAACCCCAATGCTGTAGCTGTTTGGTAGCATATAAATGAAGATAAAGGTATTTCACAAGCTAATTCATGTATTCCAGAGCTGGTCCCACCATGTAGCACAGTGAACTAGCCGACTTCAGATGGCACAGGGCTGCAGTAGGGGTGTAGATGAGGGCAGGAATTTTTGTTTGAATGTTGCAGCTAGACTCTTCACGTGTTGGTCCTTGTGGAAAAGGGGCTCCAGTTCATGCAGCAAAATATATTGGGCTGGCACTGTACTATTCTTTTTCATGGTCAAGTCCTCACAATGTGGTTTTACCTTGTCTCCTTCATGTGCCACACAGCTGGTATTTACTACACAAGGATCTGTTTGTTTTCCATTCCCGCCCCCTCTAGTTGCAGCAAATATCAGCTATCTTCATGTAGAGCAGGAATAGGCAACTCTGGCATGCCAGATGTTGTCAGATTCCGAGTCCAGCCCTAGTCAATATGGACAGTGGGCAGGAATACACCATCTGAATTTGACAGGATGAAATAATCTCATAATGGCTTTACTTGGTCAACAAGTGGTGTTCAAATTGATCTATGATCATCTAGAAATGTCATTTAGGATTTATATTTTGGATGCATATTTTCAGGGAAATGTTCCTGATTTGGCAGAATAACCTAATGCTGCCATTTCAGTTTTCTATTTATTTTTTTAGCTTGGTATTTATGACCCTATCTCATTTTCAGAATGTTAGTTTATGTGTTTGATAACTGTCATATCAGTTTATCTGATCTTTCTGAAAACATGTCAGCTACTTTCAAGTCACACTATTACAGAAGCATACCTTGATGGATTAGGTCTCTTGAATTGTGTCTGATCTGATCTTTCACAGATGGAATGATGCCACGTTTACTGACACATTGAATATGCTGAACAATTTAAAACCTCTTTCCATCAAGCCAAGATTCTAAACCTTGGATAAAAGAGTTCCCGTCCCCCATAAGCATTTAGCTGGGGAAGTGACAAAGTTAATAAGTGTAGTATGTCGGGATGAACATTCAAATGAAAGTCTGCTCTCATAGATTTCTGAGGGTTGCACTGGAAAATACAGACATCACCACCTTAATCCATAAGGTTTTGATTCAATATATTTATTGAAGCTACTTTCAGAAATATTTAAATACAGTGGTATCTTGAGTTACAAATGCCTCAGGTTACAAGCGCTTCAGGTTACAGACTCCGCTAACCTGTAAGAGTTACCTCGAGTTGAGAACTTTGCCCCAGGATGAGAAAGGAAATGGTGCGCTGGCGGCGCAGCAGCAGCAAGAGGCCCCATTAGTGAAAGCACACCTCTAAGAATAGTTTCAGGTTAAGAACGAACCTCCGGAACGAATTAAGTTCATAACTAGCTGTACCACTGTACACCAAAGAAGCAGTTCCATCCAGTATTGGTTTGAAGTTTAGGACTATGCATTTTATTTCTTTATGTATCTTAAAGCAAAACATTAAAGCTATCTTTATATACCATTTTCTAATACCAGATACTGCGGCAAGATATTTCCAAGATCTGCAAATCTTACCCGTCACCTGAGAACACACACTGGAGAACAGCCTTACAGGTACAAGATGAATGCTTCTGGGGAGTAGCCACAGACTCTTATTGGCTGTTAGCGCTCCATACTGCAGCCTTTGACCTCCAAAGAGTTTTCACTCTTAAAAATGAAATGAGGTTTTAGAATGTGCTATGTAAAACACAGTTGACAATACTTTCTAATAAATGTGTGGGGAAACCTGGTCCAAGTGCTTTAACACAACCCCAATGGAATGCTCACAAAACCCTTCAGAGGCAAAAGACACCCAAGAACTTGAGAGTTAATAACCATAGTGCTGAGCATACATAGTTTTGATTAATGCAGGTGCCTTTAAAAGTGGATGGATGAAGCATTCCTGATAATGTGAAATGACACATGCTGGTCCTTCTGGTTTTGGAGTTGCAGATGCAGAACTCACCTGGAGCGGGGAGAGAGGGCCACACTAGGTGTGACATTATACACATCTTTGTATGTGTTATGTGTGACATTACGTGCCTTTAACCAAACATGCATATTTTTAAAAAAATGCAAATCACATCCAATGGGATGGGAGGTTAATATTTATCAGAATCATAGCAGTCTTAGTAGGGGATTTTCACCTGATGCAAACAGACACCTCTGAGAAGACATTTTAATCTGGACCATAGCAAGAAGGAAAATATTAAGTTCTCCCTTACAGTTGTCCTTAAATGTGTCGTTGTCTTCTTCTTCTTCTATTATTATTATTATTATTATTATTATTATTATTATTTCTATACCACCCTTCATCCAAAGATCACAATATACAATATAAAAACACAATATAAAATTTATATTTTTACAATATAAAAACACAATAATACATACTGTAGTAACAAACAAAAACAGTAACACCCCCAAACAGTTTAAAATGCCATAGATTGTTTTATCAGCCAAAGGCCTGGGAGAAGAAGAATGTTTTCGCCAGGCCCCTTAGTTACATATCTTTAGCCTCCCTGGGAAGAGCATTCCACAAGTAGGGAGCCACCTCAGAAAAGGCCCATTCTTGTGTTGCCACTCTCTGGACTTCTCACAGAGGAAGCACACTAAGAAGGGCCTCAGATGATGATCACAGGATCTGGGTCAGTTCATATGGCTGGGAATCCTGGAAGATCAGCTTCCTGCCTTGCAGGCCTTTTTCCACCTGGCCTGGGGAGGGTAGCGCCCTGACTGATTCCAGCTACATAGATTACATCTATATCAAGGCCAAACTGTTGTGGCATGAACAGCAGTAGTCTCTTTCAGGAATGTCTGAATGGAAACAATTTTAATTGCGCTTTGGTGGGCCTACCAATTCTGGTAAAAAATTAATTAACAATCATTTAAATCAAAAACATGATTTTCTTACTTTGCATCAAATGTGATTTCAGTATTTGTTCATTCACCCTGCAAAAGTGTTGTTTTATTTCATTTATTTAAGATGTACATTTAATTCCCACAAGCATTTTCTGTCCTATTATTCTCTTCACAAGCATACATACTAATCTCCATGTCCTTGGTGCTTTTAACCCACTTCCTCACTGGTAACTTTCATTGATCTCTGTGGGCCATAACTGGGAGAGCCTTTAGGAAATCTGGCCCATGAGAGCAATTCACATAGTGAAATGAGAAAAGAATTTTAATTGTACAAAATGGAACTTTCACTTAATGAAATCAATTGAAGAAACTCGGCTCATGTTCTAACAAAACAAGCACAAATCGGTACATTTTACGCCTTGCAAAGAAAGGAGAAAAAGCTCATTGTTTGGGATAGATTTTTCACTCAGTCCTGAATTTACTTGGGAAGTAGGTTGCATGTAATTTAATTCTTGTTTTAAGAGGTATCTTGAAACATGTTATGCTCTTCCACTGCTTAACAGCCAGAAACAATTAGCAATGTAATGCATAATTTCTTCCCTGAATAATTGACTTAGCACACAATGTAACAGACATGTTTTGAAGTTCAGGAGAAATAGACATTGTGGGGGGCAGTGGGGAGACGACGATGGTGATGAAGACTGTTGGCCAGCTGCCAGGAAGAGAATTTGGAATAGTTATAGTATGTCTTAGTAATGGCTGAAAGGGCAATACAGTAAAGACTTCAGGGACTTCAAATCACTACAGAGTATGAAAATTGATGCCTCTGGTACCAGAGCGATAGACTAAACTACTTGCGTTGGCACAGTATTAAAGATTTGGATTGTTTATTTCTGCGTTTGGGAAGATAACTGAATTTCCTCCAGGATTAGCAATTGAGCAAGCTAATTCCTCAATAAAAGATTTTATCACACAGTGTAATTTTTAACAGGGAGGGAAGTGGTCTTTCTACCTTATTTGAGCCTTAGAAGTAATTTGTTTCATGTTTTCCCTCTTCTCAAAGTGCTTAATTGTACGGTATTGGCAACAGCATGAAACAATAGGCTGGTGCTTCTCTGCTTTTCACACCATATATGCTTTACTGCAATACTTTTAACAGGCTATCATAAATTATGTCCTGTTAACTCTGAAATACTGAGATATTTCCTGTAACTATACCTTAACATTAATTTGCATGTGCCAAAATGTATGTGTGAGTACATGGGTGGTGGGGAAGGGGAGGCGAGAGAGAGAGATAGGAGACAGGATGTGCAGTTGACTTGTGCTTCCCGCTCCCTAGATTTCTCTGCCTTGTTCAAAATCAATCCTGCGTGTCTTCCTTAGTGGAGACATATGCAAGCTTTGTGTGGGAAAGATGCACAAGACCAATTTCAGACAAGATAGGGAAGCATAAGAAACAAAAAGTGCAACAAGTCAGTTGTGCATCCTGTTCTCCCTTATCATTATCACAACGTAACAAGCTCCCAAAAATTCACACTGGCCACAAATCCCTTCTGTTTTACAGTATTAATAATATGGAACCTTTCCCGATACCAGAAACCAAACTTGGATTTTCAGAGCAAAATCTATACCACTTATTCAGATAAATTTGTACAGTGGTACCTCGCAAGACGAATGCCTCGCAAGACAAAAAACTCGCTAGACGAAAGGGTTTTTTTGTTTTTTGAGCTGCTTCGCAAGATGATTTTCCCTATGGGCTTGCTTCGCAAGACGGAAATGTCTTGCAAGTTTGTTTCCTTTTTTCTTAACACCGTTAATACAGTTGCGACTTGACTTCGAGGAGCAACTCATAGAACGCGGTGTGGTAGCCTTTTTTGAGGTTTTTAAAGACTTTGGTGATTTTTGAAGCTTTTCCAAAAAAACACCGTGCTTCGCAAGACGAAAAAAATCGCAAGACGACAAAACTCGCGGAACGAATTAATTTCGTCTTGCGAGGCACCACTGTAATGAGATTACTGTGCCCTTTCTGAATAGGGAACAAGGGGGATGGCTTGAAGCATAGAAACCATTGCTTTACTGGAAAGTTAGATCCAAATAAAAGGCATAAAAATATTGAAAATACAGTCTTTCAAGCAGCATTTTGTGATATTTTCTGTTTGGAAGATATTCTAGCTACATCCCTGCATTGCAGGTTGTTGGACTACATGACTCTTGGGGCACCTTCCAACACTACTGTTACCCTATGATTCTATGATTTGTTGTTCAGATTTCCCTCTGCTCTTTCACCTTACTCTGTAGTTCTTGAAGTAACTGGATAGGAGACCTGCAATGTTTGCTATTTTATTGAAAAACCAAATAAAATATATGGGGTGGGGGAGATATTACTGGATTTAGCAAAACTGCGGTGGAGCTTAATTGAGATGGTTGCTCTCTAGTTTCATTTGAGTTATATTTCACATACTACTTTCTTATTTGATATTTGTTTTCAGATGCAAATACTGTGACAGGTCTTTTAGTATATCGTCTAACCTGCAGAGACATGTTCGTAACATTCATAATAAGGAGAAGCCCTTCAAATGTCACTTATGTGACCGGTGCTTTGGCCAACAAACCAACTTAGATAGACATCTCAAAAAACACGAGAATGGCAACATGTCTGGTATGTACCTATCATGCTTTCTGCATTAAAATAAATCATTTAAGGGGAATTCATGAGATCATACAGGTCTGTTGTACAGGTGTGGCATTCTTATGACACTGCAGATCATGCTTTTCATCCCACAACTATTACAGGGGTCTTCCTATGTCAGAAGAATACAATGGGCTTGAACATTATCCTTAGGTTTTTATGTACTTGTGACTAAAATCTTAAATACTTGTCAGAAATCAGATCCGAATTTTGATCCAGGAAGTTGGTATGGTTTAAGACCTGGGCAGCATCAGCCTAATATACCAGTTTTGATAGAGAAAGTTATGTAGACTATTGTGTACAACTAGCAACATATGCAAGTTTATCTTCACTGGATCAATGGATTAGATGAAAATGGTCATCTATTTTTTAAGACTAAAATGAGAAAAATTTTCAGATGCCTGCACTCTGAAATAAATACTAAGTTCTATTAGTAAGTAATTAGTAAGTTCTAAGCCTTTTTTGGTTGATTTCCCACAAGAAGCTCAATAATTTTTGTCCGGATTTTTACATCTTAAAATATGGCAACCCTACAATTGACCAGTGAGGCACAAGCTGCTTCCTCACCTAACACAGTTCAATTTTTCAATGTTATTTAATTGAGCCCAGAATCAGAATGCTTAGTTTCTTTGATCATTGTAGCAACCAGCTGTGTAAACTATGCTATTTCTCTCCATGCTTGTTTTCTGTGCTGCAAGCAAATCTGGCAGCCCAGTCCCACTTCTTGTTTTGAGATACTTTCTTTGGAGATCCTTTCCTGAGGACACCTATAGGATGGGATGGGGCCATAGGACTGTGCACATCCAGTTCTTCATTGGTTTTGCTCACTTCCAGCTGAACCATTTCTATTATAGTTGAGTGTGCTTCATCAAGCATTTGTTTTCTTGATTTGATAAGATGTGCAATGATGACATTTGGGAACTTTGGCACTATTTTTTTATTGTATGTTTCCTTGAGACACTTGTGAAGAAAGTAGTTAATAAATTAATAAAAATTAACATAATTCTGATAGGATAAAAAACCAAATATTTACTTTTCTGTGAAGGTACTGCTACGTCTTCACCTCATTCTGAACTTGAAAGCACAGGTGCTATCCTAGATGACAAAGAAGACTCATACTTTACTGAAATTCGTAATTTCATTGGGAATAGCAACCACAACAATTCAGAAGAAAGGTAAGGTGCAACTTCTCTGTGTTGCAGACTTTGTTAACTGTTGTTTCCTTACTGCTGAAGTGTTACTTTTCCAGCTTATTTCCAAAGGGAATTGGGCAAAATCAAGGTGACATACTCCCTTTAAAGCCAGTGGTACTGAATCACAGTCATGGAGTTTTCTTGATATCACTGTAGTCCGATTACGCAGAACTTTCTCTGGATTGTCTCCATTACATATAAGACATAAAAATTTGAACATCTATCACAATCGTGCAATCCCAAAGCTAACTTAATTTTGACCATTTCTAACAGGCAAAACTACTACAATTAAGGTGTTTGGTGTGTTTTTTACACTATCCTTAGCAATATCTTCACAAAATCTTTTTGAAAACATAGTTTGGATCTCCTGGCAATTAGCAAAGTTAAATGTGCTGATGTTAATGTGGCCAAAGTAAGCAGGTCAAACTGGATTACATACAAAATACAAATCCAGTGCTTTCACAAGAAATGTCTCATGCATTAGCAAGTTTCAATCATTCCCAGTTCAGCAATATCAGCAATATATGCTTGAGCTAGGAAAGAGAAGTTTGAAATTTCCTCCAAATGGTGAGGAATTGCGAAGGAAATTGCTAACCCTCTCGCAGTATTTGGATGCCCATGTAATCTTATTGGACATCACTTTCCCTTCAGGGATTTGCACCAGTTTTAGCTTTTTGCATATAACCAAACACCTGATTCAGAGCTAGAAGCTGCTCTGTATTTAATGTGGGATAGTGAGACATTTGTTACAGATGCAGAGAGGGCCAGCTACACCACAATGCCTGATTTTTGTTGTTGTTGTTTAGTCGTTTAGTCATGTCCGACTCTTCGTGACCCCATGGACCAGAGCACGCCAGGCACTTCTGTCTTCCACTATCTCCCGCAGTTTGGTCAGACTCATGTTTGTGGCTTCGAGAACACTGTCCAACCATCTCGTCCTCTGTCGTCCCCTTCTCCTTGTGCCCTCAATCTTTCCCAACATCAGAGTATTTTCCAGGGAGTCTTCTCTTCTCATGAGGTGGCCAAAGTGCTGGAGCCTCAGCTTCACGATCTGTCCTTCCAGTGAGCACTCAGGGCTAATTTCCTTAAGAATGGATGCGTTTGATCTTCTTGCAGTCCATGGGACTCTCAAGAGTCTCCTCCAGCACCATAATTCAAAAGCATCAATTCTTCGGCGATCAACCTTCTTTATGGTCCAGCTCTCACTTCCATACATCACTACAGGGAAAACCATGGCTTTAACTATCCGGACCTTTGTTGGCAAGGTGATGTCTCTACTTTTTAAGATGCTGTCTAGGTTTGCCATCGCTTTTCTCCCAAGGAGCAGGCGTCTTTTAATTTCGTGATTGCTGTCACCATCTGCAGTGATCATGGAGCCCAAAAAAGTAAAATCTCTCACTGCCTCCATTTCTTCCCCTTCTTATTTGCCAGGAGGTGATGGGACCAGTGGCCATGATCTTTGTTTTTTTGATGTTGAGCTTCAGACCATATTTTGTACTCTCCTCTTTCACCCTCAATAAAAGGTTCTTTAATTCCTCCTCACTTTCTGCCATCAAGGTTGTGTCATCTGCATATCTGAGGTTGTTGATATTTCTTCCGGCGATCTTAATTCTGGCTTGGGATTTATCCAGCCCAGCCTTTCGCATGATGAATTCTGCATATAAGTTAAATAAGCAGGGAGACAATATACAGCCTTGCCGTACTCCTTTCCCAATTTTGAACCAGTCAGTTGTTCCATATCCAGTTCTAACTGTAGCTTCTTGTCCCACATAGAGATTTCTCAGGAGACAGATGAGGTGATCAGGCACTCCCATTTCTTTGAGAACTTGCCATAGTTTGCTGTGGTCGACACAGTCAAAGGCTTTTGCATAGTCAATGAAGCAGAAGTAGATGTCTTTCTGGAACTCTCTAGCTTTCTCCATAATCCAGCGCATGTTTGCAATTTGGTCTCTGGTTCCTCTGTCCCTTCGACATCCAGCTTGCACTTCTGGGAGTTCTCGGTCCACATACTGCATAAGCCTGCCTTGTAGAATTTTAAGCATAACCTTGCTAGCGTGTGAAATGAGTGCAATTGTGCGGTAGTTGGAGCATTCTTTGGCACTGCCCTTCTTTGGGATTGGGATGTAGACTGATCTTCTCCAATCCTCTGGCCACTGCTGAGTTTTCCAAATTTGCTGGCATATTGAGTGTAGCACCTTAATATGCCTGATTTACCATCCACAAATTCTCTGAAAAGGCAAGCTTGAACCATTTCCAACCATCAAATTATAGGTTGATTTATTATATCAACCTATGCAATGCTAAAGCAGGCCATGATTCTTATGATGACATCATTAGGAACACTGCTGGAAAAAACAGTGTGTATTTCATAAAATACTCACTGTTTCAAAATCATACAAGTGGATCCATAATGTGGGGCACTACCAGGGTGAGGCATAAACTGCCCTATATTCTGGGAATAACAGCTAGCAAGGATATATTCCTAATGAAGATCAATATAATTGTTCAACACGAATGTAAAACTATATTACCGCCCATTTTGTCCACTACACATTTCAGTAAAGAAAGTGAACTGTGCATATTAAGTAAAACCCCTACTACTACTGCTACTACTACTACTACTACTGTACTAATTTTTTTATTTATACCCCACCCATCTGTCTGGGTTGTCCTAGCCACTCTAATGCATCAACAGACTATATGTCAAGTGCATATTTTGGATTTGAAACAGCACTTGAATTGGGGATAAGCATAAGCTTTCCACAGATGTGTAACATGATGTGTGATTATGTTCTGGGTCAAATTTATTTACTGCCTTCTCTCTCACATTAATTTGCTTTCCATGTTCAAGAGCAGAAATTGCATATGGCTTATGACTTTCTATTTTTAAAGTTTCTCGCTCATTTTTATGCTGGGTCAAAACTAGTAGGCATATATTCATGAAGGCCACTGATAATACATTACATACACATTCAAATTTTCTTCCTGCTTGATTGTCATGGGTTAGTTTTCCCCCCCACATCTGGTCTCAACATGTCCTCTGATAGGAAGTCTATAAGGGAAAAAAAGGTTGATGGGTCATCCAGTGATTCCTTTCAAAATTTTGATAGATATTTCATACTTGGCAAATTACTGCATATGAAAAGCATAATTAGCAAATCTGTTTTTTTAATCATGTGGCTTTCATTACTTTGGTTTAAATTCAAGTCCTTTTTCACTTCAAACTGTCTTCTTCTGGCATGGTTTAAAAATCTGGCAACCCCTGGTTTATAGCTCATAGTTTCTTAAGACTGTCCAAGAAGTTCTGCCAGGGCATCCTGATAAAAGATGCCAAAGATACCCACAAGTGAGATGATGGTCACTTTTTTCAAGATCATTGCAAAATTATGGGTTTCTTTATGGTTATTCCAAGATAATTTCCTCATGTTTAATGGATCCTATAATCCTTAATGATAATTGGTTAAATTCTATTTCTTTTTCTTCTTGAAGTATAAATGAAGGAATATAGACATGTTGACCAATGTAGACACAAGCTTGTTAAATGATCCAAAAGATTATTGTTTGTGGGTAACCCTACATGATTTAGGCAATTATGGGATAATGTCTAGTGTGGTTTCATTTTATATAGCCTAACAGACAATTTATTGGAAAATCTAAAAGCAATCAGATGAAAAGTGAAATTCCTTTGTATTTAGAAAGGGGTAATTTTTCTCTAGGGAATGGGTTGAGAAGGACTGAGAGCTTCCGGTGAACTAGAACATTTCGTTACATGTTTGAGTTTAAAATGTTATGATAACAAGGCAAACCAATCAAAACCTATCTCCATTTAAATTATACAGAATGCTTCATAAAATCAATGGAATAATTTTTTGGTGTGCAGTACTAAACAGTGTCAGTTATTCACATGACTGCTTCTCCATGACAAAGGTCACAATCTTTTATAGAATTAAATGCATCTAGGCCTATTGATTTCACTTTGAAGCCGACGTGTTCATAATGCTCTGCACCTCGCCAACACAATACATACTGCAAGCCCAAGATCTAGGTAGAAGACCATTATGTAAATGGGTTTAACCTATTGTACATATATTTATTTTTATTTATGAAATATGTATTGCACCCTTGCCCCATGACTGTTATTCTATTTTGTCCTCACAACAAGCCTGTGAAGTGGTTACCCATTACTTTCCAACTATGCTGTGAAGCAGATTGTATGCTACTGATCGTTGTTATTCTTATTACTCCATGGTTAATAGGGCAATGAGAGACAGTTGAGAACATGAATAATTTTTCCTTTTGGTCAATAGTAACTATGCTGGGAATTCTACTTTCAAGAATAATGAAATGTAGTAATCTAAAACTCATATGTAATAGTGAGAAAAGCTATCTCCACTATTCTGTCAGACTGTGAATTGAATTTCAAAGGATTATTGGCCACTTAATAAAGTGGACAGAGTGGTTATTGATTTTAATTATGGCAATTACCACCTATGGGATAGTTAATGCAAAACAAAGTTTAGAAAGCAAGGTCCTGTTTCTGCAACTGCTAACAGGTAATTTTGTTTTCATTTGATATGTATTTTTTTGAAGAATTAATGGAAGTCACTTTAAGGATGAAAAGACTCTGGTGACAAGCCAGAACTCAGACTTGTTGGAAGATGAAGAAGCAGAAGATGAAGTAATGATGGATGAAGAAGATGAAGAAAGTGAGATAACAGGGGGGTCAGTTAAAGAACCAGCTGTAAGCAACATATGTGAAGAGGGTGACTATGAAGAAGCAAATGCTTTGGAAATGAATTGCAAGACTTCTCCTGGCAGGTAGGAGCAAGATCAAAGCAAGATGGTAGAAAATACAACAGAAATCCCAATTTCTAGGATTTAATCCAGGTTCTGTATTTGCAGGTTGACTAAATATGCCTGTTAATAATTATTTGTGGACAAGGTTTGGAATAGAAAAACTATTGTGCAACTGAGCAGCTTTCTAAGGGGTGTGATCCAGATAAAGCTAGGCACACTTTATAGTTTCATTTAAATCAGTAGAACCTAATCATATGGTTAAGAATTTATTTTTTTAAAAGAACTATGCCTATTATGCCCTCAATTTTGCCCAAAGTCTGTTAAAGGAAAGACCAAACAAAATATTTCAGTTACTATTTTTTAAAAATCACTGATAATTTGCTTTTCAAAACCAATCAGTATGCCAATCTTTGGACGTTTCATAGGTATAAGGAAGATGAGTTTAATAAAACTGGACTTTCTGCGTTGGACCATATAAGGCACTTCACTGATAGCCTCAAAGTGAGGAAAGCAGAAGAAAGCCAGTTCAGTGAAGCTGAACTGGCAGCGTTTAGCACCTCCCATCTGCCAGAAGACTTAAAGCAGCCATTGTGTCGCAAGTCCAAATCCCAGGTAAATCTATTTTATTGTGCTTTCAGGATAAATTGTAATCTGGTTGGGAAGGGTGGGAAGAGTGATGGCGGGGATTCAAACAATAGAATGGGAGGAGTCAAAGAAGGCCAGTGCCGAGTCAATAATCCTGAGAGTAGCAGAGGAACAGACAGTCCCGTACAAATGTACACTGAAAACATAAAACACTTGTTGCTGCATATACCAACAGTAAGAAACCCATCTGGAGATACCCTCAAAAGGTTGTTTGACCTTTTGTGCTGATATGGTTAATGCACCTCTGTTTTTCTGATGAGCAAGTGCTGCTGCATCAGCACCACATCCAATTAAGCTGGTGCTGAGAAAATCGTGGACAGACACTGCTTAACTGCAGTTAAGAGATCAGGAGGACAGCATTGGATCACATGCATCTTCTCTTTTTCCCTTTCTTCTCTAGTACAAATATATTCAGGCTAATGACAGTGGTTCAACCACCAACATTAACAATGATGTTTGTTCTTTGAAACTGTTTCCAAACCCAGCTTTCCAAACCTGGCTAAGAAGATTGGACCTTGTGTTGTAACACCTATAAATTAAGGACTTCTAAAGAAAAATAAAGATTAGGGCAAACCGTAGTTAATGTTGATGCTGATGTAATTCCTGACATTTGTTAAGATAGATGGAGGAAATATGCACCGGAGAATGGAGTACTAAGAGAAAGAGAGAGTGCAATCCTGTGGTCTGTTCCGTTCCCGTATTCATAGACTAGAGAGTTCCAATGTTTTGTCTGTACTGGCCCTATTATTCGTATTTAATGGTTGGTACAACTGAGATGGCTAGGCTGTCTAGTTGTAACCTGAAACTATACTTTTCTGGAAAGGAGTCAAGTGTGCTTACACATGCTAGTAGAAATTTTAATGTCCCCAGTAGGCCCATGAATACTGCCAATCCTCGTCAGTTTTCTACTTTGCAGAGAAGGTTAACAAATTAGTTCATTTAAACTTGTTTGAGAAGATTCGGAACATGCCACAACACAGTGAAATCCATGGGGATCCTCTTAACTTACTTCCATGAATTAAAGACCATAGTCATGTAATTAGGTTTTGAAATCACTGAATTGTTCTGTACAACACTCTTATACCAAGGTAATTAACCCCATTAGTGCAGCATTTCTCCAACTGTGAGGCATGAAGTGTTGCCAGTTTGGCCACTAGTGGCAAAATAACTGCAGTTTTGCTCAACTGAGGGCCTAGCTGGAAACACACCAGTTTTTGATGCAGGGGAGGAATAGAGAAGGCAAAATACCCTTGTCTATCCAAACATTGTTGCGGCTGCCTTTCTGACTATGCCCCCCGGCTGCCTTTTCTTTGTTTCCATACTACCGTATTTACTCGAGTCTAATGTGTCATCGAATCTAACGTGCACCTTAATTTTCACAACGTAATTTGGCCAAAAAAGGTGAGCATCAGGTTTGAGTAAATACGGTATATGAAGTTCTTTGGCTCTTCCCTCTGCCACATTGGGGGCCCATAAAGTAAAGTACATTCACAGATCCAAAGGGTTTAACAACACAGGCCTAGCACAGTTTCCATTTTTTCTGTCATGAGCCTTCAGGAACCTAGTGAGAGGACTTTGTGGTACAGGGTGAATTCCAAGATGGTTCCCAGGTGGGAGCCATACTGCTGATTCCCACTGAATGAATAGGTTCTGCCATGATAGAACTATGACTCTAAATGATATTACTGAATATCTTATTTTGACTTCTTACTTCTTCTTCTTCAACTGTAGGCCATTGCTATGATGCTTTCACTCTCCGACAAGGACTCTCTCCACTCTGCACCCCACAATTCATCCAATGTGTGGCACAGTATGGCAAGAGTTGCTGCAGAATCCAGTGCCATCCAGTCCATTAGTCATGTATGACACCGTCAAACGTAACAGGATTGGGACCAAGTCCAAACTAGCAACATGGCTCTTTGCTAGAAGACTATTTAAAAGACTGCAGAGCAGAATGCCTTAGAAATCTGATGGGTCACATTTAAAGTCAGGTGACCTTAAACTGAATGATTTGAAAGAAAGAAAGAAAACTATTTATTCTCAATCTTTTGTTTTGCACAGCGAAGGCAGCTGCTGACATTTTGAGGATCAATGCGACTTTCAAAATACATGGATCAAATAGACCTTGTTGGGGAATATGTGTCTTCCACTCCACCTGCTTGGGGAGGGACTTATGGGTTAAGACGTGTATTGTTACACACATGTTAGCACTCCTTTAAACTAAAACAGAATTGTTTTTTCCTTTTTGATCCCCCCCCTCCCCGTGTAGAATGGTAATTGTAGGCAGGATTAGGAACAGTTGCTTTTCTATACAAATCCTCTTCATCTATGCTTTATGCGTTTGAAACCATTTAAGGAAGACAAAGCAGTTCCCTCGAATGTACATCTACCATTAATTTAGAACCTAATCACAAGGAATATTTTGCCCCCCTCCTTAACTTTTGCCTTCTGAACTGCATTGTAAAAATAAAGAACCACATGAGACAATAATGTAAGACGTCTGTGTATATTGTAAAAAAAGAAGAAAAAAAACTTGGGAGAGTTCAGCAATTAAAGGAGGTGAGTCTTTCAGCATACTACATGCAAAAGACCACAGTCATCAAACATACCACTATAGTTCAATGTTTCCCTGATCAATGTAATGACATTTTAATTTTAGACAATCATGTCACTGTTTTGTTTGTTTTATTTTGTTGGTGTTCATTTGTTGCTCTTGATTTCTTTCTTTATTGGTGTTGCGTGTACATGTAATTTATTTGTTGGCAAACAATTGTTTGTGGATTAAGAAAAAAGCACTCTTGCTAAATGTAGCACTGTTCATATGAAATTAATAGCACTGTTCCAGTTCTCTCCAACCCCACCCCACATCATTTTTCTGGGCACCCATGGACTTAAAAAAAGGAGGCGAACTGATCTGCATATATGTTCGTGCAAACAGTGTTTAAAAAAGATTTCTTACATTCCTCTTTTACTATCTTTTTTTTCCTTTTACTGAAACTAAATAATGAATAGAGGTGATTTAGAGATTTTTTTTGTAATACAGCAAAAATGATTCAAATGTATAAAGCATTCTAATTTTTTCTTCATGAAAGCATGATTCTTCTGATTAAAAAAAGAAAAAGAAAACTGTACCCAATATTTTATGCCGGTTGTCTGCGAGCTTGTGTGATGTTACGTTCATGTTAATCCTATTTGTAAAATGAAGTGTTCCAAACTTATGTTTAAAAAAAAAGAAAACCCCCAATAAATAAATAATGAATTGTATTCAGTTATTTTGGGGGCAGGGGCGGGAGGGGGCCAAGAATTTCGCCCTTTTGGTGAGGGACCAGATTTTATTTTCCTTTTTGTTTATTATCTCATTTTGAAATAACCAGCAAGTTGAGGTACTTTCTTTAAATGCTTTGTACAATGTAACTGTTATGCATTTCAGTACATTACTATGGGAGGATCAAATTTAAAAAAAAATAAAGGATTACAAAATGAAGACATCATTTTCACTGGCCTTTTGTTTTGTTGGCTATAGAATGGATTTCAACAGCATTTGTATGAAATTTCCCCTACTAGCAATAATGCTAACTGCACACAAACTCTGCTTTTGTAAAAGGACAAAAGCAAACCCACATCCCTGTTGGCCCTCAAAACACTCATCTAGAGCTATCAATATGATTACTCTGTTTTCTCAACAATCACAAATGCTAGACATAAGATGGTTACAGCAATCACAGTAGGTTGGGGAAGAGAGAAGCAAGGGCAGTCAAACATGTACAGCCTTCCTAGGCCCACACTGGCATGGCAGGTTGGCAGAAGCTTGGGAGGTGGCAACACTTCCCCTTGTCAGTGGTGTTAGTTGACAGAGAGAGAGAGGGCCACCATTCTACAGCCTATTGGGGAATGGTCTAACCCTGGAATGCCTCCTATGCTGCTTAGGAGAGGGAATTGTAAGGCCAGACCTCTTTTACCCACACCTCTTTTACCCACAGAGAGGGAGATCTACAAAATCTTATGGCACCTGGGACGACTGCTGGGGGAAACTGGTTTATTCTGTAAATTGTTTATATATCTAGATTTTTTTATTTCAGGTTTTGGTTACCTGGCAAAAAGTCCCCATCTAACTAGACTAATCTAGGACTGTATAAGTGAAAGCAGGTTACCAAACAAACAGTGAAGGCAGATCCCTTAGGGTAAATGGGACACTGCTGCACCAACTTCAGCCTGCCCTCAGCTAGGTCCCACCTGCTTACATTTTTTACAACCCATACAGGGGATGAAGGCATTCTGGTTCTTAGTCTCAGTATTGCCTTCGTAGAACTCAATTCTGAGACTGATAGTGGCAAAACTATTTGGCTCTGCCTGTCACTGGTTCTGGCTTCACCTACTCTTGGCATCCTGCCTTACTTACTACCAGCCCCAATGGACCAGCCACCACAACAAACAGAACATATGAGGGTATTGTTAATGTTCTCTTTTTGTGAAAGTTAATAGCAACCCCCCTGCAACACACAGAGTAAACAATTGTATTTTCTTCCTCAAGCACACCAAGGAACCATCTACTCAGCCTTTTGCTTCCAACAAGATTTGAGGGCGATAACCATCTCCTTTTGGATGCCCAATTATGTTGTCATCAGAAGTATAAGGCTTTGCATATGAATATTTAAATAGTGAACAGCCATTGATTTGAGAGACAGTGTGGTGTAGTGGTTAAGAGCGGTAGTCTCGTAATCTAGGGAACCGGGTTCGCGTCTCCGCTCCTCCACATGCAGCTGCTGGGTGACCTTGGGCCAGTCACACTTCTTTGAAGTCTCTCAGCCCCACTCACCTCACAGAGTGTTTGTTGTGGGGGAGGAAGGGAAAGGAGAATGTTAGCCGCTTTGAGACTCCTGAAGGGGAGTGAAAGGGGGCATATCAAATCCAAACTCTTCTTCTTCTTCTTCTTGATTGACCTATCCTCTGTGAGTTTATCATTTTACAAAACTAACTTAGTGAGTGGCCAACACCACATTTTGTAGTAATGAATTCAACAAGTGAATTATGTATTGCAAAGAATTTCATTTGTGCTGGACCTACTGCCAAAAAAATTAATAAGATCTCTACGTCAGCACCCACAGAGTCCTTGCATAAGTGGAAAGCAGTCTGATGTGTTCATTGTGTATCTTATTTCCAATTCTGACTGTATTGCCTCACTTTGTAGCAGACTCTAGTCTGGAAGATACCCCAACCTTGAGAAGTAGCCAGGTGGGACTGCAGTGGGACTGCAGTGGGAAAAGGGCACATGGTGTTCCTGGCTCTACAATTGTTTGTGGGTTATCATCATCATCATAATTATTATTACTGAGTGTCAAGCTATAAGTGCATGAACTGGACTTGTTCTTTACACCAATTGTATCAGAGGTAGCTTTGGAATTTAGTGATCCAATGTTGTTATCCTGCCTCATACAATATATTTTCATGGGCAGGGAATCCCAGAGTATTTTAGCCAGACAGTACTTGACAAGTCACTTTTTTGGGTTATTAATTTATTTTATACTTGACCTATGTCTGCATTTCCTACATAATGTCCATTTATTTGCACAATTGCAGAAGTGAATGAAACAGTGATGAGTCAAATACTCTAATTATTTCCTATTCTTTTCTGTGCTCTCACATTCTCTTCACCCTTTGATTAATGATCACATATATCCAAGACCAAAGTGACCTTAGGGTTTGTTATCACAGGCCAACTGATCACAGAAAAAAACCTTGCAAGTGTCTCTGATTTAGTTGCAGTTTTGCATTTGGAATAAAGCTTTACATCACACTAAAAATAAATAAATATGAACCCTTAATGGTGTCATGCAACTAGGAAGGAGGGGCTACATGCTCAGCAAACAAAGGAATCCTTAACCTCTACTCTCTTCTACCTGTCAGTTACAAAGACATAGTGTGCCTTCAAGTTACTTCTAATGTACTGTAAATGTTATTAAGGGACTTTCACGTGGCAGCAAGTAAGTGGAGCAAAATAAAAATCCAAAATAAAGACTTGCATATTACTATTCAATACATCAACCTGAGACCATACCAGACTCTTGAAATTGACAGGACATGTAATCAATGGCTTTAATGTATAGTCATACCTTGAGTTACAGATGCTTCAGGTTGCGTTTTTCAGGTTACGGACGCTCCGAAACCCAGAAGTACCAGAACGGGTTACTTCTGGTTTTCGGAGGTCACACATGCGCAGAAGCGCTAAATTGCGCTTTGCTCATGCGCAGAAGCGCCAAATCACAACCCGCTTGTGCGGAAACGCTGCTGTGGGTTGCGAACGTGCATCCCACACGGATCATGTTTGCAACCCGAGCGTCCACTGTATTTGATGTTTTAAAGGGTGCTTTGAAACATTGTTTAAAGGGTTGAGCACCTGGAAATCTGAGTTTTGTCGCACACAGACAGTTCCTAGACAACAAAGTATTTCCTTCACAAAGAAATGGCACTCTCAGAAACCATTGGTTCTGGCCCTATCCTCCAGAGCAGGAGAAAACAAGCTTGCTCCAGCCTCCATGTGAACAGCCCTTTAGATATTTGAAGATGGCTCAGTCTTCTTTTTACCAGGCTAAACATACCCAATTCCTTCAACCATCCCTCATAAGGCTCAGTTTCCAGACCCTTGGCTCCCTCCTTACATAGTTTATTCTGTTATCACCAGGTTGGGCACTGCATTGTTCTGTGAACAGCCCTGGGTATAGGGCGGTATATAAATTCATTCATTCATTCATTCATTCATTCAATCAATCAATCAATCAGTCAATTTCCTTTTGAGTGAAGACAGAGCCAAGGAGATGTTGAGCAGTTTTGCCTTCTCTCTGTCACCCAATAGCATTTCTTTGTCTTCTCCACACAGCAGACCCACTACCTGCTTGTTCTTCCCTTTGCTTTGAACATGGCCTCTCTTGCAAGCCTCAGCTCATTCTGAGCTTTGCCAGCCTGACCTCCTCCCTGCAACTGTTGGATACTCGTTTATACTCCTCCCAGAGATCAAAACAACCTGCTTCTTTGGAATTTGGAAACTGGCTTGTACTACTGGACTAACATTTAACTCTATGTGTGTGCCATTGCTTTCTTTTCTTGTAATATTAATTAGATAGAGTTCCAGATTATGATCCCCTCTCCAAAAGTACAATATTGAAAGAACAGCTGTAGTACACAATAATTATACAATTCAGACACCCCAATCAAATGGAGCATGTGCTCCCTGCACATAGCGTCTGTTTTTAAAAGCCAAAATTCAGCTGAGCAGCTGCTTGGTGGGGACATTGAACTGAATCTTCTCCAACTTCCAAACTAACAGCTAAGACTGTAACTTCTTTAAAAAATGCACACAATTCATCTTCCAAATACGGATGCATGCATAGAAACCTCTGCATCCATAAACGGTGTCCATAGCCTATTCTATCTGGAGTAAGGTAACACCAGCATGCTTATAACACCCAACTAGATTACTCTTTTATATGTAATTCAGATGAGGTAGTGAGAGTGCTGAATTGGTGTTTGGGATCAGCAACAGATTAGATGAAGGTCAATAAACTGAGGATCAATCCAGCTAAAATGAAGGAACATTGTAGGTCTCCCTAAGGAGGTGATGTTCAACCTGTTTTGTAAAGGACTGCACTTCACCTGAAGGATTAGATTCTCGATATGGGACTACTCTAAGCCAGCTTTGTCACTAGAAACCCATGTGGCATTTGTGGTACATAACATTTTTCAATAACTGAGGACTGGTAGATCAGCTGTGATCCCACCTGGACAGGGCTAACCTGGCCACAGCTATCCATGTTTTGATAATCTATAAATTAGATTGTAATAAGTCTGCCTTGGAAAACTGTGGAAAACTGCAGATTAGGCTACTAATTGTGACTAGGAGATAGGAAAATATATAATCAGTCCTGAAACCTGGGCACAGTTCAGAGTGTTGACACTCATTTTGTAAGATGTAAATGGTTTAGAATCTGGGTACTGGAACATGGACCTGCCTGAGCACTGAGGTCATCTGCTAGGTGCCGCTGTCATTTGAGATTTGTGGAATGTTGTCTCCAGGGAGGATTCTCTGGCACCTGTGTTGTCTTTCTGATGCCAGGTAAAGAGTGTTGTATTTTCCCGGGCCTTTTCATATTGCTGAGTCTGTTTTACGTTGCATCCTCCCCGGTGTCATATTGCTGTATAGCTTTATGCTTATGTATTTGTTTTGGCTATTGTTGTTTCCCTTCCCTGTCCTGGAAATATTTATATTGAAGAACAGCATATACAATTTTAAAAGAAAACTATAAAATATGGATGTGATAAAACAGTGGTTCCAGGGTCTGAAAACCACTGAAGGTGATTGCAGTGGACCACACTGGAGAAAGCAGATTGCCAGGTTAAGGTATCAAGGTTTTAAAATTGTAGTGGATGTTTTGCATGATAAAACATTCTGCTTCTTGAGTAGAAACAGCCTTTTGTTTATTTCACATCAAATTCTGTGTGACTGACATGGCAAAAATTCCTTAGACTTTCCAGGCTGCTTTTAATGCAAATGAATTCAGTGAAATGAATGATCAGCAGTGAAATGCATCGCCATCCCCATGCTCCTGAAACAGAGGGAACGGCTGGGAATGGTCATTCTGCTAAATTATCAGTAATTATGACACTGATTTTCTAAGAATGCTGAAAAATTCTTAACAGCTGTTTCTTTTGAGTCCCAACTCTCAGTTCATTAACATATGTTCACACAAGCAGAAACTGTATTAATATCTGTTACTCCATGTCATTCCCCCCTCCCCAAAACTAGCACTTGAGGGCAGCTAAAGATTAGATAGCTGGCGATAGACCTGCCAGCATGCACATATGGAAATGTTCAATTTGTAATCTGATTACAGCACCAAAAAACCCCACACAAAAGCCCACTTGATACCTGTGGCAGATATATTTCATGGTTAAGTGCAGAAAATTCTCAACAGCGTGTCAAGTTTCTTATGGCCAGCCAAGTCAACTGATGGAAGTAGCTCTTTAATTCCTGGGGAACCTCTTCAAACAGGCACATGTCAGGCCCAATTTGAACTCACAGAGAGGTACGCTAATTGTTGGGCGGTATGTAGCAGCATAATGCAGCCATTTGCAAAACTGTGCCCCTTGTAAAGCTTTGCATGTGAGAGATGAAGTGCCTGTCTTTGTTCTAGGGAAGGACATGGGCAACCTTCCAGCTTCTGAAATCTCTTGGCGCATGTTTTGCTTTGCCAGAGCTGGGAGGGGAGAACGACAGGGGACTGGTTTCTTCCATTACAGAGACTCATTACAGGAGGTCTGATCAGAAGATACTCCTCCAAATAACTGGAGGGGGCAGGGAGCAAACCTGTTAGACCATGGGTAGGCAAACTAAGGCCAGGGGGCCGGATCCGGCCCAATTGCCTTCTAAATCCGGGCCACGGACAGTCATCATGTCATGTTTCAGCATGTTTTTACATGAGTAGAATGTGTCCTTTTATTTAAAATGTATCTCTGGGTTATTTGTGGGGCCTGCCTGGTGTTTTTACATGAGTAGAATGTGTGCTTTTATTTAAAATGCATCTCTGGGTTATTTGTGGGGCATAGGAATTCGTTCATTCCCCCCCCCCCCAAATATAGTCCAGCCCCGCACAATGTCTGAGGGACCCCTGCTGAAAATGTTTGCTGACCCCTGTGTTAGACTGTAGCAAGTAGTTATCCTTTGTAGGCAGTACCATTCCCAAGCAGCCAAATCTTAAGGAGCACTTTGAAGTTTAAAGAAGATTACTAAGTGGGCAGGGTGGTGGTGGTGGAAATGACAACAATAGAGCTTTATACAATTATGATTGGGGTAGAAAGAGAAATGTTTCACGTTCTTGCAGGATCCTCTAATAAAGTTGTTGGTAGGTTCAGGAAGTGGTGATGACCATTGGTTAGTTAGTGTTGGGAAAACAATAGGAAAATTCAGTCTATTCCCAATCTATGTCACTTTCACAATTGTTCATTCATAGGTCTATTCTATTCCATTTCTGCATTATAATCATCATCATCCACACAAAATGTAATTTAAATACATTTTTGAACATATTTTCCCCTGAAAACACACATTTCCAAATGTATTAATTTTAAAATAAGCATTTTAAAATGTATTTTGCTCCATTTTTGGAGCCAAGAATTTGCAGCCAAAAATGTTGCAAGGCAACATTTGGAGAAGTGTGAAATCTGGAGCATAACTAGGTTCCAATCCTATATTGTCTTTTTCAAAGAACAAATTCCTCAAGCAACCTTCACACTAAGAGGCAACTTGTTGGCTGCTGGAAAGAGAATGCTAGACCAGAGATGGACCTTGGTCTGATCTCTGAAGGCAGTTTTTATGTACTTGTGATGTAGGAGTATTGTGGATATCCAACTGAATATGAGACAACAATAGTATAATGGGCTGCCCCATTCTGTTTTGCCCAGTGAAGAGAGAACCCTCTCTCTTTAAAGACTTGTGTAGCCCAACAGTTGATGGGAGATAAAAGAACAGGTTTTCCTTAATAAACACCATCCCAATGTTAAAAGTGACCTAAAGTTAACTCTATCAGCAGAATAGCCAGTGAAAGGAAGAATTAGGCAAATGCTGAGCTACATCTTCCACCTCCCTCAAACATATTCACAACCTTTACCCATGCATTCATTTATACACGGTCTCCTACACACACACACAAAGCCGTGGGCACACACAAACTCTAACTTGAACACATGCAACAAATATAACTCCTCAAATCTTGGAGCTAGGGCAAGAAAGTTCTATTAGCACTGAAGGCTCTTTCCTATCCAATATGACCTTTCCATTTGCCTCTATCATTATAGGACACCCTACAATGGGGAAAGGGATGGATTCTGCAGATACAGTAGAGGCTGAGAGAAGAGCCCAAGGCTAGAATATGTGGCTAGGGTGAGTTTCAAACCAGGAACCCCTCAATTTAGCTTCTTAATCACTGGCTTAAACCCAACCCAAAGAAGCAGGCATAGGTAGAATGGGTTTTAAATACTTCCCAAAGCCTATTAGGTTTAGGTTTTTTGAAAATCTTGCATGCACTCTGCCTTTCCAATATGGTGCATGCAAATTTTTTTGTAAGGATGTTACATTCATCTTACCAGACACATTAATGCCCGAGGATTAAAAAGAAAGAGACAGAAATATATTGGACTCTACGCAAGATCAGGCCAAGCCAGGGGATGGCAGAGGGGTAGGTGAATGTGTATCAAATGGCAAAATGCCAACAGGGCTTCTTTTTTTAAATATACAGTATGCTGTACCAGTTAGGTCAAGAACAGGAAAGTTCATCCTGTCTCACGCCTCCTAGAGTCAGCACAAAGAAACACCCGCCATTGGCCTTCACATACCCTAGACTCTGGCATTTCAGATAACACTGAATTAAGCTGAAATGTACCTATTGTTTGTGTTCTGCACATGTCAGATCAGAATCTGGCCTCCTCACATCACTATTACTTTCAGGCAATAACATTTTTCACCTACCGTCTATCAGAGGAAAATATCTAAGGTCTTCGCAGAACATGAGATCCAACTTTTATCCAGCTTTGCCAAAAGGGAGGAGATTAGGAAGAAAGCCAAACAAGTCTTGTTGGCTGAGAAAGAATCATCTATCAATTTCCCCACCAAAAAAGAAAAAAAAAGGATATGAAAAAGTGCTGCCCCTCATTTTCCTGCCTACCACACAAACGGAGCTTCATAAATAAGGACATTTCAGCCTGCTTCATCATGACTTTTGAGCAGAAAGATTTATTTCAATAAATCCTCTCAAACTGTGCCTCTCGGGCCAAAGAGCCCTGTTGTCCAGATTTCTCAGAGAGGCCTACAATGCCTAGTCTCCTAAGGGTTATCAGTTATGTCATGCATTATAAATAATCCAATCAGAGCAGTGGGAAACAACATTTCTATTTAATACCAGGAGAAACAGTGGAAGTCAGCGATTGATACCAACACAATGATGGGAAAAAGTGTCCAGAGGTGCTACTCACATAATCTCATTTTACAACATCTTGAGAATTCAATAGAAAAGTGCTCAGCTAACAATACCCCAATGGCACGCTTCTGATTATTGTTCCAAAATGTTCCATAAGACCCTGAACAATAAGAATGCTCTCTAAATATATCTCAGCACAAACAAATTGTTTCTCTGTTTTGATTTTTTAAATAAACTGCATATTGTTAGTCAGCAATCGGTATACCCTTAAAATCTATGCATCTCAACTGCTGGTACATATAAAGGGAAATGAGGTATTGGGTTGGGAAAAAGTTGACACAAAAGTATCATTTAAAATCATTATGGGAATCAAGTATCTGTTTGCCTGCCCTGAGAAATGTTCACTGCTCTTTAGCTTTTTGCTTCTCGACCAAAAAACATGACACTGCACTATTCAGAGTTTCAGGCAAATGTTGAGACAAATATATCTTTATGCAATTTGATTTTCTTTAAAATCCTGTAGTTCACATAGGAACTAGAGCACATGAATTTAAGAAGGAGTTAAAATGCACAGTTAAAAACAAGGATTCTGAGGGATGCTTTTGCACAACAATAGAGATAATTATAGTATCTTCCCAAACCCGTACTGTCTTGTAGCAATTGAATCATTTGACTTATCCATCTTTTCCTCATCTTATAATTAATGGTAATCCAAATCTCCATTGTACAGCATTTATTCCTTGCTCACTAAATCGGTAAGCAGCTGAAGACTTTCTATTATTATTATTATATCATCATCATCATCATCATCATCATCATCATTAATTCAATAACAATAATAGTAATGGTAACAATAGTGGTGAAAATAGTAGTAGAATATTTTTACTCTGCTCTTCTCCCAGCCCAGATCAATAAAAGTAAGTCAGCCCCTGCTTATTATGCTTTCAGTTGAAGCAAGATATGACACAAAAGGAAAATGGATTAGAACCAAGGAGGAAAGAAAGAAACTTAAGTACCATTTGTTAGTTACAAGTTCTGTGTCCAATTCTGGGCACCACAATTTAAGGATATTGACAAGTTTGAATGTGTGCAGAGGAGGGTGACCAAGATGATCAAGGGTCTGGAAACCAAGCCTTATGAGAAACTGTTAAGGGAGTTGGGGGGTGTTTAAGCCTGGAAAAGCAGAGACTGAGAGGAGATATGTAATAGTCATCTTCAAATGGAGAGCAGATGGCAGCCCTGGATCTCTTAACCTTCCTCCCTCTGCTGCAAGCTCTCTCAAGAACTTGATCTTCAGAGAGATGTGTGAGCTCAGAGGTGGACCACTGATTCAGATTTCCACAACCCTAGAATTTTCCTTACATCATTACTGAGCGGTGGGCTATATTCCAGCAGAATTAGGTGGTAGAAACCTGAAGTGCTGGAATTAACTGTATGACTTTAAACTGTAAATGGGTAGGGGATAGAATGTTTATGTTTTCTTCTTTAAAAAACAAAACTGTAGGATGTTGTTGTTGTGGTTTTAGAAAAGGATATCAATGAAAAAGTTTCTGTCCCAGTTCATTTAAAGGAACTTTTTAAAAAAATGCAATTATCTGACTGTAGACTCAACCATTCTACCAACATATTAACTCCCACTTTATTCTACTGCATGTGTCAACAAGACTTCAATAATCAGATGACGCCACTGAATTCAGCAATAGAGGTTGCCCCCTCAAATCTATCATGCATTGCTCTATCTCTCTTCTCTAGGGTATCCTGAGGACTGCTGCCTTGTTTTATCCTGATGCCTTCTCTCCATGCCTCTTGCAACAAACACTGAAGCCAGTTAGTGGCATTGGCAGAGTGGCAAAGCAGCTCAATTTTCCCTAC